AGCAGAGATGGGAGAAGAGGCAGCTTTCACCAGGTGTCTGCAGGGAAAATAGAGGCAATCCGGACTGCAGCTGTTAAGAATTATCTTCACTTCAGTGACCAAAGAGAGGCTTTGGCCACAGACTCATTTACACATGACTTGAACAGGAATTGCTATGGTTGCAGAAGAGGAGAGGACTGATAAGGTATTAGTCTTTGTTCCCTCGTGTATGTTCTTCTTGTTAAAAGTTGCCAGTTTGAATTTTAGCTGAGGTTTTTTGGGGGCTTTTATTCATTTTCAATTTTATTAAGCTGTTTGGAGATGCTGTGCTGCATGACAACAGTTCTTACACAGTTCAGCATTCAGTGGTGATCTGTCAGTCTGTGTCTACAAACATACCAGGTTTGCAGAGTTCTACTTTATGCCATTACTTTATGCTGTACAAGTTTGATCCATGTGCATTTTCACTTGCCATTCATTTACCTTATGTTTGAGGTACAGTAAACTCCTGATACTTCAATGCTGGCTTAACGCTGGCACTACCACTTAAGTCATCATGCTGTCAATATCCCGGCTGCATTTATTTAGGTATTTATACATATGCCAAATTCACACTTCTGAAAGCTCATTGTCGAGCAACGAGTTATCAGGAGTTTGTACATTGATCTGGATTAGTCTGGTAGTGTGCCTGATCTTGCATTGTTCTAGAATCATGGTCTAAACACGACAGTAGTGCATCATCAGACAAGCAATGATCTGCACTTACAATGTGTAGTGAAAGTCCATGTGAGCAGAATCGTGTTGAAGAGTTTAAAATTCAGTGCTCTGGCCAATTCGCCATCAACAGCCTGCCTGCACATCTCCCATGTGAGGTGCATTTGTACAGTACAGTCACGTACTGATGTGAAATTGTTATCTTTGCTCTAATGGAAACGAATGCCATTCATACCACAGCTCAGGCTCGGACCCTCTTAACAACACTTACTATTAAAAGGTAAAGGTAGTTTTGCAAGGGTCAGGGTTCAAAAACAAAATAAAGCACAAAAAGTAACATTTCTTTTGATTTCAGAGCGAAAATATTAACAGTTATTAAGAAAATTCAACGCCTGTGGAAGACTGGAAATGGTGGTTGTAGTTTTACCAACATAGAAAAAACTGGTTAAGTTGATATCCCTAGGGTCAGTGTGGTTGTTTTTCACAGCAGACTGCAAAAGGAACCTTAGATATCTGTGAACATGGTAGTAACCCTCTTTCAATCAAACACTTAGGGTTAGGGTTAGTACATCAATTCCTTGAGGCGAATGTCATGTTAACAGGAATCTTTGCACCCTGAAAAGCTATGAATGTTCACTGACCCCGTGTCTCATCAATAAATAAAGAAGAAAGGTCTTGAAATCTAAAGAGCATTCAAAATGACCCATTGGCCCCTCTTTCCCCTGGCAGGAATGTGTAAGATTCCACAGATCCAACAGAGAAGAGGGACAGCTGAGTTGATGGTGTCAAAAGAGTTTCTTGAGTAGTTCTGACATTGCACGGAGGACTAACGGTTTCTGGATCATAGGCATGGACTACTTTGCCTTCTAGGCATCAAACTATGTTGAGAACTTAACTTGCCAAAGTAGATGCCAGAGAAATGAGTATTGCAATCATGCTTAAAAATGCACTCTTTGTTATTTCAGCAGTGTGTGGAACATCGATTGACTCGCTGAGAGCATGCCAATATGTCTGGGTTGTTAATGCACCTAAATGGGAAGGAAATGGGGTTTATGTCAAATAGCTCGTAGCTGAGTTTTTCAATAGATTTTAATGTACCAAATGTACCAAAGCATTTGGGAATGTTAGATGAAATTTGGCATCTTTTCATTTCAAGATTTTTCATTTTGCCTGCATATTATTATTTCATTTTTATTAAATCTCCTCTGGAGCTGAAAGCACTGCACCGAAGGACATTCAAAACTCCAAAAAGAATATCAAAGATTAGTCTACAACTTTAAATTTGTTTCTCACTGACCACTATCCACATATCTTCTTTTAAGTTAAGTATTTGATACTTAAAACTTGATATACAACTCTCCATTGATTTTCTGCACCAATTATTAGCAAACACAGAGGTCAATTTGTGCATAGTAATGTGTCCCAAACAGCCTTAAAGTGAATGACCAATTTTACCTGGGGGATTGTTGGCCAGAACACTCTTTTCAATTCTTAAGAACAAAAGAAAATATGAATTGCTAGATGAAAGAAGACCAAGGTCTATCCAGTTTGCCTTCCACCATCCTGGCAGCCGCATGCACATGTCATGCCCAAAACTATATCCTGTATCCCGAGATATTATTTCCTTACAGAAATATATCAAATTTGTTCTTGAAATAATCTTTTCCTCTTCCAAGGGAAGGTTCCTGAGGGAGCCTGTTCCATACATTTACTACTCGCTCACTGAAGTAGTGTTTATGCAATTTTGTTTTGAATTTACCCCCCTTCAATCCCAGGCTATGTCCTCTGGTTCTACTGTTCAGTACATGGTAAAAAGATGATCATGGTCTACATTATCCAGGCCCTTTAGAATCTTAAATGCCACAATTATATCCCCTCTCAACCTTCTTTTCTCCAGGGTGAACATGCCCAGTTTACCTAATCGCTCCTCATAGATCTGTTCCTCCATCCCTTCAATCATTCTGGTTGCCCTCTTCTGTGTCATTCTGATTCGTGTTACAGGCTTGATGCCTGCTCCCCGCCCTTTCCACATTACTATCAACCAAGTTTTTAGATTCTACATCCCTATGCTCTAGAACTCCCACCCTTCTCCATCTTACCCCTTATCTTTCCGTCTTCAAGTCCCACCTTAAAATTCCATGTATGGTCACCTCCCCCGTTCCCCCCTCGGCGTTCAACCCCAGGATAAGATGTTATCCTATATAAAGTGTATTATTTAAATCAAGTTGTTATTCCTTGTGAGTGTGATCCAGTGACCCAAGCTGGAAGGTATGCATCTATAGATGTAGCATGCAATTAAACAACAACAAAGTCCCTCTCCCGTCATCCCTAACATAAAATTTTATTTTATGTTAAAGATGAGCTATTGTGATGCTTTATGTTTGAGCACAGTGTAGAGCAAGATATAATATCTTGTAAGCAGCAATATGATGCTGGAATAAAAGGTGTGACCACTGTTCACAAAGCAGCACCACTCCACTTCAATACCTTCAGATTTGTTGTTTAAAACACGCAATCAGAAGAAGAAAGAAATCTTCATCGTTATGCCATTTCTTCAACTCGCACTTATAGTGGAATGTGCACCTCTTTGGCTCAGGATTCAAAGCATGCATTAAACATCTTGACAAGGGTTGGCATCAATCTGACCATGACCACACATGAAACAGGCCATTCTTCCGTGCTTGTGAACTAGGAAATGTAAACTTTGCTCTGGCGGCTTTTTGGCTCCGTTCAGATTTGTGTAAGTAGTCAAGGAAATGAATGAGAAGTGATTTCAAATAACACAATAAATTCCATCTGCGATTCATTTCAGAGCACTTCATTTTACCACGACCCAATTAAGCTTGAGAAAACAGTGGTACCTTTGCTCCAACTCTGATAGTCTACCGCGGGTTGCTTTTGATTACCAAGATTATAGACCGTATACAATAAGAAAAAGAGAGGCTGTGATAAATTAAAGGGCATGTTATGACATTTGTTCTCTCCTGTATGATGATTCAGTTCTGGTCTACCTTATGTTAGTGGCATATGTTTAGCCACAGGAAGGTTGTCTTAGATTGAGAACCCCGGGGACCAGCCAGGGTCTATACGTTCAGTGCAACATCAAGGTTGGAATGAGTAGCAGAGAGCAAAAAATGAAGTAAGAAGAAGTTAGGTGGCCCCAAGCTTGGGGTTCAAACCTCCGCAAATTGCAAGAAGGAGAAAAGACTGAGGGAGATGGGGAATTTCACATTAAGAAGAATCTGGAAAAAGAACAGGTGGTATTAGAAAAAGGTACAGGATGTCATGTTTATTGCTTGGGAGAAACAAAAAAGGAAAGTTTGAAAAAAATCGCACATAGGAGTATCAATAAATATCAATGAATAGAGAGGGGAGGCTTCTCTATTATATTGATATTTTATTGATACCACTTTGTGTGAAAATTAGTCATGTTGAACACACGGCTTCTTTTTAAAAGAAAGAATCCTAGTCAACTTAGTACAATGTCCTTCCAACTCTGAGACCCGGTTGAATCCAATCCAGAGAAAATAGGAAATTTCGAGGGCAAGAATGTAGATAGATGAGGATCAGTATTGGAGCCATCAGAGATAAAATGTGGTACTATTGGTTAGATCTGCAAGAGATGTGAAGAAACTGTCTTTGAAGAATTATAAATGCAATTCAGTGTATATAAATAGGGCCTTTAAGATCAGGGGAATGTTTCAAAGAAATTATTAGAATTGGAAGAAACAAGAGTCATGGGTAGACAGTATGGTGGGTATTCTGGGAGGATGTGATTAAATGATCTGGAAGTTCTTTGTCATCTGAGACAATCTTGTGAAGTGTGATCATTATTTAATAATAATAATAATAATCCTTGCATTTGATACAGCACCTTATCATGTCTTCGAGATATCTTGAAGAGTTTCACAGGATACACTGTAAAGTGGACTGACTGTATATGTTGTGGGCGAAATGCGGCAGCCAATTGCACTCAGCAGTGACCCACAAACTCGTGCTTTGAATTGACAAATTTATTATTATTTTTTTGAGAAGGAAACTCGCCTCTTGTCAATGAGTCATTCCACTTCAGAGTGACAAATTATCATTTTATCTCTATCCCTCTATGCACCAAGATTTATTGAAGTGTACTTGTATAAATTGTGGTACCCTTCGTGCTGTTTTCTGTTTCTGTGATGTGTGTGGTTCATATGTGGCTGGTGAAACCATATATTTTAAATTTTACACATTTATTGACAGTATGGTCCTGTTAAAGCACTGCAAAAACATGCGTGATATTAACCAGATTTATTTTGCTTCTTCACCAGATCAGAGAGCTGGTACCTGCTTTTCCAGCTTGGCTAATGGACGCTGTGCCCAGGAGCTGAATGGACAATATACCAAGATGCAGTGCTGCTGTGAGTCTGGACGGTGCTGGGCACTTGGTTCTGTTCCAGAGATGTGCCCGATCAGAGGATCAGGTGAGAAGTCTATCGATAATATTAAGATTTTATGCACCTTAAATCAAGTGAATATTATTCATTTAAGTTCAAAAATAATAAAACAAAACTCAGACAAGTGTCCAAAGCTCATCTCAAATGAGCATTCAGGTTATTTTGCTTTGTGCGTTCAGTGCAATCATTGGCTTGGGCTTAAATGTTATTCTTCCTTAGTAAATTTTGCAAATGTATCCCTAGCATCTTTAATGAACTAAAATGCAGTTTGAAAGTACAGTCTTCTACAGTAATATCTTGCAGTCTCTGTGTCCCAATTGGGTGAGGAACAGAATGTCAAATTTACCATTGCTTTGCTTGGCTCATCTCCTTCATTATTTCTTTCCTGGGACAATCAACAGACTTACAATCAAAACTTAGAGTCACAAATCCATTTATTGGATTACCTCATTTTGTGCCCCTTTTCTATCCTTGTTTATCCCCTTGGCCCCTTGTCTAGGTTAATAAATACGAAGAATGATTTTGCTTATTGTGTTTATCTTGCTACATTACATTTTCTTTATGTTTAAAGCTGGACTAATTTTAACATGCATAATTGTCTAATATCACTATCTTTGTAATCCAGATGAATATCTCAGGCTTTGCATTGAGGGAGCTCCCGCCGTACAAGGTGGTCCACACCATGGTCCAGACACCAGACCCGGGGGAAACGGATTTCACCCAGGAATTGTACCTGGATTTGGGCCAGGTGGAGGAGGATTTGGTCAAGGATTTGTGCCTGGACAAAGACTTGTTCCTGGTCAAGGATTTCTTCCAAGCAGAGGTCCAGGGTTTAACGGAGGGCAATTTCCAAGAATTAGTAAGTTTGAAATTTGTACCATTCAGTTGTTAGGAAAATAGTTTGAAGGAAAGTAATGATAGAATATTAATAAAGCATATATTGAGACAGAATTAATTAATACAGTCCAACCACATCATAACTCACTTCATTGTAGTCTGGGTCCACTTATGGTGAGGTCACACAGCGGACTGAAGTGGTTACGATTCTGGCTCCAATTGGCTATGTGCACATGGGATTCTAAAGGATTACACAGTGAGTTTAATGGAAAGTTTGGTGTTATGTGTCTTTTTGACTCAGTTGGTAACATTTTTGTCTCTGTGTCAGAAGGTTGTAGGTTCAAGCTATAATAATAATAATCCTTGCATTTGATATAGCGCTTTTCACGTCTTCTAGACGTCTCAAAGCACTTCACAGAATAGACTGTAAAGTGAATTGACTGTATATTTGTGGGTGAAACGTGGCAGCCAATTGCACACAGGAGTGTCCCACAAACAGTCGTGGATTGAAAATGACCAATTTATTGTTGTTTTGTTTTGGAGGGATTATCATTAGGCGTGTGGAGTAAGGAAACTTGCCCAAGGTTTCACCCTGCCTGGAATTGAACCCAGGTGTCTCCAGGTCTCTCGCTTGCAAGGCAAGTGCTCTAACCACTGAGTTAAAGGGACTCCACAATCTGAAATTCCATTGCATCAAGATCTGAGCTCAAAGTGCAGATGGACACTCCAGTGCTGTGGTGAGGGAGAGTTGCATTATTGGAGATGCTATAGATGGACATTAAAGATTCCCCTAACACTATTCAAAAATAGAATAGAGTTTTGCCCAGCATCTCCGTCAGTATTCTCCAGATTACTCATTTCATGGCTGTTTAGAAAACCAGGGGACTGTAATTGAGTTCAAACGCAATGTGACATTATGCCGCAATTCAGACGCAATGTGACATTATGCCACAGCTTAGAAGTTTTATCTGCGGATATCTTAGTAAATGATGTGTATCATATGTTTCCCAGCTTCGAATGTGCTGAAAAATTTACTGTTGATTTTCTAAAGTATTCGGCTCTGGAACTCTATCCTCCAGTGCCTTCGCCGTCTCCTCCCTTTCCTCCTTCAAGGCCGGTCTCAAGACCTTTCTCTTTGACCGTGCCTTCAGCTCCCCTCTCGACTCTCTACCCCCTCCTCTCTCCCTCCCTTCCCTCCCCTCACCCTGACCATTTCCCCCCTGCTCGGCTCCTGACCCAACTGTACAGCGCCTTGGGACGTCCTCCCGACGTGAAAGGCGCTCCATAAATGGAATCTTGTTGTTGTTGTTGTATTAAAAGTTTTGAAGAATGCATTTTTAGAAATGTGATCATTGTACAATCCTCAGCACATTAAAGCTTATTATCACATAAATTCGCTGGGGACAGGGATTCTTCCCTCTCAGCTCCTGTTAAACCTACACGCCAAAGCCCTAATGGGTAGGGTGAGCCTAACTGCACATGTAGTGGGAAGCTTACCACACAGTATTTACATTATCCTTCCAGGGAGAAAGTGCATATTCCATGTTTAAGTGGCATAAATATGGGGAACTCCCAGTCTATTTTGGGTATTCTTAAACAAGGTGATGGGTTTCCACATGTCAGACACCTGGCTGGCCAAAAATGATCACATAAATTTGGAATTAGAAAAGAGTCTTTGGCTCCTTCCAATAAATTATGTGCAAATATTACCAGTATGGATCCTTCCCAATTGATAATAACCTTTGTGTTTGACACAGCACAAAAGTTTGTTTCGCTCACAAAATATAGTCAGTTCACTTTACAGTATATTCTGTGAAACTCTTTGAGACGTCTTGAAGCCGTGAAAAGCGCTATATCAAATGCAAGGATTATTATTATTATTAGCACCTCATTATGCCGTTGACCCGTCTCAAAGTGCTTCACAAGAATTACGGTAAAGTGCTGCGACTGTGGAATTATAGGCTAACACCACAGGGTGTCAGCCTATACTATGAGCTCAAAGTCCCAATGTGGACCTTTGAACCCACAACTTTCTGACTCATTGGTGAGAATGCTGCCACTGAGCCAGGGAGACACTTTGATATCCGGAGGGAAGTATCATCAAATCAATATTGTACATTTGTTGCAGGCACTGCTACAGTCAACGAAACATCTGTGGACATCTGTAAGCATTTCACCAATCTCTGCTTGAATGGACGCTGCATCCCCACACCTTCAAGTTACCACTGTGAATGCAACATGGGCTTCAAGCAGGATATGCGTGGAGTATGCATTGGTAAGGACCAGACCAAGTAGACTTTGAGGAAACTGATTTCACTTCACCCAGAGATAAAGTTATTAGGAATGAATTTGTGAGCATCGGCGAGTATGAATGTTGCTCAAATTCCCTTAGCTTCAGACTGAGTATCCCTCTGATCTAATGCTTTCACTTTTAACTAAATGATAATTTGTTTCCAAATCTTACTTTTAATCTTTTCCCCTTAGATTTGGTATAGTGCCTTTTATGTCAGGAGGACATCCTAAGGTTCTTCACAGGTTGACTGTAAATTGGAGTGACTATGTGTTTCATGGTGAAAGTGTTTGTTCCTGCAGAGATTTTTTTTTAACTGAGATGTTTCTTTGTTTGCTTATTGCTCTGTCCAGATGTTGATGAATGTACATCAAGCCCGTGTACAAATGGTGACTGTGTTAACACGCCTGGCTCCTACTACTGTAAATGTCATACTGGTTTTCAGAGCACCCCCACCAAACAGGCCTGTATCGGTAAGTATTTTGGAGAAGTTGATTTGTACCAATTAAGAACTTAACAACAGCAACGTTACATTTGTAAAGTGCCTTTCACATCGGGAGGATGTCCCAAGATGCTGGACAAACAAAGCTTTGGACCTGAGCTGGGGGTCAGGGAAGGTGGAGGGCAGGGGGGGAAGCAGCGAAATCAAAAGCACGGTCGAAGAGGAGAGTCTTCGACCGTGCTTTCGATCTCACTGCTTCCCCCCTGCCCTTAAGCTATCTTGAAAGACATCCTTCAGCATATTCAAGACATTCACCTATTCCAATTATTTCATTGTTTCCTCACAGAGTTAGTGGATAATCACACTGAGCCAAACGGAAAATAGTTCAGGTTTTATCACTGCCCTGTGTTAAGTTTGGTGATCCAAGATTTGAGCACTTTCCAGTATCCATCTTTCATTTAGCAGAGTAGCCAGGCCACACACGCTTTCATTGCATCGAGGCTTGACTATGCAAACTCCCTGCTTGTCGGACTCCCCAACTCCTCCCTCCATAGGCTGCAGATCATCCAGAACACTGCAGCCCGTGTCCTCTCCCGCACCAGGCTCCGTGAACCCTATCAAACCCATCCTTGCCCGACTCCACTGGCTTCCCATCACACAGAGAATACAGTTCAGCATCCTGGTTCGCACCTTCAAAGCCCTCCATGGTCTTACTCCCCCCTACCTCTGCGACTCCTAACCCCCTACCATCCTGCCTGCTCCCTCCGCTCAGCGGGCTCTGGCCTGCTTCACGTCATCCGCCTTATCTGCCCCCCGCCTTCTGTCACTCTGCCCCCACCCTCTGGAACTCCATTCTGCAGTTCCTCTGCCTCACCCCTCCCTTGCCTCCTTCAAGATCCATTTCAAGACCCTCCTCTTCAACTGTGCTTTCGATCACTCTGCTTCCCCCCCGCCCTCCACCCTCCCTGATCCCGATCCCCAGCTCGGGTCCGAAACTGACTGTCTAGCTCTTTGGTGATATCCTCCCGACGTGAAAGGCACTATACAAATGTAATTTTTACAAGACTCTTCTAGATTTAAAACATGAAAATACACAGTTAAAAAGTAACATGGTTTTGTTCATTTTGTGTTTTTGTTTAACCTCTGTGCATCTTGGCAGGTGTTCCTCTGGTTTTTGAACATGGTAATAGTTCGGTTGTACACTCATTTCACTAAGACTGGAATTATGAGTGTATCACAGTACTTCCCCATGAGTACAAGACCAGGAAAGCAATTTGGAAAGGCTTGTGTGGTCGCCCACTATATTGATTCAGATTGTGCCAATATAAGCAACACAAGAGAAATTGGAATGGTGTTACTAGACATGTCTACTCTATAGTTACAAACCAGAAATTTTATTGTAGGCTGCTCCGCAGTACATAACTACATTTACTCATTATTTTATAGTAGCGTTTGCCAAAAAGGCAACAAGTCTGGGTTTGTAAGCAGAAGACTGGAAATGTGTTTGGAAATATGTTTCAGACTGTGCAAATGTGCACTGTGCTACATGCTAATTGTAAAAGCAGAATTTACTTATTCTAAGAACCACATCTGTGCACAATAAAGTAATATATTACTAAGAATGTCTGAAAATAATGGGTCTTTGTTTGAAGTAGTTGAGTGTAAATATTGGACAGCTTTTGGAGACTGAGGAACCCAGACCAGTTGGAATTATTGCTCAATACCAATCTGATCTTCGAAGCAAAAGATTTGGGTTAATGGTTTCATATTTGTGTGTTTTTTTTTCCTTTTGTTTAAATGGTATAATTTACTACTGAGGAATGCAAATGTAACTACAGTAATAATAATAATAATAATCCTTGCATTTGATGTAGCGCTTTTCAAGTCGGGAGGACGTCCCAAAACGCTTCACAGAACACACTGTAAAGTGAATTGACTGTATATTTGTGGGCGAACGCGGCAGCCAATTGCGCACAGCAATGTCCCACAAACAGTCGTAGATTGAAAATGACCAATTTAATTATTGTTTTGGGTTTTGGAGGGATTATTATTAGGCGTGTGGAGTAAGGAAACTTGCCCAAGGTTTCGCCCTGCCTGGAATTGAACTCAGATCTCGCTTGCAAAGCGAGTGCTCTAACCACTGAGCTACAGGACTCACTCATCCGGAATGAGTGAACCAGTCTACATCTAAATCTTTCTTCTATTCAGAATGGTCCTGACCACAATCTTTGCTTGTATAACCGCAAAAGGGGACATTTTTCCTCTGTCTCCATTCATTAGGGGAAATTACAGTTTACCAAAAACATGAATCCTTTCTTGATGAAATTTAAAGACATCTTCATTGTTTCCAATGAACTATTGGAAATCTTGAAGATACAAAGCTGTAGACAAATACAGTGGCATGTGAAAAGCGCTATATTGAATGCAAGGATGATGATGGGGGATATTTGGCTGCTGTCTTCATTTGTAGCTTTAATCAAAGCTGTACGATAGGAGAATGAGGGAAAGTTGATGTTTATCTGAGGCTACTTAGGAGACAAGTTCCCATTCAGTTTCAAATTATAGGCAAGGCATCAGTGTGGTTAGTGAAGCCTCACTGATGTAGTGTATCTGGGACTTGTTTAGAGTAAGTGATCTCTTTAGATTCACACTGCTTTTCTTCTGTTTCCAGATATTGATGAGTGTATTCAGAATGGACTCCTTTGCAAGAACGGTCGCTGTGTGAACACAGCTGGAAGTTTCCAGTGCATTTGCAATGCTGGCTTTCAGCTGACTCCCGACGAAAAGAATTGTGTTGGTAAGAAAGGAGTGCTTTTCAATCAAACTTGAATCAGGCGCTCAAACTCACTTCACCTTCCCATTAGACATGACATGTTTGTGTGAATTGCTTTGGCTCCCGAGCACATACATTGGCCGGCCAAATGAATGCAGTAAAAATTTTATTTCTTAGGAAGGTTTTCTATCCTTTTATGAATCCCAAAGACAGAGAGAATTTTTTTTCTGAACCATCAGAAGTTGTATGATTCAAGACCCTGCGATGTAACAGCTGTGGAAGTATAAGAACATTTCCTCTTGTTGCCAGCTGATATGATAAAGCATGAATGTACTGTTATAGCTTTTGTGCTGTTGTTGTTAACGGGAGATGCTCTGCTATACATTCCTCATCCATAGAAACCCATCCAACTGTCAGAAGATATGGTCCCTGAATTTCACAGCCTTCATCGTATATCCTCCTCCCTCCCTTCTGTCAGATGTTTTGGCTGTTTCTATGAATGCTAGCATCCAAAGACACTCTTGCATCTGACTGCGAATTGCAAGGCTATTTGCAGGGCTCATCCATCTCTTAACTATAACCTATTGAAAAGGAAGCAATTGACAATATACTGAAATTACAGTTTCTTAAAATAAGTAGTAAAAAAATGATTGGAATACGGAGTGTTTTGGCAGACTTGCTGATTCTCAGGATCTTAGCTTTAATTTGAGTTTTGTGGTTTGTGGAACATTTCCGGTGAGTTATAAGTCAGACAAAGGGACAGTGTCACCGACAAATTTCAGAGAATTTCATGGTATTGGTTAAAGTTTGAGATGTATTAGTCCAAACGTTGCAGATCTACTTACACAACTGCATTGCCCTACAGCTGTATAATTTAAATCACCTGCATTCATGCAGGCACAATACCTCAATACCAGTATAGTACTCATACATTTATACAACTGCATTAAGTCAACCTTAATCTGACGACCACAGTGTGCATATACAGATGCAGTGTTCTGTATTTTTCACTTACACATGGTATAACTTCTCAAATTACGAAGATACTCTGGTATTTTCTCAAGGTCTGTAGTTTATTTACAGAATTTTAATTGTAATCTCTGATAGAAATTTTACACTCAACCTGTGTTCTTTTTGTTTCACAAAAAAGTTTTTTTTTGACAAAAAGCAATCCAGAGCAAATGTGTTTCATCTTTGCAGGATGGTACACGTTCATTTGTGAGCCATTCTCGATATAAAAATTGTTCAACGAGTATGGATGTTGTCATTTGAAAGAAAAAACGCTGCTTTTCTCTGCAAATTGTCTACTCAATTAATGTATTAAGTCAAAGAGAGCAGATTGAAGGTTTAGAAATTCCTAAATAATTTGCAAATGTTTACACTCCATCCATAAACATGCATGATATCATTTACACAGCAGGAATTCTCATTAAATAGCAAGAACCAAATGTTAGATTAAAAGGATTTTCGCACTCTAGTGTAACCAGGTGCCAGCTTGTGCCTGGCATTCTCCTGCTGTGTTGTTAAGTGGATCTGATGAGGCAATTTACTGCAGAACACCAGAGGAAAACCTCAGCTGTCGTCAAAGCTGGTTTAGGATTAGAATGAATACCAAGATAATATCGTTCCACCCTGTTCATTCTGCTGCGTGCACACACTCCTCACTTAATATGTTTCGCTACTCATTTACATTTTGCTCAGTTAGTGTGTTCGTTTCATGCTGGAGTTTGTTTTAACTCTCTGAATGGCAGACACAGTGTATCGTGTGCCACCCACACACATCGCTGGTTTAGAGTTCCCAACCTTAGTTTTAAACTAGGTGCGATCCTCTTCTAATAAGAATGTTGAGGCAAAAAACAAAGGGGAGAAAGTGACAAATTAATTCTGCTTTCAGAGTAGTTACTTTTCCTTGTCACAAGATGATTTCTTATCCTCATAAACTTGGTCCCAAGTGGTTCAGCTATGAGATTTTTTTTCATATATGGAGTTGTGGTGACCTGTGATTTAGACTTGCATCACTGTTTGGTTCTGAGGCTTATTTGCCCATTTAGCCCAACTATGTGTATTCAGCAGATGTTTGCAAGCACGTGTGAAAGGAAAATAGCAAAAACAAATGTTAGTTGTGATTTGCAGGGGAATGTCCTCTTGTTCAATCATCACCAGTAAAGCTGTATTGAACTTAGACAGTGTCAAGCACTAACAGATGCTTTCCATTTCCTACAGATCACGATGAATGTGCCACCACCAACATGTGCCTGAATGGCATGTGCATCAATGAGGATGGAAGCTTCAAGTGCATCTGTAAACCGGGCTTCGCTCTGGCTCCCAATGGACGTTACTGCATCGGTACGTGAGGGAGAGAATAACATAAACCAGACCTACTTCAGGTTTCCATTGATTAACTTGTTGCAGAAATATGCACTCTTGGCTCGAGGAATAGGGGTACTAATCTGAGTCACAATACTACGTTAAAACGTGTCTGATCCTCACATTCAGGTTTTTAAATCGAGTTACAGAAACACAAGGAAGATCAATTCCATTCCTGACCTGCAGAATAGGCATCTACCACTTATTTTATCTTTTAAAAAATATTATATTATGTACATATATATATGTATATATAGGAACTCTGGTGTCACAATAATATAAACATCTTATTTTCTCTAAGATAAATCCCATGTTTTTCAGACTTGGGAGGGAAATTAGAATTAGATGCCACATTATTTGTAGAAAAGATATTGAGATTGCTGAGGAAAGACCACAATTTATACACATTGTAGAACAAGCTCTCAATGTAGTGGGTAAGGAACTAATTAAGTAGCATTGAAGTTCACTAGAGTCAGACTGCTGTTGTGCAGGGCCAAATTCATTTACTTTTTAATTTATTCTTTTTAATGTCTTATCTGTAAGATTGTATGTAGGACTTTGTGGTGTTTCAAAGATTTGAGTGATTTCTACTAATTCTTAATAGGTGTGTTTAATATCATGAAATTGGTCACTCACTCAATGGCTGTTTGTGGCTATGTGCAAATTAACTGCTGTGTTCACTCACAAAAAAACACAGTGACATTACTTGACAGTATATCCTGTGAAGCGCTTCGAGACATCTCAGCATTCTGACAAGGTACTATATCAAATTCAAGGATTGTTATTATAACCAAATACAACCTGCTCACTCTGTGTGATAGAATTTTCAGATTAGAATGAATTGAGTGACCAAATTATTATTTTTTTTGAAGGGTTTATTACCCCCGGAATGCAATCCACCAATCGACTAACATCCAAGTTCTGAATTACTGCTAGGTAAACAGAGGACACGTGGAGTAAGGAAACATTCGGCAAGTTTCCATACTCCACACAAACACCTCGACCTGCCCTGGAATCGAATATAACAATAATAATCCGTCCATTTGTTACAGCGCCTTTGAAGTCAGGAGGATGCTTCAAAGTGCTTCACAGAAATTACTGTAAAGTGTTGTGACTGTCTATTGTTTAGGTGAATGTGGCAGATGATTTGCACACAGCAATGTCCCAGAAACAGCCATGAAGTGAGTGACCAGTTTTATCTGGGTTTGATAGACCCTGAAGACTGGATGTTTGAGATGTAACAGATACAGATGTCTCAAGCAGCACGGAATTTCCCCGCCAGACTGAGGTCATTAACAGTCAGATCCCAGCACGGGGGCAGATTTAAGGAGTGAGGGGGGAAAACAAATCCGGGTCACTTTCAAGAGCAGGCCTCGAGCACCTGGTTCATATGAGCATATGGTTCAAGTCCGAAGGCTGTCTCTTGTCACTTGGCGTTCTCCTGGGGCACATTACACCATCCGCTGCTTGTCCAAAACAAGGAATAGAAGGAAATACCGAGTCTTGCTGGCAGATGATGATGTGCAGTTGATAGATGTCAGGGAGAAGCTCACGCCCCAGACTGTCCTGCTTTTTCCCCACCTCCTCCCCCTGTTACGAACTGAAGAAAAAAGAATTGTAATAGCCAACAGGCTCCTCTGCTAGGGACTCGCACAGAGTAAAAGTGAGAGAAAGAACTACTGCTGGAAGAAAAGTAATTTCTGCTGTTCAGCGACAGGCCTGCCTCAATATAACCCTCTTCAGAAATTGGTGTAAAGTTAGCAGCATTTTATAGCACAAGAAACGCATTAATGAACACCAGAAACTTTGTCCCCAAATTCATGAGCTGTCCACTGTCCTGCTGGTCAGTCACAGCTTACAGTGTGCTCCCGCGGGCTGCTTGCTATGGGCAGCGATCTTAGAATTACCCATTTTTTGCTTCCTCTGATGTGCCAGTGTGGAGGCAGAGCAGCAGTTACGAAAAAAACACAAAATCAACTTCTTTTTAAATGGAATTAAAAATTGGGATTCTCTTGGACTCAAGCATTGCCACTGGTGGGTGCAACTTGCAAAAAAAACTTAATGACATCCTGCATTGATATTGCGCCCTTCACACTGAATACTTAAAATGTAAGGAGTGCTTAAAATATAAGAGCATCAAAAACAACGTGACCAGCAGCCTTACCAGCAGAAGGTGTCAACACCTGAATATCTTATAATGACAGTAGATTTGTAACAGAGTCCATTGAAGAGAGATAAAATGCAAATCTATTTCACATGATTGTGATTAAAACACCAATAATAATATAACGAATGGCAGCATAAGACTGCAGTAAGTCCAGTGTTTATTAAAGGAAGTCGTTTGCTTATGAGGTTGTGGAGTGTCAGTTGGCACCCTCAGAGCAGAGTGGGTATGAAAATGACAGGTACAGGAATGTATCTCACTGTGTTGTAATTACCCTTAAAGTGTGCAGTAATGCTGCTGTGGTGTGAGATGACTCCTGTGCTTCCTCACTCAGACACTGATGAATGCCAGACTCCAGGAATCTGCATGAATGGCCGCTGCATCAACACGGAAGGCTCATTCAGGTGTGAGTGCCCCCCAGGTTTGGCTGTCGGTGTGGATGGGCGCGTCTGTGTCGGTAAGGAAGTTCTTTGCATTGCAGTCGATTGCCTGAAGGAGAACAGTCCTGATGCACCTGTTTGCAATCCCTAGAATTGATACCATGGGCTTTTCTTAAGTTGCATCAATATTTAATTAATTGGAAATTTGGGGAACTCAGATCATTAGAGTCACTGATAAAATGCCTTCCATTTGGGCTTTTCTAGCGTAAGACAAGTGGAACATGACCTTCAGCCCTTTCCCTCAATGGGAAAAAAGAACTAGTAATTAGAGCGATGGTATATCACTTTCAGTTCAAATCATTATAATTCCTGACCTACTGAAAACCTAATTTATAAAGCCATCATCATGTATATATTAAAGTGGAAAAGTGTGGATTTGGTGTATCTGACTGCTTATTTGCAATATCCTTCAACACTTGGAATCCTCCACTTGAGAGTGATTTTTGAACTCCGATTCTGAATCAATAATAAAACTTCACAAACTTGTCTATAATATCACAGCTGACCGACCTGTGCCCAGAACCCGTCTTTCACAGGCTTTTATCTAACTTGCAGGTAAATGCAAGCTATCATGTGTGCAAAAAACAATTGACATGTTTGTCTTCAAAGCATTGCAAAAAGATCTTCCTCTTGCCTTGAAGTTGGTAGGGTGGATCAAGTTCACTGTGAGTTTTCAATGATAGAACCTGCAATGAAACGTCACAGATTTTACCTCACTGTTTCTGAAACTCCCTCAAGAGAGGAAATCTTGTTACAGTTTTGTGAACTTAGTTTACATTCCCATCGGGAGGACATCTCAAACAGCTTCCCTGACTGACGCTTGGTAAAGTCAGGAGAAAATTGGAAAGACAAGTTTTGTTCAGTGTTTCTGGCATTTATTATACGTGTTCTGTCTGTCTGTGGTCATCTTTGATATCCCAGGAGTAACACTGATGCCAACAGAGAGTTTGTCTGCAGATATTTCTCTCCTGGCGATGCGAAGCCTGAAAATTAGCACAAAATCTTAAAATCAAAAGAACGGGCTGGGAACATGCCGTAAAAGTCACAGGATGTCCACATTTTCCCCAAAGCATCGTACAAAGCTTTAAAGCTGAACCAGATGTCTGATATGCACATTCAGTCAGGTTCTTATCTTAGTGGAGACTGAGCTGTCATTTGTTTGCAAATGTTCAATATGTGTAACTTTTGCTCAACTGAATGCTAAAAGAAGCTGAAAGGCTTCTTTCTAATCACTGTGCTGTGACCTCTGACTTGCACACCACTAATAAAATAATGTCCATTGAACCCCCATCCGCTGCTTGTTTGTAATATATAAAAAGTGCATTTTATAGAGGGGATTCACAGCAAGCATTTCATTACTTCCAAGTGTGAATAGCAGTAACATTTTATGTTCTCTTCCGCAAATATTTTGTGAGTTTTGTTGCAAAAGTGGGTTTTGTTGGAATCTTGAGATCAAATAATGGCAATTTGAGAGTTAGGCTCTGTTTTAACAGCCAGAAATTTGCAGAGTCATGAAAGGTTCAGGTTCTGAGATTTATTAATGCTGCCAACTCAACATTGACGTCAATGTTTCACTGAGAGACAGAACATAAAATGATGGCTTGAGGAGGTGTTTGTGTTTCACATACCTCGTCTACACAAGTGCTGGGGGTTTTGGAGAAGTAATTTTTCCTTCTTGACTGTTTAGCTATAAAGCAGGGGAGTGAAGTGAAGCAGGAGCTTCGGTAAACATTCAAACTAAAAATAAAATCTTTGCTGCCTTCGATGCCAGCCACGGTCTGCGAGGACGATGAACGTCAGCGTTTTATACAGTGTTTTCTTTCACTGTTTCAGATACCCACATGCGGAGCACGTGCTATGGAGGAATTAAGAAAGGACTGTGTGTCCGCCCATTCCCTGGGGCAGTCACCAAGTCGGAGTGCTGCTGTGCTAGTCCAGACAATGGCTTTGGAGAGCCCTGCTTTCCGTGCCCAGCGAAAAGCTCAGGTATACCTTCCTCATCCATGCAAAATGATTTCACCACCTCTTTTGTTTATATTTTGCCACAAAAATCTGATACGGGAAGCTGTCAAATTTCTGCCCTTTTTCCCTGATTGTTTGTTTTCTTTCAGTTGTGAAACAGTTTTGAACATCATTGGCAACAACTGTGATTGTAACAATTTATGCCATTTCATGTTCTATTTATTTTAGTTATTTAAAATAAATGTTTTATTTTATTTAGCTCGGTTCTGAAACACTGTCTGTCCAGCGCCTTGGGACGTCCTCCCGACGTGAAAGGCGCTAAAGAATTGTAATTTTGTTGTTGTCATTTCTTTATGACATGAAATAGGGGGATTAAATCTAACAGTCAGCCTAGACTGTGAGTTCAAATTCCCACAATACACAACCTTCGGATTCAGAGGCAAGAGCATTAGCTACTAATTGAGCCAGGCTGACATGCAAGGGACCACTGAATTGATAAATTTCCAAAGTTAGGTTCACCCATTTTTTCCCATGTTCCCATTTTTTTGAGGGAAGGAGTTGTTGTGAATACGACAAGTAAATTGGGGAGTGTTTACTTTACATTTGTGCTTATCATAGGGTAAAGGGTTGTAACTGCTGTAAAAACAAACCTTTTCCCCTGGTCACCGGATTCCCCAGCTCTTCCCTACACAAACTGCAGACTATCCAGAACATTACAGCCTGGCTTCCAATTCTTTACTCAGAGACTGGCCAGGTGGAACTCCAAATGGCGCTTTCCAGTCCCCTATATTTGTACGTTCTTTTGTTGGAACTCGGGCAGGTGTCTCAATTCAACCCCAGCAGTGTGGCTCTCTGGATGGCACTGACAATTTGTTGCTCTGCTAAAGGCAGTTCTGTCCTTTGAGTGCTCTGGATTGCGATCATCCCAATTCATAAGTAACACAGGACCCTTATAGCCAACAAACAAACAAAAGAGAATTTTATCTCATTATTCTGGGCTGGATTCAAACCCATGGTCCAGAGGAGGAAGCCACTTACCAAGTCACTAATTGCCCCCAAAATGCTTTTTTCACAATAATTATAAATGGCTAAACTTGTGTTTTATCAGTAAGGTCTGTTCATTGGACTTTGTACCCTGAAAGTCCCAGACCAGCTTCAAAACAAGAACTGTATAAGTGTTAACACCAATACATTATGTTACAAGGTGTATATGATTTACCTTTATCTGCAGTCACACTGATTGGTTTTGCTGAACCTTTCTCTATCGGTGTTGTTTGCGAGGTGAGTCATTGCTTTTTGCGTGTTACAAGGATTAATGTTGATCAATATTTTGCTCCTGTTTTTGCAGATGAATTCCAGGCCCTGTGCAGCGGTGGAATTGGTATAACAGCTGACGGAAGAGGTAAGCTGAAAACAATTCATTTGCTTTTTAGAAACATTAAGTGAAGATTAAACCTCGGTTTAGCATCTCATCCAAAGGACATACCTTCAACAATGCAGTGCTCCCCCAAGCACTGTACTGGAGTGTCAGCCTAGACTGTGAGTTCAAATTCCCACAACACAAAACATTCTGACTCAGAGGCAAGAGTATTAGCTACTAACTGAGCCAGGCTGACATGCAAGGGACCACTTAATTGATAAATTTCTAAAGTTAGGTTCACCCATTTCATTATCTCCCTGTGCCATGATGAGCCACAAGAAAAGTTATTCAAGCACTCATCAGAAATGTTGTCAAAGTATCAGCTTTATGTTACTGTGTCAGTTGTCTTCATTCTTTTCTCTTGTACATTCTTTGGTGCTTCTTTCTATAATATTCTTAAGATGAGTCAAAAATAGAGACTCCTGGTGGTAGCAGAATGTGCATTACTCCAGGCTGCAGGAACACTGATCTGACATAATCCCAATAGACATCTGGCTACTTGCAGGAGTATCTGTTTGAGACTTTTGTTATTAATCCCAGGTTGTATCCCAATCCTATGCCTCTGGAAGCCATAAAGTGCATGTGGTAATGGGTAACATGTTAAAGAAAATCGATCTTTTATACATTTTCCATCTTTCGATCGCAATGGAAAGTGTGAAACAGTGAAGTGCCATTACGTTTATCATTGTGGGGGATGGGATTCTTCTTACTCGACTTCCGGTTGCCCTTCAAACCAAAGCCCTCATAGACTAGCAACAGTTAACCTATCAGTGGTTTGCAATGGGCGACTGCGTGATTTTTTCTTATTTTATGATTCGATTCAGTTTGACTTGTGGAAACCACTGTTGACTCAAAATGTGAGGAGGGCCTCTCGAGTATGAAATACCAAACTGTCCCACCCAGAACATGACAGCAGCACACTGCATTTAAACAAAATGATTTATGTTTTAAAACCTGATTTATTGTCCTTATTAAAGTCAGCCCTGAGAATGCGGTAAACGTGCAACATTTTCAAATTTACATAAAAGAGTTGCGCTGTGGTAAAGTAGTGATTTTTCAGCGGCAAAACCTTTTTGCAAGATAATCACCGAAGCATCTTTTGCTTTCCAAACTACAACAGTGCTTTCCAGTGTGGAGATCTTTCATTTACCTGTGAGCCCTTGTGCTGATAAATGCCTCAACTATTTTTTTCAGACAAGACCACTTAATATCTGATACTTATTACTACCAGGGATGAGAGTTTGGGAGAGTGATTTATGTGTTACTGGAAGCTATGGATTCCTATGTCATTGCTGTGCTGCCTGAGCGCTGATTTACAGCCATTGCCACCGACTTTGCTGTAACATCCTATGTGCTGCCCTCTTCCAGGTGGAGCTGCACCATTCACACGCTCAGTGCTGCACCAAGCTGCTAACTAACAACAACCTTGTTTCTTCTGAGAAATTGCACATCCTGTAAAGCCAATAGTATAAACCTCACCAGAGTCTCTTCATATTCTTAGCCTTCAGACCATTATCTTAACATTTGAGATCATTCAGACTTTTGGGAAACATGTCTTAAGTTCGCTTTTAATTTGGGAGCTGTTCTTTTTGACACAACCTTTCTGCAGGACTTTTCGACACAACCAAAAACGATGTCTAAATTAAACCAACATTTAAAGGTTGTATTCCAGAATTGTGCATGGTTTGAATTGAGAAGACAATAATCTTAAGGATGAAGACCACAAGGAATTTTGGTCCTGGGGGTTGGCTGTCTGCAACTTGGTTTAAAGCTATGTTAATTGAAAATCTCCCAACACTCCCCACCCACCTCGAAAGTCTCAGTTGGTCACATGGTGTGCTGCCAAGCTGCCCTGGCTGAGATTCACAAGCTCAGTTCAGACCCGAGTCTACGTACACAGCAATCCATTCAATAAGGCTAGATTTGGGCTGGCTTGGTGACAATGCAGTTAATCTTTAATCTGTCTGCGATCTGACAGGGGATTTGTGCAGTGCTCTTAACCTTAACGCTAGAATCTTAAAATGTGTTTCTGATTTCACTGTTAAACATTTAAAATATTCAAGCTGATGCCCTCTTGGGTGATCTGCAATTCGCTGTTCACCGTATAAGGTAAAACACAGTTTGTAGTGCCCAAAATACTTAATACTTATAGTAATAGTTCAAATAATCAAGACAAAATTTCTGTGTGTTTTTCTTATTATGCTATTCTTTGCTAAGTAGATATCAATGAGTGTGCTCTGGATCCGGATATTTGTCTCAATGGAATCTGCGAGAATCTTCGAGCCAGTTACCGGTGTATCTGCAACATTGGTTATGAGTCTAGCCTCGGAGGGCAGAGCTGTGTGGGTAAGTGAGTCATAGTTGTTTCTGTGTGACTTAAAAGTTTATTGGGTTATTTAGAAAGTCCTTCCCTTGTGCTTATTTTTCATTCACACATCCTTGTGTTTTAATCACATGTCCTCACATGTCAGGCTTGCAGGATATTCTTACTCCAAAATAAGGTAAAGGGAACATTATGAGACTGAAAACTTCTCGCTGTTTCTCTGCCTCTTTCTGTAATGGAAATGACTCCTTTTCAAATCTCTGCTAGCGTTGTTCTCTAGACAGCTGCTTGTAGGTGCATGAGAGCACCCTTAGAGGAACAGCCCCTAATGTTCTCACCCGCCTTCTCTACCTAAGTCAACACATTGTGAATGCTGCAGGCTAGAAGCTAGAGTGGGGGCATTAGCAAATTGTGAAATTGCAGGTTGAAATTGCTGAGGCCCCTGCATACCCTGTAGCAATCTATCTCATAACAGTGAGAATCACTATCTAAAGTTAGAGAGTTTGTTTGGGAGGCTGTAATGATGTTGAACGAAGGGCACAGAAGGTTACAAGAAAGCCATGGAGTTGCATTTGAGCTCACATAAGAGTCCCTTGAAGTTTTGATCATTCTATTTAGGTCTGAAGATAAAACATTGGCTTCGAACTCCAGCCTTACACACTTATTTTTTATGCCACTGTGATCTTTACTTCACAGTCCTTGTTTGCTTCTTCCCCTGGCTGTAGTTCCAGTCTCTGCTGGTTATCATTGTGATCTCTTTGCCAGCTGAAATAATGGCTGATGTCATATTTTTTAATATATTGCACGTTTGAACTTTCAAAGCTCAGAAAAAAAAACTATCCTCATTGCAGCACAAAAATGGGTGGAAAGTTGGCACAAACTCCGAACAATGTCTGACTGGGTCTTTCTACCTCAATACCAATTGTGTGTCTGAACTTAGTTGTAGGTTACTGCACAGACCCACAGTGCAATATTCAACAGTCTTCTACTGGTGTGTCAGCTTAACAGAGCATGAATCTGTACATCTTGTCCCAATCTAGAGAGACTTATTGTACTCTGCTCTAAAAAAATCACTCTGCCAACTTCAGACACAGTGGAACATGAGTACATATGGACCACGTAATATAGCACTACTTCAGCAAGGATTATTAATATATTGTATAACTATTATATAATGAACAAAATAAGTTAAAGTTTTGAATTTTTCAACAGAGAGATACAAAATCACAATTCAGGGAACTCAACATTGCAGGGCATTTTGCCTTTGGAAAGAAAGGACATTTTGACTTATTTAATTGAAGATATTTTTGATAACACATTTTTTTATAGTGTGGTAAGAGATTTTTCCTTGCACATGTTTGACTGAAAGGAATTCTACATCTGTTTACCATAGAGTCTTAACAGCCAAAGACCACTCATACTTTTGGCAAAAAAAATCGTTTCCACTGTCATTTGTCAAAAATATTGTTTCTTTAAATATTCCTCAAGCTTTTCCTTTCTTAACGTATTTGTTTAATATGTTGCACTGAGTTAGCTGCCAATGTTTGAAAAGCCAAAATGTCTAACACAGCTACAAATGAGTTGTCAAGGTATTTTACCCTTTCAGTCTGATCAACTCAGTACCAAAGATTTGATGCAGCCAAGAGATTTAACTCTCTGACATGCCTTTCTCAAGACCTTGTATCTGTCAGAAATGTTCATTCATTTTTATCCTTTCATTTATTCAGTACATGTTTTCACCTTCCCTTTTCTTTGTTTTCTTTCTATGGTATGTCACACCTCACACATTTGCCAAATATTGTGGCTCAAATTTTTCTCCTCGTGCTACTGACATCAGCACAGTTCTACATTCTTGGAACAAGAGGTCCCTCTGCTGAAAAGGCCTCACTCCTCTGTCCTACTCTGTCACACAATGCTCCTTGTAGTGAGCCAGTCTTGCAGAATATGTTCATTGAAGAAGAGCCCAATTTGTTGAAAATCTTTGAGTCAGGTAGATTTGTACCAGATTGATTGTTCAAAAAAAATAAACTTTCCATTTTGGTTTTCTTCTCCCTCTTACTTCACAGTTTATTGTGTAGATAAGGATCCTGTCAACTGCGTTATAAAATAATTGAACTGATGTTAAATGTCTCACCCAGAGAATGCCTCTAAATGTTATAACCTGAAACAGTTTATAAAATACACAACCAGTCTCAAAATGATATTTGGACCTTTGTTCCAAACTTAAACTTGCACTCAAAACTATTTTATGGGACATTCAAAACTCAGAATGCTGTCTCCTAACTTTGTTCTTCTTATCCCAAGCACTTGTGACACTGGAGCTTCTTTGACCCTTTTGGTCTGGTCATGTAGATAATCTGAGTACATAAGGATGGTATCAGTTGGAGAATAAAATAGTTGAACTGCCATTAAATGTATCATTCAGTCTTTACTTCTCTCCGTCTTCCCTCATGTAATCTACTGACTTAAGAAACTAATGCTTTAGATCAGCTAATCACTTATATTTTTTCTCCACTACACTTGTTCGGCCTTGATTATGTACTGCATGGCGGCCCAGGGTCTCTCACCTAAGTCTTTCATTTAAAATATGCAACAGTATGCACCTTGTTTGAATGCAGAAAACACGGAGCTCAGAGGCCCAAGGATCGTGCTATATAATCAAAACCACAAATTCATTGTTTTTTTTAAATCTGTTTTGTTCACTAGATTTTAAAGTATTATGATTGAAATACATAGGAATTATAAGAACAGTGAATACAGTCACTGGACATTAGGGAAGAGAATTCTCAAAGTAACTAAATCTGGAAGTAAGGCTGCCAGTAATGTAAACTATTCAGCGACTGACTGTACTTTTGAGACATTTGATTTGATACATTTGGTGTAAAATTTGATGCTGAATGCCAAACAGACCTTAGAAATGTATGCACATACGTTTGAAATAATTTGCACATGTTTTAGTGATTTGATGATGGTTTGCCAATCCTCCTAGATCTTTAGTAAATGCTATTGGGGTAATTCTCTTCTCTCTGTCACTTATTCCACTCCTGTTTTCTAGATATGGATGAATGTGCAGTGAACAGGCTTCTGTGCGATAACGGCCTCTGTCGCAACACGCCAGGGAGCTACACCTGTAGCTGCCCTCAGGGCTACCTTTTCAGCCCTGACTCGGAAACATGTGAAGGTGAGCAAAGGGGTTAGTCAATGCAGTCACTGGACATTAATTGAAAATGACATCTACCCAGTCGTAGATTGACAGCAGCCTCATCCTATTGCAGAAGGTGATTTCCCAAGGTCACGCCTGGCCAAATCCCAACCTTCGAATGCCAAAAAGAAGGAATGTATGCTTGCGGTATTTACAATTCAGGAGGGGCGTGGCAAAATAAACAGGAAAACATGATTCATTTTGTTTGGGAATCAGTGAGAAGGATAAATTTCCAGTAAATGAATCAGACATTTAACTCGATATACTTAGTATTGTACTGTACCATTTTACCCATTGTCAGAAGAGTTCAGCAGGCTGATTGCCCACCCTTTCAAAATATACAACCATTTTACTTTTGAGTAGAGACAAAGACGCGGCAGTATGGCTACCTCTCTGAGAATAGAACTCTGCTGTTATTAAAGATATTTCCGACACCATTCCATAAATACAACCAAATATAACCATTTTAATGACTGCTCCAAAAAGGGAAATATTCAGTGGTAATGTTATTAGTCGACAGTGACACCATACCCACCTCCTATTAGACTAGCCTGACTTCCCTGACCCCAGCATAGATATGTCTCACTATCACTCGAGGAAAGCTAAAAATCTGAAGCTTAGCGACAAGCAAACTCTACTGGTTCACAGGATCACCGAAGAATGAGTATAAAGCAGAGGTTTGTATGAGGCGAGTACTACGTGTACTCTTGAGTAATTGTGGCATTTTCAGTTAAATTAATTTTATGCGTGGTAAGCTCAGCACTCCCAACCTGACCCGATCCACCGCCATTAGCTCCTGGTTTGACCCTTTGTTCCTGGCTCCCATCACTTCTCCCTCGGGATATTTATTTTTACACTACATTTAAATGTAAATTTATGGATATGACAGTCCTGGAAATATCCCAGATTTGAATCCAGAATGAGAAAAATAATGTTGTATAGCAGAAACATTATTCGTTTTGTCATTTTCGAAAGAAAAACTTTTTTCTTCTCCAGTTCAAATTCTTGTTTGCTATGAGTTGCCTCACACATTTTGATTGCAACCATCAGCCACTGGGAAATTTACATGGAAAGTTTTTACTCGTGAATGATTAACTGAAGATTTATGCCTTGCATGGATGTGTTAAAACAAGCAGGTTGCCACTTCCGCACCTGCAGTTTATATGTAACTGACTGAAGCTTCAAAAGGAATCAATATTTGGAATTAGCATCAGATAAAGTGGAGGTGTTGGAAAGTAATGCAGGTGATAGAGATTGTGAGTACAAAATGGTTAATTCACTGAAATCATTATGTGAGGATGATCAAATGGAGTTTGAAAGGGAGAAGATTAGCACCAGCCAGCTTTTTTTGCAGAATAGAGCTAAAAATAATAATAATTATCCTTGCAAAAATCACAGAACTACTGACACAGTAAAAAACCACAGGAAGGCGTAGGTCAAAATTGGTGGACATTGGGTTGGTTGCTAATAACTAGCTAATCTCAGGGGATTCTCATTTAAAATGTTAGCATGCCTTTCAACGCTGCAATATTCTGCTTATCTGGCACCAAGCACTTTACTGACGTTCAAAGCTTTAATCAGTGGTGGTGAGAGAAATGAAAGGGATGTAGTGGATTATAAAGAGATGTAAAGTGACCATGAAGGCAGCTGAAGCAGAGAGATGCAGTGAGGTCTGCTTCTGTCAGCAAGGACATAATGGACGGAATGCAATACATGCCAATTCAAAAGGGTCTGGGGACAGGGCAGGAGAGTGGGACTTAAACAGACATCTCCTTCAGAGAACAGTGGGCCAGATGGTGTCCTTCTGCACTTTAAAAATCTATGACTCTATGAATGAGTAGAACGAGCTGTCATTGCCCTCTTTTAGCTGTTGTTTTTTTTCACACCTCTTCGCTCCCAAAAGGGCCTGTACCCTTGGTCACACCTCATAAGGGAGGCCAGCCTTAGCCAACCAGCTGCATGGGTGTAAATGTTACGTGAGAACAAACTCAGGTCTGATTCTCCCTCCACCACCACCCAGCATAATAACAACTGACTCAATGTTAGGCATGCATTACTGGTAAGAGCGGCCACTTGGGTGAGTTTCAGGGCTGCTGGTGGCTGTGAAACCCTTGGGGAGAGCAGGAGGAGGGGGGGAGAGAAGGAAAAATAGACCAGCCTTTTTCCAAGTTGAATGTTGTTGTTTCCCACGGCTGTTTTTTTTCCTTTAGAAAATTTTGCAAACATCCCAGATCCTTATCCCCTGTGAGGCTGACTCACTGAGCTGAATCACAGCTCCATGGCTGAGACAATTTATTTTTTAAGCCGGTCATTGAAAATTCCCCCAAATGACGTAACAGGATTAATGTAAAGCAGGTGCCTTTTTACTTAAATTCTGGGATATCCAGTGTTGTTTAAGTGGGAAATTTGTATCTCATGTGCAACACACCAAGTCATGAAAGCCTTTAAATAAACATTTAACTCCCCCACTCCCAAGGAATTGATGATTGAAAACAGATATTGCATTTTTCTTCCTGAAGATGTGTGCTTGAGAAAGATCACACCCGCAAGGCTTTGGTCTGGTTTTGAGGTCTGTTAAATGGAAAACTATTATTTGTGTAAAGCAGGAGCAGTGAGAGGACGCTGCTGTTACCGCTATTCTGACAGAATGTAGCTTCTTTCTAAATATACTGTGAGGTCACAAAATCACAAGATTGGTTTGGATGAAGAAGGCCTTTCAGCCCATCGCATCTCTCAAGAATACCCACTCTAGCATCCTCCCATCACAGAATAAAGCTGTTTTTTAAATGAGCTAAGTGTCCTGACCTCAAACCAAACCAAAGGCCCAAGTCTAAATCAGTTACGATTCATATTAAATTGCACAATTTAGCTTTGATGAATTGAAAATGCTCGTGGCCACGTAACTGGTAAGTTACTCATGGTGACAGCTTTTGAATCATTGGAGGGCCTCCATCCTCCTTGTTTACTGGTTTCCAATTGAACGACTTTCTGTTCTGTCAAGAAAAGACCTGGGTTGTAGAACTATGTTTCTGTTTGATATAACCCACAATTTATTGTTGTGGCTAAAGGTAAAGCCTTCGTGTTTATCCGCAGGAAGGTGTCGCCAGCTGATAATTTGTCTCACGTCAAGGCAAATGTTGTATTTAGCACCGTTTTTTGAAGCAATAATCCTGAGCATTTCTTTCTTGAAACATTTTGATAGAACATGATCTGTATTGATTTGCATGAATCAGTAGAAATATTTAACAACAGACCTTCTCTTTCTGTTTCCCCAGATGTTGACGAATGTAAGAGCAGTCCATGTGTGAATGGTCTGTGCAGGAACACAGCAGGTTCTTTTGCCTGTGAGTGCTCACAGGGCAGTAAACTGGATCCAAGCAGAACAATCTGCATCGGTAAGACTGGCGATTACATATTCCATACAATTACAAATAGATCTTCAGAAGGTCTTTGATAAGGTGCCTCACAATAGACTGTTTGCAGAAATTAAGGCACATGCTATTAAAGGGAATTTGTTGACAGTGGCATCAATATAGGCACGTTGCAAGTTAAGCAGTGAATCATGATCATTGGGTACTTCATGGATTGGCAGACTGTTGTTAGTGGCATAACCCAAGGATCTGTTTTGGGACCTATATTGTTTAACATCTATATCAATGATTAAGAAATTAGCACAAGGGAATGCTTTCCCACAAGCTTGAGGCACCAAATTAGGGAAATATGGCAAACTGTGAGGAAGTTTGCAGAAAATTGCAGGATGATGTTTATTGCTTTTCAGAATGGGCAGACAAGTGGTAGATGCAGTTTAAAGCTGATAAATCAAAATTTAGAACAGTTCAGGAAAAAGAACAAAGAAGGGAAGTAAATGATTTAGTTCTTAATGATGTTCAAGAATGCACATGAATAAATCTTTATAGGTGTGATCGCAGGAAGAAAAGTCCATAAAAAAGCACATGGAGTTCTGGGAACAATCCTGCTTAGAGACATTCAGAGGTGCAGTATTTTTCAGTGGAAAAGGGTTAATGTTTCCTCAAATATGATGTGATTTTTTGACCATTTCCAACAGACAGTGTAAAAGGCACTTGCTGGATGAATATCAAGGACAATCGCTGTGAAGTGAACATCAATGGAGCTACACTGAAGTCGGAATGCTGTGCTACTCTGGGAGCTGCTTGGGGCAGTCCCTGTGAACGCTGTGAACCAGGTACAGAAATAGTGTTGGAAAGGGAACCAAAATGCCCGTATTTTTTTTAAGTGCGGGCAATTTAGTGAACTCAACTTCCTGGGCAAGCCACAAACAGCTGGAAGTAAATTTATTTTGGAGACGGTGATTTAAGGAGCAGACTAAATGTTACTACTCAGTTCCAGAAGCCAGTTAGCAGAGCCCAAAGGAGACCCAGCAGTTGAACCGGGTTCCCCTGTACATGTCTTGCAGGCTTTTTGTTAAATGTAGGGACTTTCCTATTTGTGACCACCCCAGGGACACATGTGGAAACCCAGTATCCAAACCTGACTGAGATTTCCACATAGTATGGAAATTTCCCTATGTCTGGAATGGAGTACACACTCTTTCCCTGGAAAGACACATTCTGCTCACCTAATCCCGGAAAGTATTAGGTGCGGGTTGGCAAAAGCCAAGACTTCAGGAGTGTGCATTGTGTCCTGCTGGAGTTCAGCTAACTAAAAATTCCAAAGATTGACTAGCATCTCCCAATTTTTTCATCAGCAGAAGTTTTGTAGAGTAAACGGTGAACTGAGTTTTTTGAGGCCACTGAAATCTGAACCCACCAGTGCACAGCAGAAAATCTTACATTTCTTAGTTACTAAGGTTTCTCTTGGAGAGCTTTCTGTGGTGGTTCTCATGCTTCTGACTAGAATTTCTTATTTAGTTTGAAAATATGAATGTTTTTCATTACCGTGCAAATGTGCAAAAATAATGATGTTCTCTAAAACTAGAATAAAGATCGTAAACTCTCTTTGTGTTTTCACCCGGGTAATGTTTTATTGAGAAGAAATATAGTGCGAAAGAGTTTCAGGCATTTTATTTTCATCTTTTGTCTTCAGATACGACCTGCCCAAGAGGATACGCAAGAGTGAAAGGTGTTGCCTGTGAAGGTGAGAAGCTTGCCCTTGGCTTCATTCAATTCAGAAAGAAAAGGTTGCCAATCAAATGAATCAAATGAGAAACAATCAGTGCTAGAAATCTGAAATAAATGGTGTAAATGGACATCAGATTGATTAGCATGTTTTCCCCCCGGACAGCTGGGTGGCTGATTCATGTAGAAACCCATCACCGTGCTCAAGTATCTAAGGTGGCTTGAGAGTTACACATATGCCCAGAAATGTTTCTGGAATAGAATGTTGTCTTCTCTCCTTGCACACTGCTTACCTAATTCTGGAAAATATTAGGTACAGGTTGGCAAGAGTCAAAGCTTAGGGGTTCCAGAGATTACTTGTATTTAACCAGCTAAAACGCATAGCTTGCCATTGTGAACACTGGCAAGCTTCCAGTTGCTTGTCCAGCTAGGACCACTAGGGCTTTGACTTGTAGTGTTAGCATGAACTAATTGAGAAAAATCTCTGCATTAGTGAAAGCCCTCTGAATCCTGCTGGAAGGCAGGCTGGCACTAATAGTACGTTGGAATACTGCGTCCCACCCTGGCTCAGGAACAGGACTATCTAAACGGCCACAGAGGGCATACCACTGCCAAGCACATCACCTTGAAGCCATTTCTGAAAGCATCTGACAAAAAAATTCAAAATATTAATTTTTATATCAAATTAAAGCTAAGAGAAATAGAACCAATAAAATAACGATTCCCAAACTCGGGCAATGGTTTGTGAGTTAATTTGGCCCACATTATACTCTGGCCAGTAACCCAGAATGTGTTTACTGTTTAAGTGTTGAGCACATTGTATAGTATGGTAGCATGCAGGGTCTTGTGCACGCATCACAACCATCAAATGCAAGGATTATTATTATTTATTATTATCAAACTTGGGCAGTTTTGTTTTGCCAATTTTGAGCTGCTACCGTGAGTCTGGATCCAGTCAATTTATTCTGCAAGTGTACGGAGAAATTATCCAATTTGAGTTACAAGCCACTGACAATCAGTTTGCACCTGTGGCCGGAATCAACCAAACAGACATTTAGGAATATAGGAGAACAGGACCAAGGCTATTCAGCCCATCGAGCCTGTTCCATCAGTTTGTTAGATCTCAGCAGCTCTTTCAATCCCAATCGTCATACCCCTTTAATAACTCTGTCATCTCAGTAACTCACATCCAAACATTTCTACACAGCAACTACTGACGACAAAAAACAAGTAGCAAAGGATTGATCTTGGTGCTAATCCACTTATCTCCTCTACCAGTCCAATTTACTTAAAAAATAATAGCTGCTCTGTGATTACTGGTACTGGATACAGATCACCAGCTCACAAGATTGGTTCAGATGCACCTGTTCAAAGAGTTTGAAAGATAGGCCAGGGAGGTTAAGGAGGTCAGAGCCGGAACTGAGGAGATATTGGCAAAAGCTGAAGAGGAAGGTTTTAACTTTTTATGGCAGCGAAAAGAAAACCAGATTGGCCATATTTTTGTCATCTTGATGAGCCATTCGAAAGAAACAGGGTATAAATACCGACTCACTCTTCTCTCTTTGAACAGATGTGAATGAATGCAAAGTTTTTCCAGGTGTTTGCCCGAATGGACGGTGTGTGAACACCCAGGGGTCCTTCCAGTGTGAGTGTCCAGAAGGGCTGACAAGGGATGGCACTGGGCGTATGTGTGTGGGTAAGAAACTTCCTTTTCCCTTTACTTTTACATATTACAATGATTCAGTCAGAAGTCTTTTGATATCAGATTTCAACCACAAACACAGATGAGGTAGAGGGAGATTTGTTCATCCTGTGCATTCAATTTATGCATTTATATTAAAATGTTAATTGAACATTTCACAGCATTTTACCCCTTTGTCCATTCTACGTACATTTTTATCCAGTTTTGTTCAGAGGAACTTTCATTTAAAAAAAACACTTTCACTAATTAATTTCAACACTTTTGTCCCGTTTCAACACTTTTGTCCACTTTTGTGAACTGGATCAGAGTCTGTCAGAAATGATTTGATTGTGACTCTTGATTCCTCTGAAGACGATATTTCTGTATTAACAAAAGCTTTAAAAAAAGCAATATTCTTCAAACTCATTCTTTTTCTCCTCTCACCCGATAAAACTACTGACAGGCCTCCGGATATTACTCCAGTAGACAGGCATGTGAAAAATAAACCAAACATCTAGAATTACTTAAAACATGCTCTTGGTTTAATTTGTGGGTGCAACATGGCCTTGAGCTATTTCACTGCATCCCACACAGCTCTCTTCACTAAGGCAAGTCAATTAATTCTCAATATTAGTCTGTAAACTACTAGCTTTCCAGCATGCAAAGGGAAGAGTGAATACCCATAAGACAGCACATAAGTTAAATACATACCACAAAACTTCGCATAAGTCTCAAGTCCCAGTGATATTCTACCAGGGTCTAATCCGCCTCCACTTCATTTCCACAACGGTTTCTGCTCTAGCCCATGCACTGTCTCTTGCGGCGTTCCTCAGGGCTCTGTCCTTGGTCCCCTCCTCTTCAACATCTATATGCTCCCTCTTGGTGACATGATCCGCAGACATGGCGTCAACTTCTACATGTATGCGGATGACACCCAACTTTATCTCTCTGCCTCCACCTTTGATTCCAGGACCACTGCTGTCCTGACTGACTGTCTGTCAGACATCAAGTCCTGGATGGGAGATAATTTTCTACAGTTGAATGTCAACAAGATCAAGGCTCTCCTGATTGGCTCCCGTCAGCGCTTCCACACCTCAGGCGTTGACAGCATCACCATCCATGGCTCCACTTTGCTAAGCCAGACCAGAACCTTGGTGTCTTGTTTGACCCTCAACTATCCCTTTTACCCCACATCACCTGCTCTGCATTCTCCCACCTCCTTAACGTCGCCCAGCTCCGCCACTGTCTCATATCGCAGGACACCAAAACCCTCATACGTGCTTTCATTATATCAAGGCTTGACTATGCAAAATCCTTCCTTGTCGTCTCCCCAACTCCTCCCTCCATAGGCTACAGATCATTCAGAACTCTGCAGCCCATATCCTCTCCTGCACTAGGCTCCGTGACCCTATCACCCCCATCCTCACCCGACTCCACTGGCTTCCTATCACATCAAGATCCTGGTCCTTCAAAGCCCTCTATGGTCTTGCTCCCCACTACCTCTGCGACCTCCTAACTCCTTACTATCCTGCTCGCTCCCTCCGCTCAGCGGGCTCCGGCCTGCTTCACATCCCATGCCTTGCTCGCCCCACTATTGGAGGCGCGAGTCTTCTGCCACTCTGCTATCACGCTCTGGAACTCCATCCCGCAGTCCCTCAGCCTCACCCCCTCCCTTGCCTCTTTCAAGATCCATCTCAAGACCCTCCTCTTCGATCGTGCTTTCGATCTCTCTGTTTGCCCCCCTGCCCTCCGCCCTCCCTGATCCCGACCCTCAGCACGGGTCTGAAACTCTGTCTGTCCAGTTCCTTGGGATGTCCTCTCGACGTGAAAGGCACTATACAAATGTAATTTTGTTGTTGTTGTAATCCAGTTCCTCAAGCTTCAATTGTCATTACTTTAACACAACAATGCTGAAATTCAACAGGGAAGGTGGTTTTAAGTTTTAAAACGAACGTTTCTCTGAACAAAATAAGAGCAAACATTTATAGGCCAAAAGTTGACCCTCCAGTGCAATGTTGGGGAAGCTCTGCGTTGTTGAAGGTATCATCCTTCGGATGAACCCTACAAGGACATGGTGAGCTGAATAGCCTTATTTGTGCTATAAATGTCTAAGAAATTATCAGCCGTTTTGTATTAATATGTACACAATGCTGGTTTGAAATCATGTACTGCCACATTGGACAGCCAGAGTCCATAGAACCGTATCCGAGAAAGAGTCATACAGTCTCACGGGGAGGGAGGACAGGTGGAGAGAGGAAAAGGAGGAGGGAAAGAAAAGACTGCACTGTTGAAGTTACTGTAAAGGTGCAAGAATGCCAGAATACAAGCCATCAAGAGCCCTGTGCAGCAGGTAACCAATACGTTACATATCTTGTAGATATCCGTCTCGAGCAGTGTTACCTGAGGTGGGATGAAGACGAGTGTACCGAGCCAGTGACCGGCCGATTCCGAATGGACGCCTGCTGTTGTTCGATTGGAGCTGCCTGGGGTCTGGATTGTGATGAGTGCCCAACACACGGCACTAAAGAATATGAGTTACTCTGCCCAAGAGGCCCTGGATTCGCCAACAGGGGTGATATTCTAACAGGCAGACCATTCTACAAAGGTAACACGCTTTGTGAAGCAGGAGGAGGAGGAAGCGTTATCAGGTTTTGATTAATTACTAATCTAAATCCAAGCGTATCCAAACATCCACTCAACATGAAAGGCGCTATACAAATATAATTTTTTGTTGTCTTGTATTATATTGTAAACATGACCAGGACTGACTGACCAAATCTGGCAAAAAGAAAGGAATAAAAAACTTTGCGTACATAAAGCGGAGAATAGCACACACCGACTTTGTGCTCTTTACATTTATGAGTTGCGTACTGTTGTTTGATAAGGTAGCTAAACTGCGTTTGTATGACAGAAGCTTTCTTTTCAGAGGCAAGCAGCCTGAGATCTCCAAAAGATCTTTTACTGCAGGTTTGTAGTTCTAAGTCATGTTGTTTGCTGCTCTTCCAGATGTCAATGAATGCAAAGTATTCTCCAACATCTGCAGCAACGGGAGATGTAGGAACACCATTGGCAGTTTTAGATGTCGGTGTGAGAACGGGTTTGCCCTGGATATGGAGGAGAGAAACTGCACAGGTAAGAGAGCGAGCAACCCAGCTAGTGATGCCTTAACACAGAGCAAGAACAGCACCAAAAGTACAAACAAGATAACGAGTACATATTGTTCAAGAAAAACAAGACAAACAACATCCTCAGTGTGATGGGCATTCCCTGTGTAATGGGCTCTCACTCCCTATGTGATGGGCACCTCCTGTGCAATGGGCACCTCCTGCGTGATGGGCACTCCATGTATGATGGGCACCCTGTCCATGTGAGATGGGTTGGGTGCCCTGTCTGATGAGCACTCCATGTATGATGTGCCCCCTCACCCTGTTTCAGTGCCTTGGGACGTCCTCCCGACATGAAAGATGCTTTACAAATGTAATTTTGTTGTGATGGGCACCCAATGAAAAGTAGTAGGTAGTGTCCAAGTTTTTCAGAATGCTTCACCTTTCACATCTCTTTTTGCCTTCAATAAGACATTGACGAGTGTCGCATCTCTCCGGATCTCTGCGGCAACGGAACTTGTGTCAATAAACCCGGCAGCTTTGACTGTGAGTGCTTCGAAGGCTTTGAGAGTGGATTTATGATGATGAAGAACTGCATGGGTATGTACCCTCTCCGATTACTCAGTCAAGATTTCTCTTACCCTAAAAATATCAGGGATCCATCATATGCCAACCACTGGCACTAGCAAGCTGTAAATATAGACTGGGAAAAATTGCTACTGGTTGCAAATTGGGGTATAGGAAGGTTACATTTAAGTTAGAGAACAGAGACATTGATAATATAGCACAAAGGTTTACATTTTTCTTGTCTGTTTGACTTCATAAAAAGAAATTGAAACCAGTGCTCTTTACAGTAAACTTAAAATCAAGAGAGATTGTGAGAATAGACAGATACAGGTTTGGTGCGGGAGGATGAAGAGAGAATATAGCGCTACAATTTAGGCTCCATCTGTAGTTCCATCAACTAGCAACCACACTGGTGCAGAAAAATTGCCAACACTTGACATTTGAATATTCTACCAACCACAAAATCAACCAAATTGAAACCCCAACAAAATGAATAGCTTTGGGCTTCCTCTACACCGTAACAGGAGCAGAGTCTTAGGAGCAGGCAACGGGTGTGTGTTTTCATTGAAGAATGATAATTAGAATTACAGTACATCTTAAAATGGGGGAAGGAGTGAATGAAATGAAATCCAACACACCTCCACAATAACTAAAGTGAAGTGTTGCAGCAGTTGTCAAACATACATAGATGACAGATTTCACACAAAGTGACAGGGAAACCTTAAATGTGGGTTTTGACTTTTCAGCCACTATGCCCCGAATCTTTGGAACTCCTCGCCTCAATCCCTCCATCTTGCTCCCTCTTTGCCTTTCTTAAAATCACACCTCAAGACATTCCTCTTCAACAGTGCCTTCAGTCACCTCCCCTCCCCTTCCGGCTTGGTGTCAAGCCATGCCATCGTTAAGCGCTCCCCAGATGCTATCCTGCATGAAGGGCAGTATATAACTGCACGTTGTTGTCATTGTATTACTTAGCACTTGAACATTAGAGATCTATAAGTAAAAATAAGCAGCATTACCTGATCACTCTTATGACACTGCATTGCTAATGCAACTCCTGTACATTCTGAACTGTATATAAAATATATATAATATATACACAAAATAAAATACACAAAATATAAAATAAAAATGCAAAATAAAATAAGTAAAATAAAAATATACAGTCAATTCACTTTGCAATATATTCTATAAAACGCTTTGAGATGTCTTAACAAGGCACCATATCAAATGCAAGGATTATTATTATTATTATTATATCCTTGATTGTCTTTGCTTTCCCTGCACAGATATTGATGAATGTGAGAGGAACCCTCTGCTGTGCCGAGGTGGCACTTGCATCAACACAGAGGGCAGTTATACGTGCCTGTGTCCTCCAGGACATGAGCTTACTTCAGACGGTAGTGCCTGTGTTGGTAAGATGAACACGATTATACATTATAGCGCGATACACTCTTATTATCGATGGAGATCTTTTTGCTTCGTAAGCCTTTGTTTCTCTCAATGACTAACAGACAATGATTAAATATTGCTTTCTCTGGAATTTGTTTACTGTGAACTATTGTTTATATTGTTTTTGATGAGAGATGTTTTGTACTAGTGTGTCAAACCCTTTCTCATGTTTAATAATAATAATCCTTGCATTTGATATGTTTACTCCCTTTCTGTGCCTTAGATATCAATGAGTGCTCCCTCAGTGATAAACTCTGCAGAAATGGCAAATGTGTGAATATGATTGGAACCTACCAGTGTGCGTGTAATCCTGGGTACCAAGCCACCCCCGATAGACAAGGATGTGTTGGTAAGATTCATACATTTAGCTGCTGCTTTGTTTGCCTGAGTTAAAGGTTTAGCTTGTAGTATAGACAGAATATAAAAGAGGAATGGCTAAAATCAATATTTTAGCTCTTCTTAACCCGAAGAGCAGTAAAAAGCACGAAGACGAGGAGGCAGGGTGCAAGTGATTGTTGAGACAGCCAGTGACTAATTATGATTCAGCTAACCTTTCCAATAGTTAATATGTGTTCAGAATCTCCGACTTATATGATCAGGTTTCCAGTGTTTTAACTGGAGTGCTCTGAAAACCATTTTGAATACCGTCTACTTCAAATTACAGATATCGATGAATGTACCATCATGAATGGAGGCTGTGACACAGACTGTACAAATTCAGAAGGCAGCTATGAGTGCAGCTGTATTGAAGGTTATGCACTCATGCCAGATAAGAGAACCTGCACAGGTAAGCAGATAGAGGGTAGAGGGATAGGAGTTGTTGCTTTGCATTCTGCTGGGAGAGCTTTAGAGAAAAGATTAAATCATTATTGAAGAGCTCTCTTTAAAGTATTATAGCATACAGTACTTGCTGTTAAATCTGTACATATATCACAAATTAAATAGCAATCATTAAATCTTATTAAATATGCGGTGGTGTTTATTGAGATTACGACTTTTAAGCAGAAAATGTGATTTTCACATGAGCCTCTTTTCTTGATTATCAGATATTGACGAATGTGAGGATAACTCTGAGATCTGCGATGGTGGGCAGTGCACCAACATCCCCGGGGAGTACCGCTGCCTGTGTTACGATGGGTTTATGGCATCCATGGACATGAAGACTTGTATTGGTAAGTGGCTCAACAACGGGATACAACAATAGTTCCCGATAATGATTAGTAACAGTTGGTTTTTGGTTTCTTTTGCTAGAACATGCATGTGTATTCTACACATCTGCCATCAGCAGGTTTTAAAATGTTTTGGAGTGTACTATACAAAATTCAGCACACTTAATGTGGTAATAGAAATAACACACAGGAAGAAAATCACAGTGTTCTCATAATGACTTGGAGTTGTCTCTTTGCAGATGTGAACGAATGTGACTTGAACCCTAATATCTGTCTCTATGGCGACTGTGAGAATACCAAAGGTTCCTTCATCTGCCATTGCCAGCTGGGATACTCTGTGAAGAAGGGAACAACTGGATGTACAGGTAATTGCTGAAGAGCTGAATATTGTTGAAGGAAACTGATCTTTGAAGATCTTAAAATTACATAATTTAATACCAATCCAATATATACTTGATATCTTTCATGTCACAGTGTCCTATCTACTCCAGCTGAACAAACTGCAAACTTAACAGTAACTATTAGCTTGAGAATAAAATGTACCCATCACTATTGCTATTGTCAAGTTTCTGAGTCAGGCAGATTTCACAGTGATCTAATGCACTTATTGTTGACTGGACAGCCAGCCTGATTCGATAGCAGAAGTTGGTGGAGCAGACAAGTTACTGGGCAGGATTATTCCTGTTCGGTTCCTGTTTATTCCTGGAAGCTAAAGCCCTAAAGGATAATGTGATTTCAGGTGGACAAGCAGCAGGAAGTTCGCTATCTAAAATCAAATTACCCTTAAAAAACAAAATACCCAATTGTTAACTGAAATCTAACACATAAACCTCCTTCAAGCAAAAAAGGAGCCCTACTACAGAGCCATATGAATGGCTGTAAATGCATATGTATATATACATCAGTGACCCCAGGGAAAGATCAAAAAGATCAACCCCAGTGTAAATTTGTATCCACAGTAAGCTGCACTTTGTGGAGCAATGTTCAGTTCATATCCAACAAACTTGTCTGTACATGATTCTCCACTGGTCTGTAAATTTACTACAACAACTTGCATTCATATAGCACCCTTCACTGAGGGTAGTGCATTAGAGCATTTAAGGAGCATTTGTGGAGTTCTGTAGCTCAGTGGTTAGAGCACCCGCTTTGCAAGTGAGAGACCTGAGTTCAATTCCAGGCAGAGGGCGAAACCTTGGGCAAGTTTCCTTACTCCACACAGAGCCTAATAATAATCCCTCCAAAACCAAAAAACAATAATAAATTGGTAATTTTCAATCCATGACTGTTTGTGGGACATTGCTGTGCGCAATTGGCTGCCGCGTTCGCCCACAAATATGCAGTCAATTCACTTTACAGTATATTCTGTGAAGCGCTTTGGGACGTCCTCCCGACGTGAAAAGCGCTATATCAAATGCAAGGATTATTATTATTATTATTATTAGAGCATTTAGTCTGCTTGATTATTTGGTTTATATCCTCAACACCATCTCATGAATTAAGACCGCTAGGCTTTGCTTGTGGTGGTCTAACCAAACTGGGTTTTACAACAGAGTAAAATGTCATTGTCCTGTTTGCAGCACGTACATTCTCTGACTACTTTGCTACTGTCTTTTCAGATGTTGATGAGTGTGAAATCGAGGCCCACAACTGCGATATGCACGCTTCTTGTGTTAACATCCCTGGAGGCTTCCAATGCAACTGCCGTGATGGATGGATCGGAGACGGCACCAGTTGTGTGGGTGAGTGATAATAGCGGAGCAGTGGATATAAAGGTGACATTTTGGATTTGCTTGAAGCAAAAACAAAGTGCTTTTGCAACATAAATAATTGAGATCTTTATTGTTCCACATCACTTTATCTGGCACAGAACAATCATTTGCTAGAAGAGCACTTTCTGAACGAAGCTTATCGTGTTTTATATTACATTGCATTGCATAAATACCAAACAGAGCAACTAAATACTAACTATCATTGCATCAGCATGAATATATCCCAGTCTACCATACTTGGTTCCATAAAGCTCTTGAGATTATGCTGGGTAATTACAGAATGGAAAAATCTGTAAATAGAGAAATAAGATGAATATGAGGACGTAAAACACTTCCACTGAAAGCTCTGAATTCTTTGGCATAAAATCTTTCATAAAATGGCTGGTTTGGTAATAAAGGGAACCTAAATAGAACCAAAAAAAATTACTAGTGATTGATGTAATAATAAAGCCAAGCTGTAAAAGTCTCCATATAGACGTGTTTCATCATAGCAGCCTTTAGTTTGCTGCATATAACATGGATCATTTTACAGAGAGAAAATGTACTTGAACACAGGTGGGTATCACAGCCAAATTTACCAAATTGGGCTTCAAAGTGATTTTATGTATTGCATATACTATCTTACATTGACAAATGTATTTAAATTGAGGTGCATTATGATATATAAAAGGCATCAGTTGCTTCACAGAACAGAAAAGTGCATTATGTCTAAGAATGCATTAGATCCAAAAAATACAGACAAATCACATTATAAAACTCCCTTATAGCTGAAATTGCCCTTTTCAACACTAAACCTATATGCTCTTGTTCTACTGTCTTGTTGCATGCTGAAGTATTGATCTGGGTTTACTTTTTCAATCCCATTTAAAATGTTATTCACCTCTGCGAGGTACCCTTTGAGTCATCTCTCATGACTGGAACACCTGAGTGATAAGAGAGAACAAGGTGATCATTGTAAGATTTCATAACAGCTTCATATTAAACATTTCAGTTGATAATTTTGAGTATCAAACTCCACGACTTTGGTACAATGGTCTGGTCCAAAACCCCTTTCAAAACTGTTTGGCTGCTTTCTGTGTACCCTTGCCACTTTCTGATTTTAATCGGCAAAAATCAGCATTTGTTGTTTGTTTCAAATCAATGAAATTAAATTCCCTGATTATGTCATGTCTGCGGCATGGAATCAACAATGTTTGTAATCGAAAAGCTTGCTAAACACCCCCCCACACACACACAAAAAAAAACAAAGTAAAATAAAACCTTGAACATTATCTACATTTGTTTTAAAAATCAGGCGAGTCTATTTGTGAGATACAGGTTGAGTTAAGCCAGTGACCTATTTTGGGTTCACAAAATGCTGTCAAGATCAATAGCAAGCCAAAATAGTGGGGTAATCCTGCCATTCTATAAATCAATGGTGAGACCATACTTAGAGTACTGTGTATTGTTCATGTCACCGCAATACAAAAAGGATATTGGAGAAATCGAGAAGATACAGAGGAGGGCAACCAAAATGATTGAGGGAATGGAAGGACTGGACTATGAGGAGCGACTAAGTAAATTGGGCTTGTTCACGCTGGAAAAGAAAAGATTGAGAGGCAACATAATTGCTGTGTTTAAGATTCTGAAGGGGTTAGACAATATAGATCATGACAGACTATTTCAACTTGTTCAGAATAGTAACACCAGAGCACACGAGGGCGATTGAAGGGGGTAAATTCAGAACGAATCTACGCAAACACTATTTCAGAGCGAACAGGGAACCCATGGAACAGCCTAGGGAGATGGTTGAAGCAGGAAGTGTTGATTCTTTCAAACACAGATTAGATTTTTTAGGAAATAACATGGGAACTAGTACATAGGTAGTTTGTGACATATGTGCATGCGACCACCAGGAAGGTGGAAGGTGAACTAGATGGACCTTGGTCTTTTTTCAAGGAGGGAAAAAAGAGGGAAATAAGGAGGGAAATAAGAACATAAGATTTCTTATGTTCTTATTTCCCTCCTTGATTAGAAGCATGAATATCATCAGACTCAATCATTGTCCAAAGCAGGGGGTGTGACCACACAGATCTGTTGTGAAACATCATATTTTTTACTCCAATATAGGTTCATCCCTTTTCATCTCTCTAAGAATGGGCACTGCAAAAGGTGGAACTTGAGGAAAACAAGCCCCACACATTCCCAGGGGGGTACCATCCTCTAGACAAAATGAGTTTCAACAATCCTTGTTGTTTGGAAGCTGTATTCAGATACCATTTGAATATAACACCGGTGCTCTGTGCCACAAAGTTGAGCCAAAAAGAAAAGAAAAAAAACATAGTCTGGCCCAAGTCCCACCCAGACTCAGTCTGGACTGCGTTGAGGCCAGCAGACAGAGAAACGTTTAGACTGAGCCACTGCACTGCGAGCCAGGACTGAAATTACAGACCTCACATCAGGAGAGATGAAAGCTTCAGTCCTGTGAAGATCTTTTCAGTTGCCTTTGAGGATATATATTTTTTTACCCTTTTCTGGACCTTGTTGGCAAGCACGACTTTGCATCCATGAGGAGAATCTCTCTCTCTCTCTCTTTCCCATGATCTAAGCAACAGCAGCTCCAAGCACAAATGAGCTTGACTTTTCTAACCACGTGTAAAGCTGTTTATACATGGACTCCTGCTGTCCATTTCTATCCTGCAACCTTAATATACAGTCCCCGCTTTGTTTCCCCCACCCTATCTGCCACACCCATCAGTGGGCAAGCTTTCAGCCATTCTGTCCTCGCTCTGCAGAGCCCCACCCCGGATCCTTTTGACTTGTTCCCCCTCCCTGCCCACTTTCAAAGCCCACCTCAAGACGTCTCTTGAGCATACTTTCTCCCCCTTCACCCCCTTCAGCTCAGGTGCTCGGTGAGCTTTGTAAAGTGCTTTCAGACGTCCTCCTGATGTGATGGTCGCTATCTAAATTTAATGGTGATGGGTTTCCGAATGTGTCAGACCAAAACAAATTTATAAATATAAATTGCATTCTACTGCATGCAGAGCTAATATGAAAAGTAAGAATTGAAGCTGAGTGGTCTGGGATTGTCTGAATCTGATGGTCTGATTGTTAAAACACAGCTTTTCCTGGTGGGCCTCAATAACAGGTGCTGGAATGTTGGAAATACTCCAAGGATACAACAATATCCCGAACCACTGCACACCAATAGAGTGTATGAATTTTATATGATATATTAAAAGATTAATAACACACCCAGCTTCGTGGTTTACTAGCACTTTTATGACAGAGAGGTCTGGTTTGTAGACAGGAGCATTCAGACAGCAGAGAAGGATTATTTGTAATTTCTGTGTAAAAATTAAAGCACACTGTGTGACACTGAGCAGCCTAGGAGAACTGCACGCACTGGCAAACGTTCAGAGATGCAGTGTTTTACGTTTCCTTTCATTCCTGCGGGATTGGCTTTGGCTTCAATGCAGTGCTCCCTGGGAAATAGTATCCTGAGCGAGCAGATCTTACAGAAAGGTTAGCTCTGCTCATTGAATGCTTTTATTGCCTAGCGGTGCGGGCTGACCTGGGCCACACCGTGCACTTCCTGTACGGTCTTATGACTTTAATAAGCCAAGTAGGCTTGCCTTAACCTCCACACATGGACAGACTTACACAGAGGGCTTGCGTGGGTGAAACTATGTCTGTGAGTAGTGTAAGTACAACCAGACCAGTCTTAACACCCACCACTACCATCACCATAAATCTGATCATCAAAACGTTAATTGTTCCACTCTGGTTACCAGCTTGTAATGTAAATATCCACAGGAGATAGAAAAAATTATAACTTAGAAGTGTGTTTTTTTTTATCTTTCTTTTCGCCATTTAATCTCCATCCATTTCCCTGCGTGAAATACAATGGAAACTGCTCATCAGCCAGTTACACTGCTGTGTAACCCTTCACTGTAAAATATAAGAAGGCAGCTTCGAGAGGTCATTCCCATTTTATCTACTTTCATATGAAGGATTGATTAATGTAATACAAATTTACATTCCTATAGAGGCTTTCACATCAGGAGGACAGCCCAAGGCGCTTGACACCACTGACTGGGCACCTGATCTGGGGGGTGGGAGCCGAGGGGAGTGGTGAAGGGAAAGATGACTGAAAGAGTAGCCAACTCTTGATTACCTCCTGTAAAGAGGTAATAATAATAATAATCCTTGCATTTGATATAGCGCTTTTCACGTCTTCTAGACGTCTCAAAGCGCTTCACAGAATATGCTGTAAAGTGAATTGGTTGTATAGTTGTGGGCGAAACGCGGCAGCTAATTGCGCACAGCAGTGTCCCACAAACAGTCGTGGATTGAAAATGACCAATTTCTTATGGTTTTGTTTTGGAGGGATTATTATTAGGCGTGTGGAGTAAGGAAACTTGCCCAAGGTTTCGCCCTGCCTGGAATTGAACCCAGGTGTCTCGCTTGCAAGGCGAGTGCTCTCACCACTGAGTTAAAGGACTCCACAAACGTCTTGAATGGATGATAAGTTTCTATTCCTCACCTTGTCTAACCCGACTGCCCCCATTGAGAATGAATTTTCTGCATGTAGAATATTACAATTTTGGAAATACATACATTCCCCCCACCTTATTTTTGTAGATTAATGCTCGCCCCCAGTGTGTGCACTTAATTGCATCCCCTAACTGAACGGTGGGCAAGCAGCACATTCCAATGCCTGACAAATAATAATTAATTTAATAATAAAATAATAGTAATGCTTACATTTAGTACATCTCAAAACATTTCATAGAATATACTGTAAAGTGTGTGTTTGTGGACAATTGAGGCAGCCAATTTATGCACAAAGATGTTGCGCAAACAGTAATGAAGTGAATGACCAATTTAATCTGGCGGATTGTTGGCCAGGACACCGGGAGAAACTTGAGCCAGTCAGTGGAAAGCTCCTCCATTTCCTGCAGATCTGCTGCTCAACTCCTAATACTCCACCCTCTGTCTGCTGCTGTCAGGCTTCCTGGTTGGCCCCACTTCTTCCTGTTTCCTCTAATCCATATTGCTACTCAAGGAGCAGGTATACTCTTGGCCTTTAGCTGTTACCTTGAAGGCCAGTTTCCAAGCCAGTGTTCCCTTCCCAATCTCAGGGTTGTTGAAGTCAATTCTCGGATCTCAATTGCTACCCCAGCCCCGCCTCAGGATATTTGATTGCCAGTTGTTTGCGTAAGAGTGTCCAAACAAATATGATTATGTCTACATATACCATCAGGCCTACTGTCAGTATACATGATCAATGATCTCTTTAGTATGGACCAGACTCCAAAAAAGTGAGCTGTGCAAAATTGCAGCTGGCAAATCAAGTGCAAATCCAAGGCGATGATGTATTAAACAATGAACAACGTAAAGTAGCATTTGAAATTGCATTTGGTAAGTGTAGTATCAGTGGTGGTGGGGAAGGATAAGGAACCGAACAGCATAAATCCTACTCAACAACAACAACAACAAGATTGCATTTATAGAGCGCCTTTCACATCGGGAGGACGTCCCAGGGCACTGGACGGTTGGGTCGGGACCCGAGCAGGGGGGAAATGGTCAGGGTGAGGGGAGGGAAGGAGGGAGTGAGGAGGGGGTAGAGAGTTGAGAGGGGGGGTGAAGGCATGGTTGAAGAGAAAGGTCTTGAGACCGGCCTTGAAGGAGGAAAGGGAGGAGGCAAGGCGAAAGTACTGGGGGATGGAGTTCCAGAGCCTAGGGGCTGAGAGGCTGAAAGCCCGGCCACCGATGTTAGGGCAGGGGATGTGGAGCAGACCGGAGCCAGAGGAACGGAGGATACGGGCAGGTAAGTAGGGGGATAGTAGGTCGGAGAGGTAGGAGGGAGCAAGGCCGTGAACGGCCTTGTAGGTGAGGATGTGGATCTTGAATTCGATCCTCTGGGAGATGGGGAGCCAGTGGAGGCGAGCGAGGGTGGGAGTGATGTGGTCGCGAGGAGGGGGTAGAGAGTCAAGAGGGGGGGTGAAGGCACGGTTGAAGAGAAAGGTCTTGAGACCGGCCTTGAAGGAGGAAAGGGAGGAAGCAAGGTGAAGGCACTGGGGGATGGAGTTCCAGAGCCTAGAGGCTGAGAGGCTGAAAGCTCATTCCTGGAGTAAATAGAACCTCGGTTTAATGTCTCACCCAAAGGATGGTATTGAAGTGTTAACCTAGACTATAAGCCTAAATCCTGAGGTGGGACTTGAACCGACATCTTTCTGTTCAGTAGACAAGAGTGCCTACGTATAATTATGCCTACTCTGACACACTTTTAATGGTTGATCTGTTAGTATGAGTCTGCTACTGGCTTTAAAATTGAGTCCTTGTTCTTCTGTGCTGGCTGCCCTTGGACCAGTGTCCTGATGTCAATGTGCTTTGTCTAGAAGTGAATAGAGAGGTTTACATGTCCTATGTTTTCTTTTAACCGACAGATCTCGATGAGTGCACCAATGGTACACATCATTGCAATCTCAATGCCAAGTGCATGAACACTCCTGGATCATACCGTTGTCTGTGCTCAGAAGGCTTCAGTGGGGATGGCTTTACATGTTCAGGTAAGGGAATGAATGAACACTCATCACTTTCTGACTCTTACGTTGTGCCAGGATGAGGTGACAATAGATGACAGGTAGTCAAACTTCACGAGTAAAAAATATGACAATCACTGAGGAGTAAATGTGTTAGTTCTTCAGATTCCACTTCACTGCTTTACATTGTTTACTAGGTTACAGTTTTTACTGTAACCTGTTTATTTTCCAGAGGCTGTAATTCATTCTGGACACAGACAGTGACAGCCTCAACTATACCTCACCCAAGTTTCCATTCTTTATCTCTGAGCCCAGATAGTTAGTGTCACTGCTTTCCAGTAGGTTGGCTAAATCTTTGCAGACCAGAAGTCAAATCTGGGATCTTCACAGTCTATACTGTTTGATATAGAAACGACTTACCTGTATATAGCACCATTCATGTAAGATACCATTTTGTGTAGTAACCACATAATGCAGCCCACAGACATATTGGAGGGTTCAGATTATATTGATTTTTAGATTAAATTGGTATCTCTGTAACTCTTAATAACAGACTTGCTGTGGCTGTTCCTGGACAGATTGATATTGACACTGGTGTATCTGTGTGTACCTGCTTGCAATGGTACCATTGCATTTTCCTCTGAAGCTCTCAGTGTATAGCTGGGTAATCTGCCCGACCATTTATATTGACTCTGTTTCACTCTGATCTGCACATCAATGCAAATCTAAAGTCTGATGTCAATTGGGCCAGTAAGTAGATACGCTAGTTTCTACACTTGCCATGATGTCATGACATGTATCATTTAGTTGCGCAGTGATTTTCCAGCCAAGACGCCTCTGTCCATTAAGAATTTGTCTCACAGGGTTGAAGACATGTCACTGATGAGTCATCAACAATGGCTTCCATTAGTGCAATTTTCATAGAATTAAAGAAAGTTTACAATCGTTCTGCCTGTGCTACTGCTAGCTCCCCTAATGAGATTACCTACTATAATCCCATTCCCTTACTTTCCCCTCATGCTCTTTCAAATAAATTTCATTGAATATTTATCCAGTTCTCTTTTAAATGCTGTTATGGACTCGGCCAGACATGTTTCCTCTGAGCCAGTTCAATCCCAGGGGTTTATATGTAGACATGGTATTCATTTGATCAGTTTTAAAGAAATGAGAGGACCCATCAGGATTCTTACCGAGGACCTTTCTGGATCCAAGTCAAATTCTCAAGAAAGTGAGCTACCTTGTTGCTGTGATTAACCATTACGTGAATAATGTTGTTTTAAACAAATCTAGCAAGGTATAACATACTGCACTATGTAAGTCTCATGCACTAATATAAATGTGTGTGAAATAGTTATTTATTACAGTCATTAAAGTACATTGAAACTCAAATCATTTCTCATGAGGAGAAATTATTCTAATCACAGCAATCACCTCCAGGCAAGAGTATGATTAAGTCACTAAAATATGTTCTCTCTGTAGTGTGTTTCGAGATAATGTGACGTTAATAGATTGCTTTCAGCAGTGAGCTAATAGCCCTACTGTTTAATTTGCTTTCCCTCCCAGATGTGGATGAGTGCGCCGAAAATGTTAATCTGTGTGAGAACGGCCAGTGCCTCAACACTCCTGGAGGGTACCGGTGTGACTGCGAAATGGGATTCACGCCAGCCTCTGGCAGCAGGTCCTGCCAAGGTATGTCCGTCCATTGGATTTCATTTTAAACTTGCAATCCAGCTGACCACAGTTAAGGAAAAACAAACACAATGCATGTGGACCATGGCTAAATCTGGAAGCAGGTTACAAAGTGCCTGATCCAAAGTGTGTGTTATCTTCTCAAACTCCAAATGATTAGCCTAACAAACCAAAGTAAGGCTGGTTCTTAGCTCTGGAGTCCGTCTGGTAACATGTCAAGCATTCTCACACAGTCCGGTAGCTTAGCATTTCTTTTAAGCAGTACGAATAATTTATAAATGTGTAACAGCAAAATCAATTCAAGATTGGATTTGCCAATCCACATGAATATATTGAAATGGAATTTGTTTGTGACTAAACAATAAATGATTCAGATCCGTTGCTGGTTACTCTGCTTTTACTGGAATTCACTCGCATGTGAATTTTCCTGTCTGACGACTAATATGCTGTCATGAGCAGTTTCTGTCTGGAACAGGGGAATTGTATACCCCTATCCCAAAATTCATGGAGACTGCTCAGTAGTCACGGTAATGATGCGGAAATTTGATTCTGGGAATACTATACAAAGCAGCATATGTGTAGTAAATATTAAAGGAGATCATTGTCTTTATTTTGGTAGTGAAGGGAGTTTATTTTATATTATTTTAATCAATTGAATATGTGGCAAAATTGCTTCCTGGTCAGTAACTCTCTCCTGGTATATATAGAAACTAATACCTTGGGTCATTTACCATTAAAACACATTGAAACTGTGTATATTTATGTGCCTTGCAGTGAATAAACAGCAGCAAAAAGAAAATAATCACTTCTGTGTACGAAAAGTCAAAAGACATGTCAAAACATTTTGTTTATGCTTGCTTCTATTTTTAAAGATAACACAGTTTCCTCACAGTCAGCATGGTTTTGCCTCTTGCACAACTTTCAGAAATAAACATTCAATATTTATCTAAAGGAAAGACTTTAAATTGAAGTTTCGGGCATTTCTCAGGTTTAAGCTTTGGAAATGTTGGCAAACACTCCTTGTCATTATTACTTTGTTAAAAACTAATCTCTTTCAATCTTTCCTGTCTAAATGAAAGCTCTGGCCTCTGTGGGTAATAACCTGTGAATGGACAAGCTTTGTCCCAGACACTATAATCTTTGCAATTACCAAATAGGTTTGACATGAAAATGACCCTTTTCCAAATCAGCGTTTGTACTTCTGATTGAAAGCTTCATCAGTTATGCCAGACAGTGTTAGTGCCAAATGTTCTGTGGTGTTGGAAAATCTTTTTTTCCGCACTGAAGTGCTTGGGAGCCATCTTGGAATAACCCCTTTGACTTTCTTTTGTAGATATCGATGAATGTTCATTCCAGAACATATGTGTGTTTGGGACCTGCAAGAACTTGCCTGGCATGTTTAGGTGCGTCTGTGATGATGGCTATGAACTTGATCGAAGTGGAGGTAACTGTACAGGTAAGAATAAAATCAGCACGGCTCCCATTTACAAAGTAAGACAGGGTTTCTTATCTGTCTCAAAAGAAAGATGATTAGAATGTTTAGGACGAGGCAAATTTTGTTGAAATGTTGCGCAATGTTGCACAGTGGAGTCCTGTAGCTCAGTAGTTAGAGCACTCGCTTTGCAAGCAAGAGACCTGAGTTCAATTCTAGGCAGAGGGCGAAACCTTGGGCAAGTTTCCTTACTCCACACAGAGCCTAATAATAATCCCTCCAAAACCAAAAAACAATAATAAATTGGTAATTTTCAATCCATGACTGTTTGTGGGACATTGCTGTGCGCAATTGGCTGCTGCGTTTCGCCCACAAATATACAGTCAATTCACTTTACAGTATATTCTGTGAAGCGCTTTGGGACGTCCTCCCGACATTGGTCAAGTTTCCTTACTCCACACACCTGTGTTTACCAAGCAGTCAGTAAGAACCTGGTTGTTAGTCGATTGGCAGATCGCTTTTCTGCGGGTAATAATCCCTTCAAAAAAAAATTATAATTTGGTCACTCAATCCATGACTGTTTGTGGGACACTGTTATGCGCAATTGGCTACCTTGTTTCTCCCACAAAATATACAGTCAATTCACTTTAATATCAAATGTAGCACCTTATCACATCTTCGATATGTCTCAAAGCGCTTCACAGATTTAGGATTATTATTTGGTCTCAGGGTCTCTGGGCAGGAGAGTTAAAGTGAGCCAGGTTCCTGATCACTTCTTAGAACCCCCTACTTGTTTTCTGTATGGTGATGTTAGGTCAGAACAGGATGGACTGTCACTCACTGCCTAGGCTTGCACATGACTAATGTGTTGGTGTCTGCTACTGAACTACTGAATAAGTTGTTGTGTTACCCTTCGTAAAAGACATTTTATAAATGCAAGTTTGTGAACAGCGTCAAGCTGTTTCATAAAACAAAGGTTCAGTGCCCAGGCCTCAACTATACTTCCTGTTAACCTGTTCCAATTGCTACTTACTCTATGGTTAAAGAATTACTTCCTAGATTCTGTTCTGAAATTGTCCTTTGCAACCCTAAACCTATGAACTGCATAAAAATAATTCAAAGCTCAGAAACCTCTCGGCATTACCATAGGCACATTGAACTGGAGCTATTTGGACACAATTCTCAGGTTAAATTTCTCTTAATATAGAGAAGATAGTCAATGGCTCTATTTATTTTTAAGACTTTAATGGAGATTGCACAAAGGCAATTTGACTTTATTACTGCTCGGTTATCAACTACCTTTAATCATTTTTACTGAAACAGGAAATGCTTTGTAATGGGTACTCGGTGCTGACATACAGTGTTCTGTATTTGTAACATGCAGATGTCAATGAGTGTGCCGATCCAGTCAACTGTATCAACGGCTTCTGTGTCAATACTGCCGGGGGTTACCTGTGCAATTGCCCAGATGATTTTGAACTTAATCCGACTGGAATTGGCTGCGTTGGTGAGTTATTCTTTTCAAGTGTATGTGATAATCGTGTGGACTGATTGGTACCAAGATGTAATATGTGATGTAGGGAAACATTCTCTGTAATTGACTGAAAATGATTTTCCAATAAAGCTACGTTAATATAATCACAGAGGAATGTAATAGAGTACAATTCAAGAAGTGTTCTTCAAAACTGCCCTGACACACTACAGTGTTCCCAAACACAGCACAAAAAGATAATAATTTTTATTTACAGACCAGGATTCATACCCTAACCCAGGATTCAGACATGTGACTGTAAGCCCAGTACTGCACAACAACAACCACACAGTGCCTTTACTGGGCCATGTTGGAAACTTAAATGCACATTTTTATATATTTGAACACCATGTAATGTTTCAAATCTGTCTCTATTTACCTTCCTGTCTTCTTGTTCGGTTACAGATACTCGTGTTGGTAACTGTTTCCTGGAGCACAGTACTCGTGGTGATGGTAGCCTGTCCTGTAGCGTTGACATTTGGTGTTGCTGTCACTCGGGCTTCCTGCTGTTGCTCTTTGGGAAGGGCTTGGGGTAACCCTTGCGAGCTATGCCCTCCTGTCAATTCAAGTAAGTCTAATGTTTCTGAACTACATCTGCAGTCACTAGGCCCCAAATTCAGCCTAGTCTTTGCCTATAATATCAGCTTGTTTTAAAGAGTAAGATTACACTTCTGTTTAGGGTGTGGGGAAATGTCAGATAAGTGGGACTAAAAGGTTTGCTCTTAAAAGATCCATTGCAGGCACGATGGGACGAATGGCCTCCTTCTGTGCTGTAAATTTCAATAGTGCTAGGTGCAGAATGGTGGAAAAATTGAGTTTTAGTCTAAGAGCCAGTTATTCATAGTTCTTAAATTGAAATGGTTTCTACATTGAAGCTGATTAGAAATTGTCTACAACTTTAAACAATCTTAAATTTTAAGACAGTTATCATTTAATAGGTGAAGACTAGGTGGAATTTCAGGCCTAATATTCAAATTATCTGCTAGTGAAGGCAAAATTCATTGGTTCTTGTCAATGAGCTTTTTTCCCCCTTTGAAACAATATTTGCCAATAAATATTACACTGTTAGCACTAAATTATTTGTATCTTTCAATTACTCGGTGTAATTAATCGTAACTTTGATGTCTGAACATTGTTGCAGAATTTTGACAGAGTTAATAAAAGTACCAGAGAGCCAGGTGGTCTCTAAAAATCAAATCATGTTGGGTGTAAGCCATATTAAAAGAATAATGGCATTAGATCTCACATAGTGATTATTCTCATATATATACATATTTATTTATGTGTCTGTGTGTTTATGTGGCGTCACCTAATAATATCAGCATATAGTCACGCAAAAGAATATTGTGATCAGTATCCATGCAATTGTCTTCAGACAGTGGAGTTTCTCTGTTGCATTTTTGTATTCTCTGGAACTCTCAAGACCCATGAAGCCCACATGTGAGCCCGCAGTGGTTTTCTTTGGTTTTTCCAGACAAACATGAAGATCTGTAAAGGAGGAAGAGCTAAAATTCTGTTCATGTGGCGAATCACATGTCAATTGTGGCTCCAGGACTTAACTATTTTGGTCCATTGCTGATTTCTGACACTGTAAAAGGAAAGGGCGGGTAAATGGGACTGAAAGGATTGATCTTAAAAGATTCTACACAGGCACGATGGGACGAATAGTCTTCCTCCGTCCTGTAAATTTCTATAATTGTACTATTGACATAACATTGAACGATGTGTTGTTTCTATTCACAGCTGAATACAAAACCTTGTGCCCAGGAGGTGAGGGTTTTAGGCCTAACCCCATCACTGTCATCTTAGAAGGTAAGTACAAGGTGGTTTACAGCATGTTTATAGGACATGGAAATGAGCAAAGTAGAGGCAATGTGAAATGTCCACGATCATTCTAAGATCCATTGACTGCTCCGAGGAAAAATTGAATACATTAACTTGGGGACTTCAAAACTACAGAGGTTTTCTACTGGGTTTGAAAAACCCATTTTGATCATAAGTGGACCAATAGCTTGTCATTAATTTATATATTTGTTTTTCCATTTCTAGAAATATAAACACAGGACAGTGGATTGCAATGTATTTTCTTTACATGAATGACTGACGAGTGAATTCAAATTGAATTTTCGATCTATTCTCATTGAATTCGTTGAATCTAGCCCTTTGCAACTACTTAATGCATATGCAGATTACACACAGCACTATGCCTCTGCCCATATTCCACACACTCATCTTCTATGTGAGCTCTGTTTTATGCTGTGGTTCATAAGTAATAATAATAAACGGTTTACATTTCAGACAATATTCAATTAAAGTTAAGTTAAAAGCAGCCCTAGTAATTGTATAGAAAATCATCACCATAATAATCCTCTATGAGCTCCAGATAAGAAAATACATGTGTTAAATAAATAAAATAACAGAACATGTGTTGACTATTTTAAAACACCCATTTTATAGCAATTTATCACACTAATTTATAACACTCATAAAGCAATACATGGCATCAGAATAGAAGATTATTATTTTAATGATCAATAGCAATGCAAGGAACACATTCTACAACACATTCTATGGCTATAATAAATGCAATTTATAGCAGTCATAAAACAATCAGATACTTCACCTTCTTTATGTCCTACCAGTGAAACATAATAATATTGAGAGGTATATCATCAGATGAATCAGTTAGCCTGCTTTGCTGATAACACAAAGCCAATTTGGATATAACATGTGGCTGGTTAAAGATGCCTTATTGAGCCTTACTTTGCATCTGTTGCAGTCTGTTTAAAAATGTCCTATCAGGGCTTTTGGACTGCCTTTTTCCTTCGGACAGGAAGAAATTGGTAGGTTTGCTGGAAGTTGACTCAATTCATAGAGGAGGGTACATAATGTGTGGCAGGATAGTTACTGTTTAAAATAAAAACATTGAGTACATACAGTCATACCTGTCATTCCTATTGTATTAAATCTCTTACAATGTGCATAAGTTTGGTGGGGGTCCACATTTTTAATACTAAAATAAATATTGTAAAATATGCAGAATCCTACTGCCACTATAAACTATCTTTGCTCACTGAACATGTGGTCCAACTGTCCCTCAGGTTCAAACTGAAGAGTGCCTCATTGGATCAGTGACAATATTGTAAGCACGTTACCCCCTTGGTGACAAACTTTGTGGATGATGATTAATTCCTTCTTTCCCCTCAGACATTGATGAATGTCAGGAACTACCTGGCCTGTGCCAAGGAGGAAATTGTGTCAATACTTTTGGCAGTTTCCAATGTGAATGCCCAGCTGGTTACTACTTGAACGAGGATACCCGCATCTGTGAAGGTGAGTGGGTGCATAATTGGGAAAGAGTGTACACGTGCTTAGAATACTTCACTTAATACTTAGTTTCTTCCGAAGTGTTTTATAAGTATATATATACACACATATATAAACAATGCTAAGATCGCAGCGGAGATGCTTCAGCAACTCAAGTGAAGGGGAGAAATCAGAGAGGATTTCCAGAACTTATCAATCTCCAGTGACTCCTACTGGAAATGTAGGTGTATTGGATGAAGAAAGGATGGGGCTTGGTTGTTACTTCTCCCTACCTCCGTCTCATAGCATCCATTGCCTGGCATTATACATGAACAATGGCCACTTGGGTTGAGGTACCAAAGGATGACCGTGAGTAGAGCTCTACCAACTGGGAGCCACTGAGTTCAGGAGAAGAAAAAGGAAATTGGAGCAATCCATTGGTGGATATAAAAGGAAAACGTGGTGGGAGACTTATAAGGTAGGCAAGGTGTTCTGATAAATAAATAATTGCCTTGTGTATTTTTACAGATATTGACGAATGCGTAACCTACCCTGTTATCTGTGGACCTGGAACTTGCTACAACACCTTGGGCAACTACACATGTGTCTGTCCTCCCGAGTACATGCAGATCAATGGTGGAAACAACTGCATGGGTGAGTCTCACTGCTAACTATCTCCTCTGATCAAGCTTCACTCTCGAGTCCCTAGAACAGAATGCCTGAAGATTACTTGTATTGGAGTTTTCTCTGAAAGAGGGAACAAGAGTGGAACGGAAAGCACCTATTCGTTTAGAGATTTCTCCCAATCTGCGGAGGAGGGGAAAGGCATCAGAACGCGATTCCCTTATTGTGGAGTAGAAATACTTTCCACGGTTGTCACAGAGATAATCAATGATCAAGCTTGACATTTAGGGGTCAGAGGACTTAAACTCGAGCACTTCCCTCAGTGAGGTAATGTGACTGCAGGAACGTTTTTGGCTATTAACTGAATCTGGATAAATGCCACTCAGGAAGCAAAGTCAGAACATTTGGTCCTTTGGGAAACGGCTCTGCAGCTCCTTTTCCAGAATGACTTTTAATAGGAATAAACCCCTGACTGCAACTGAGTTCCATTCTTATTGCAACTGTATTTAACCCTGTCTGACCCCATTTTTGTGAAGCGTTCCTAGAGTTATTCTACGTGAAGGGCACGATATAAACGCAAATTGTTATTTTTGACAGAAATAAACTGTGAAATATTTTTAGCATTAAGGGAGTATGAGCTACTTTATAGAGTATTAATCAATCTTTTGCAGCTAGTTTTTTCTTGCTGTATATTCACACAGAATATATGATTATTCTTCAGGATAATAAGTATAGCTTTAGGAGAAAATGTTACATTTGATAATTGCATGAAATGTTATTCAGCTCCATATGTGTTAAAACATAGAAACAATTTTAGTCATTAGTAGAGACCATTGGAACATGCCTAGCCATCCTATTCAACAAGATTCCTTAAATGTACAGAAATCTGGTATCCTGAATCCTTTTAGATGGCAGGAACTTATCGTGTTCTTTTATTTGAAACCGTTTATAGTTTTTGTTCTAGTCATGTACAGGTAGTTTATTCCACATCTCTATTTCCTTTTCACTGAAAAATATCCCATGTATTTTTACTCTATTTATTTGTGCTTATAATAATGGTCTGACCCCTTATTTCTGAAGTGTGTACTCCTCCAAATTCAGATTTTTCAAATTCTTTTGAATGTCTGAGTGCATCTAGCAAATCTCCCATAAGTCTTGCCTGTTCAAAAGAGAAAAGTCGCAGTGTAGCTAACCTGTCCTCGTAGCTCTGTCCTGTCAATTCTGGAATTATTCTGGTAGCCCGTGACTTCACGCCCTGAAACAATCATCTTATTTTGAAATAGGGAAATCACAACTGCATAACTCCAGATGTAGTCTCTCCAAGGTCCCATCTATATAGTAGAGAGTCGATTATCCACACTAATTGGAGGTGACCTGGTTGCAGATAAGAAAAACTGTGTGGCTCACTGGTAAACACGTACAAAATACAAATTGGCCTTGGTGTAAAACCAAACATTTTTTCCTACATCTTCTCTTAAATAAACATTTACCTTTGCCAGTTCACAGTCACACTGCGCAGCAAAATTTCAAGCCCTATCATTTCATGTAGACGGGTGCAACTGAAATTTTTGGTTGAGTTGTGGTGTGTAGCTATACGGCATTCTAATGTAATTTAAAAATAACCTTGCTTGACTTATCCTTAAGCATTACATTCCATTTTGTTACATAGGTGATAACACACTTGTACATACCCGACAGCTTGCCATTTGTGTTACACTGATTGTTAGCAATTGACATAACAGAGCTCTAGCTCACTCTTCACTTGGAGTGCTGCATTAATTTCCAGTCCCCACAGCACACTGCTGACATCCTTCACTTTATTCAGCAGAATGATTCAGCTTACAAACGTACACTGGCATCGATATAGAAGATTAAAAGTTAATTTATAAAAGGAGTCCAGGATTTCACAACCTTTCAAAGGAACCCAAAGTATTCAATCATTCAGTTAAATTAATTACCCAGACAAGTGTGTGGAAATCACAAAGCAATCTGTTACAATTAAATATATGTAATGCTATCCCTTTTCAGAAAACCCACTCTGGAATTAAAAGTTGTTGAGTGCATTTAAACATCATTGTAATTTGTTCTGAGAGAGGAAATCTGGCTGTCAAATGACAAGTTTCCCTTCAGACGGTTGCACACCTTCACTACGAATTGTTTTGATGAGAACAAGATTTTATAACATATCAGATGCTCTGCCCTGAAAACATAAGTGAAGAAACAATCTGTAAATTGTTGAACTCAGTTATAATTTTGAAAAACATGTCTCTAACTCCTAACTCTTAAGCTGTTCAATAAGGGAGAGTTATTGAAACAACAAGTTACATTTCACATCGGGAGGATGTTTTGAAGTGCTTCATATAAATAACTGGATAAACAACTGGACAACAAGCAGAATGGGTGGGTGGAAAAAGAGAGACATACACGGAAAACCAGCTGACATTCCAAAGTAGTGCTGGGGACCACTGCATTGTTAGAGGTTCTGTTATTCAGTTGAGACATTAAACTGAGGTCCCATCTGTCTGTTCAGATGGATGTTAAAGGTCCCATTCTGATCATGGATTATGTAAGATTATTTGAAAAGAGAAGGGAGGTTCTCCCAGTGTCCTGGCCTAAATAAAATTGAACATTTACATCTTGTGAGCTGTTGGCTGCTGTGTTCGCCTACAATTACGCAGAAAAGTTGTGAAGTGTTTCAAGACGTTTCCATACTTTATAAGTGCAGTATTATTATTATTATTATTATTATTATTGGAGAAGTCAAACCACTGGATCAGCTGATTGCTGCTGGTGGGAATTGATAACAGCAGAGCAGTGAGACTTGGAAGTTGTTAGAAATTAACATTTCACTAAGGATGAAACATCTTAAATTGGCCTTAAGCAGAGCTTCTTGAGTCCCTCAGGCTTCTGCAATCTTTCTCTTCTTGTAATGCCTCGCAGAGAGCTTCCAGTTTATGCTTAGCTGGCTAGTTAGAAAGAATAAATCAGTGCAAAATATGCCTGACATAAGACGCAGCCTATGAATATGAGTCCAGAAAGACTCTGATGTGACCTGCTTTCTCCCCATTCCACTACCAGCTGCCTCCGCTTGGCTGGCTCTGGCCATCTGTTTTTCCAGAGGTTTCGTCCCCTTGACTCCACCATTGGAGTATTTCAGCCACTACACCCCTAGCTTTGGAACTCTTTCCCCTAATCCCTCTGTCTTTCCCCCTCCTCCACCTCTTTTAGATAACTACTGAAGACCTTCCTCTTCAACAGTGTTTGCGGTTACCTCCTCCTTCCACCCCCCAGGCTCAGCAACAGGCTCCGCCATTGTTAAGTGCTCCGAGACGCTGCCCCATGAGAAGAGTGCTGTATAAATGTTATTGATGATGTATGTTAAGATGTAGCCTCTGGTCAGGTGTTCTGATGCTGTGGGACTTTTTTCTTCCTCTTTCCAGATATGCGAAAGAGCTTCTGCTATCGGCACTACAATGAAACTTGTGAAAATGAGCTCTCTTTTAACCTGACCAAGAAAATGTGCTGCTGTTCATATAACGTCGGCAAGGGCTGGAACAAGCCTTGCGAGCCCTGTCCCACACCTGCAACACGTGAGTCAATGGTCCTACTGGTCAGGTCCTCTCCAAACTCCTTGCATCGTTCAAATAACAAAAGTGTATTTGGAAAAAGTGACTCAAGATGCAGAAATACAGTAGTGTTCATTGTTTTTCCTTTGGAATACACTGAAGAAATTCTTTACATATCTAGTAGATATTTGTCAGTTTAAAGAGCAGTCACATCACTTTTACAAAGTTGAGGATAGGAACAGAGAGTGGACTGGGCGATGTTGCATTTATCATCAGGAATGGTGAAGAATGAAAGCAATGCCTGCTCCTGGTGATTTTCCCCCTTATGAAATCTAAACAAAGCTGAAAGATGGAAATGGCCAATCATGGATCTATAGATTATGACTGGCATTTTTGTCAGCTACCTTGGATATACTAAGCCAAATGGGGATCCGTATGCTGTTTTCCTTCTTAAGGCTGGTACGAGTGCAGAGTGGCTGAATCTCAATGTTACATTAATTTACTATTCAAAAAAGAGATGGAAATTTTTCCTGGTGTCCTTTCCAACAATCCCCAGTTAAAATTGCTCATTCTTCATGGCTTTTTGTGGGACATATATCTGTGCGCAAATTGACTGCCGTGTTCAGCTACAAAATAACACGCACTTTCACTGAACAATAAATCCTGTAAAGCTCTTTGAGACATCTCATTGGGGTGATAAGGCGCTGTATCAAATGCAAGGATGCTTATTGTTATTATTATGACTTCTGGCTAATATCTGCACTTAACTGTAAACCATGAACCTACGCTCATTTGTAAACAATTAAGTTTGCCTCCACAATGAGCTTTTTTAATAAAAGGTTAAAAGTAGATAATCAGATAGCTAACTCATGCAGCAAACCTATTTTGAACTGTTTAAACTGTTTCCGTGTTACATGACCTGCTCCAGTTTACATTGGGTCATTTGGAAGTCATTTCCCTTGCTACTTTTCCTTCTTCCCCCTTCCTCCTCTCCAAACACAATCATTAACATTTGACTAGGGCTGTAGGAGGTTTACACTTGATCCACTCCATCAGAAAGCATACTTTGCTTCACAAACTCATGTTTAGCCTTTAAATGGGCTTTGTCTGTCCTCCTTTTATCTGCAACCACATTTGCACCAGCGCAGAGATCATTCCTTACATTTATTTGTTTAGTGGCTTCTATTTGGTAACCATGGCACGGAAGCTGGGAATTTTAGAATTCAGAGAAATCCTCAGCAAACAACCATCAACTCGAACCACAAGAATGTTTGTTCTTCAGGGAGTAGGCTCGCTGAAGGAAATACTGAACGAGAGCTCCAGCAACTGCTCTATCTCAAACCCTGTGAATTACGCCTTCCAGATCAGCATACGATCATAGTAATAATAATGATGATCCTTGCATCAGTACTCACAAACCAGATATCCATTGTGTTAATTGCTTCTGAGCACGATTTAAAGTTTTTTTTAAAACACACAGATTTTCAAACCCTGAAGGGGTGGGGGTGGGGGCAGGTGGGGGATATGTTTTGCTTTCTGACGAGTTCCCAGCTTTTGCAACTTAATTTGTAAGTTTTATGTTTCGCTTGTTTAAAATCTCGAAATATGTAATAGCAAACCAGAAATTGTAAATTAGCACAACCCCTCCCGGTTTGCAAATGGCGCAGTTTGGCCCCCTCCTCCCGTCCACCAAGAAACATACAGCCATTTCACGTTACAGTATATTCTGTGAAGCGCATTGAGATGCCTCAGTGACATGCAAAGGTGCTATATCAAATCCAAGGATTATTATGATTCCCTTTATTGTGATAACTAGACCATGCTGCCAATCTTGTGTATTTCTTAATTTTCCTCTGAGGGCTGATGCTGAGTTATTGAATGTACAAACCACTAAGGAAAGGCTGTGGTGCAGCTTGAAAAATAATTTATTACAACTCAATTTTCTGCTCATGGATTATGCAAAAGGGAAGTTGTGCAAGTTGTCTGCATGTTCTTTAAGATTTTGAGATATGATTTATGTTGAATAACATTTGAATTTGCTTTTTTTGGATCCTGAATGAATACATTTATAGATTCATTGTAGTGACAAATGGCGCCCGATAAATAACAGAAGAGAATAAAGAACAGGATGGGGTGGGAGGGCCCTATCATCTGTGTGGAGGAAAGGGATCAGGTTGCCTGAATGATTAGCAGGGAGCACTGAATCAGTGCCTGAACGAGTGGTGGTATATTAAAAAGAAAGAGGATTAACGGTCACAAAACAAAAAATCTGTTCAAAATCATAAGGCTGACCAGTTACTGTTTCCCTGTATGGTCTGATGTGGATACAAAAGACGCTTTCATTCATTTGAAAGCAAAGATCTTGTGTGGGCGTAATCCCCTGCTAGGTTCAGGCCATTTTGACCCAGTCAAATAAGTGTTGCATCATTGTTTCCCTCGCCAATTCTCTTCTCTTGAATTTGACCCTTTTTTTATTTGTCTTCTTTTGAGGTACAGTTCTACAGGCTCCGATCAGACTCCAGTAACGTGCCCAATTGGCTGCTGTTCTGGTGAACTTTGACAGTGAGCTGTTGACAATGTGGAGTTTCATTCACATTTGATCCCAGTCCTGTCTTCCCCCAATGTCCACATATTGTCTTCACCCATTGTTCAGACAATGTCTGGTTATAGGTCAGAAGGTTATCACACATAGATCTAATGAATAGTCATTCTGAACTGGCACAATCTTAATGAATAGCCCAGGGCACCCGAAGGGCGAGGCAGAAGCATTCCAGTTACGAGCCCAAGCGAATGAAGCTCCTATAGTATCCAGGAAATTTTGTTAATTGTTAACACATTTCAGATTGCGGGAGCTCCTTATTTTCCACACCAGTTAGTTTTCATTTGGGCCAGATGCTGATTGCGATCAATTGTTAACATCAGCAATTCGACTGGAAATGAAATAATACAGGTTTCAACTCTCCCTCGTCCAGTACTTTTTGAAATTTCCTCCTTTAAAGTCAGTAAAGTAAGTCTTCTTGCCACTCCCGACATTTGAAAAGTAAGTTAATCACAGGAAGGAGCCCTGATTTAACAGGAGTGAAATTGTTGATCACCTCAGACGAATAAAGTTTCTGTTGTATTGTCACTCTAGAGAATTAATTGTTGATTCAATGGGCAGCTAGTAACATAACAAAAGGAGAGTTAACATGCACAGCTCCACCTTGTTTTTAACATTCGTCCAAACTAAGGTGGAAGAGTCGGTGGTCTTTTCCACTCTTAAAAGTGATAAACTCATTATTCGAACCATCAAGCCCTATCTTTACACAGAGCACAGCCTCTCAATCTTAATTTTTTTTGGTCTGTTGGGTGTCTGACACATGCGGAAACCCATTACCATGCTTAAGAGCATCCAAACAAAACTGAGTTCCATGCATCCCACCTACACATGGAAGTTCCAGAGATATTTATTGGAATGGAATTTGCACTCTCTCCCTGGAGGGACGAATCCTGCTTACCTAATTCCGGAAAGTATTAGGCACAGGTTTGCAAAAACAAAGTTTAGGGACCCCAGAGTGTGCTCACCAGTTCTGGTCAGGCTCCACTGGCTCCCCATCACCAAACAGATCAACTTCAAGATCCTCACACTTGTGTTCAAATCCATTCACTCCCTGGCACCTCTCTACTTCTGCGACCTCCTCACTCCCCAAACAACCACCCGGCACCTCCGCTCAACTGGCACCGGCCTCCTGCTTGTCCCTTGCACCCTCCACTCCACCATTGGAGGTTGCGCATTCAGCCACTACATCCCGAAGTTCTAGAACACTCTCCCTCAATCCCTCCGCCTTGCCCCCTCTCTCCTCTTTTTCAAGTCCTGCCTGAAAACCTTCCTTTTCGACCGTGCTTACGGTCACCCCCGGCTCTGAGTCAAGCTCCGCCACTGTTAACTTAGAGGGCAATATATAAGTGCAAGTTTTTGTTATTGTCTTGCTAGGACCGTACCTGTACCTGTTAGGGTTTGACTTGCAGGATTGACGGGGCTGAGTGGAAAGAGTCCTTGCCTCCAGTAATTGATCAGCCCTTCCAAGTCCTGCTGATGACTGTGCTATCATCAGCAGTGCCCTGGAATACTGCGGACCTGCCTGGCTCAGGAACCGGACCACCAATAGTGCCACAGAGGGCTGGCTTGTTCTGACATTCTGTTGCCAAACAATACCTAATAATAATCCTTGCATTTAATATAGCACATTATCACATCTTCCAGACGTCTCAAAGCGCTTCACAGAATATACTGTGAATTGACTGTCAATTGTCCACAGCAGTGTCCCACAAACAGTCATGAATTGAGTGACCAAATTATTATTATTTTTTAAATTGTGAAGGGATTATTACCCCCGGAAAAGCGATCTGCCAATTGACTAAGAACCGGATTCCTACACTGCTAACTAAACAGAAGTGCGTAGAGTAAGGAAACTTGCTCAACGTTTCGCCCTGCCCGGGAATCGAACCCAGGTCTTCTCGCTTGCAAGGCGAGTGCTCTAACCAATATACTATAGTAGTTCACTCCAGTATACCTTAAGTCTTATATTGGAGTCTCACTTACTCATGCTCAGACATTGTTAACAACATAGGCTTTACTCGTACTGCAGTGTTAATGGCGTTTAAATACTGTAGAGGGTAGTGTAGGATACTGTAGACCATAGTCTGAGCTACTACCCAGTGTGACTGTGGAGATGGGTATGAGAGTTTAACAACAATAGCAAACTATAATAGCCTGAGTTTGTTCTCAGAGGAGTCACTTCTGAAACAAAGTGGTTTTGATTCACTTAGGATTGACACTGATGGGGGGTTGTAAATGGGAAGCAAAAATATTTCAATGGCTTTGGCCAGTATCTTGAAGGCCGAGACCGAAAATGCTTTTTGTAGAAGTGGTTTGTACTTTATAATAACAGTGTAGAATGCAATTAATCAATTAGTCAGGTTGAGCACTGCACTAAATTCTGATTCAATTCTATGTTCCAGCTGAATACCAGTTTCTGTGTGGTAATCAAGGCCCCGGCTTTACCATTGATATCCACACTGGAAAACCTGTTGGTAAGTAAAGAGATATACAATGCAGTTTACAATACAGTACAATTTTCGTACATTTATACAGCATCTTTCACTTTGGGAGAAAATCTCAAAGCATTTACACAGCTGTCTGCACAGCTGAGCCAGGTGAGGGGGGGTGGTCAGCTGAAGACAGTGAGTGGGGGGGGTGAAAGGTGATTGAAAATGCAGTCAAAGAGATAAGTCTTAAGGGGGACTTTAAAACTGGGAAGTTAAGGGTGAGTGGGAGGGACGAATCAGAGGGACTCAGGTTTTGCATGCTCCCTTCTGCTATATCTCATTTCCCTTTTGTTGCAAAGAAGGGGGATTCAAGAGACATCTAAACCATAAGATGCAGCGTTTGACACAAGATAAACAGAAGGGGAGGGGGAATGAATGAGAATCAAATGTCTTGGGAGCTTCTTACCCTTTTTCTTTTGCAATTTGAGGTTATGGCCTTCTTGAGAAGCATAATTGGCAAACATTTTGTTTGTTCTCTTACAAACAAAGCCTGCAATACTATAATTGCGATGATATCCCTTGCTTGTCTGTGGTAATCTTCTGATGATAGAGGTCTCCAGCTCCTTAGTTTTTCCTCCCTTCCTAAACAAAAATCAGTTTGCTGGAAACTTTTTCATGCTACTTTAATGTATTAATTTCAAATAAACTAGTACCAAGAAGACATTTTATATGTGAAAGTACAATAGGATTTAAAATATCCAGCATATTGTTGTATTTTTCAGTAATGCTTTGAATCAGTCCAGTTATCCCTGGTCCACATGACAATATCACCTTCTTCAAAGGAAGAAGACCCTTTTGCCCATCTGATCTCATCCCTTCAGAATGCCCATCCTGCAGTCCTTTCATCACAACATCACTTGCTTTTTTATGAGCCCAGTGCCCTGATCTACACCACCCTTCCAAGTAACTTGTTCCAGTTGTTAATTTTCATCTGGGTAAAGAAATACTTCCTGGTGTCTGTCCTGAAATTACCCTTTACAACCCTCATCCTGTGCTCTCTTGTTCTGCTTTCTTAGTTCATCCAAAAGTATTGTTCTGGGTTTAATTTTTCAATCCCATTTAAAATGTATATCTTCTATAAGGTTCCCTCTGAGACTTCTCTTATCAAGACTGAAGAGTCTAATTATTGCCCATGGATCCTTGTTGTGCTCATAATGACTGCCTTTAGGGCTTGGGCAGCCTTGTTTGTGACCAGAACTATGCACGAAGCAGATGTATTTTTCACTGTGATGGGTCATTATTGTTAATTCTCCTGTCAACGTGTTGTGGTTGAAACACACCTGTATTTATTTCAGTACAAATGCAGGAGCAGCAACTTGTATGTATATAGTACCCTTCAGAGCATTTTATTGAGAAGGTGTCAGACACTGAGCAGGAAGTGGAGGTGGGAGGTGACTTTAGGCACTGTTGAAGAGATAGGTTTTGAGGCAGCATTTGAAGAGACACAGAGGAGGGGCTGTGATGGAGGGTGTTCCAGAGGGTGGGACATAGTGCCTAAAGGTTTGGCTACCGATGGTGGGTCGGGGAAATCAGGACGGCCAGCAGGCCCGAATTCTGCGAGAGAAACAGGAGAGTGTAATGATTTCTGATTTCCCATCCCACAGATATCGATGAATGCAGAGAGATCCCAGGCATGTGTGCAAACGGAGTCTGCATCAATCAAATCGGTAGCTTCCGCTGCGAGTGCCCAATGGGCTTCAGCTACAATAACCTGCTTCTCATCTGTGAAGGTATCATCTCATTCACTGTACCATCTTACTGGAGAAGCTGGAAAGCTGGACAGTGCACAAATCAATTCTACACATCTGCATTTTGAATCTTATTGTGCCAAAGCACTCTTAAGAATCTTATACGTTTTAATTCTATTTATTAATTTCCTGCGCTCTGAGATGGAGCCAGGCTTTTCCCATACACAATTCATATAATTTTTTTTCAAAAGAAAGTTTCCCTCTTATTTGTACGCAGAAATGCAGATACTGTGAGCGATTCAAATAGTTGCAGATAGTCGTTACATAAAGTTTGGTACTGATTCTTTGAATTATCGGAATATAATGACACACAATAAAGAACTGATCTCATCTGGATCTAGTTCATTGAGGAGTCACGGGAATGACTGTGGGGTTTGTATATGCAGAATATTACAGTCAGTTTCAGAATGAAGAGCCCATCTTTGCGCCTTGAATGCAAACAGTTATGTAGAACTTTAGACATTTAAGGTTCTGTTCTCAGAGGTTTACTCCATTTAGAAAAAAACGCTTTGTTTTTCATTATGGTTTATATTTTAAAATTATATTCTTGCAATTGCGAATTATGAACTTTAAATTCTTTTGATGCGTAACAGACTATAAAATTATTTTTGTTATTATAAGCTGTTAAATCTTAAATATGTTTTCATAGCTGTTTCAAAAATATCTAATTTATCTTTCAGTGGTATTTCCTGTTATAAACTACAAATGGAAAATTACAGTTCCTAGCATGATAGATAATATCTCTTCACATCTTAAATTCTGTTGTACATCAAGTTGATGCGACTATTTTGCTTCATTTCAGATATTGATGAATGCAGTAACGGTGACAACCTTTGCCAACGCAATGCAGACTGTATTAACATTCCAGGCAGTTATCGCTGTGAATGTGCTGCTGGATACAGACTGGCACCCAACGGAGCTTGTATTGGTAAGAGACAGATTCTTCAAAGTAACAGGTTTTTGTGAACATCAAACCAATAGATTGTCAGCAGGTCTATGGAGTCTTGTGTCTCGGGGACAAGTGATTCTATACACTATAAGCTCCACTCAGGCTGTGAACACCTCAGCCCCAACTAATATTGCACTAAGTTTGCCCACAAATACACCTAGTTACATCACTTTACAGTATGTACTGTAGAAGCGCTTTGAGATATCTCATTGATCTAGACAATGAGAGATATCAACTGCAATTATTATTAGTAATTTTATTATTATTAAGCTTATTATTAATCAAAAGTGAGAGCCACAAATTTGTATGGGTTGGGCTTGATGGAATAAATGGCATGTCTTGTTTCATACTTTCTTATATTCTAAATACAATAATTCATCCTTAATTAGCTGGCATGGGATGAGCTGGCATGGGAACAAAAATAGTTTGGATAAAAGAGAGCCTGACATCTAAAGTTAATTTCACTCTTAATTTCTTAAATTCATTTTAAATTATCCCAACAAAGTTCATTGCTGGGAAAGAATGAAATCATTTCAATTATCACAAATAGAATTGAAAAGCAGCCAACATGCAAACATCTTTTTTTGATAACATAACAAAATGATGGAATTTGTGGTCCTCTGTTGTAAAGATTTGTTTTGATATGTTTGTCCTTAGATCGCAACGAGTGCCTGGAAATTCCAAATGTCTGCAGTCATGGAGAATGTATTGACATGAAAGGAGGCTATCGCTGTGTCTGCCACCATGGTTTCAAGCCAACTCCTGATCAGACCATGTGCATGGGTGAGTGAAGGCTTCAGTATTGAGTAGTTTAACTGCAATGCAGGTTAGGGTTCTCAGTGAGTAGCTCACACCCTTTAAATTGAGTGCGATCGTGCTATAATTTGCTTCACTATAAGAGAATTTGCTTATAACGTGGTTGCACTGTGGACTCATTTCATGGCTTAGGCAGACAACCATCCCCCTCGCTTCCCTCACACCTTTTTGAGCCAAAATGGCCAACTTCGGGGTCATTAGGTTGCCGTCAACAACGCTTTCCATTTTGCTGCACATGTACAAAGCGGCATGTGACATTAGTGACAACCTTATGCCTTGGACATTTTAACCTTCCCCACGAGAAAGCCAATTTCTGGATCATCAGGTCACCGTTACATCATTTCCTGATTTTCAGTTATATACAGCAAACGTGCAGTGACCTGATGACCTTGAAGTCAGCCATTTTTTTCTTTTAGTGTGGGAGCCAGAATGCGCTCAGAGAGTGAATTGTCCAGCTGCACACATGCACATCAAGTTCACGTGGAGTCTTGTAGTTTAGTGGTTAGAGCACTCGCCTCGTAAACAAGAGAACCTGGGTTCAATTCCTGGGTAGGGCGAAATGTTAGGAAAGTTTACTTCTGCCACACGCCTCTGTTTACCTAGCTGTAAGTAGGAATCTGATTGTTACTCAATTGGCGGATCACTTTTTCAGGGGTAATAATCCCTTAAAAAAAAATTGGGTCACTCAACCCTCGACTGTTTGTGGGACACTGCTGTGCTTAATTGGCTGCCACATTTCACTCACAAAATATACAGTCAATTCACTTTACAGTATATTCCGTGAACCGCTTTGTGTTGAGACGTACCGAAGACCCGATGAGGTGCTATATCTGATGCAAGGATTATTATTATCAAACCCGTTATCACGCCTCTTTCACGATTTTATGGATCCTAAACACCCTGTTATAATGGGAGGGATTCCACTGCTTGCCTGAATTACAAATGTATAATCAGCCAGTCAGTGCACAAGCGCCTAGTTGCAACAACATACGGCTAGTTGGAGACTTAAGTAAACAAAACGAAAATACATAACATAAACATTAATTTGAGTACAGGGTCAAATGTAATTAGAAAACAAACAATGCACCAGCCTTCCATACCACACAAGTAGTTCTATAAAGAGATGGATACTGTGCAACCAAGCTAAACCAACTCGACTTGCACACTTCAAGTGCATGAGAACATAGGAATGTACCGGGCTGGAAAAGGTATTGAGGACCATGTGGACAGCCCTACCATTTGCATTGCTTGTAATGATCTGTAGTTTCTTGCTGTCTCTCCTGGAGCAAATGTTAAGCAAAATCTTCTTGTTTTAACAGATATTGATGAATGTGAACAGCAGCCTTGTGGAAATGGAACATGCAAAAATACCGTGGGATCATACAACTGCGTTTGCTTCCCAGGATTTGAGCTGACTCACAACAATGACTGTGTGGGTGAGTGACACACCCAACAAAACTGAAGCCATCTCAAAGTCACTATCATAGAATCATAGAATCATAGAATTGTACAGCGCAAAAAGAGGCCATTCGGCCCATCGAGTCTGTGCCGGCTCTTATCAAATGAAAGGATTATTATATTATTATAACACAGCCTCCTATCTTTGAAACATCACCAGCTTACATCCCTATCCCGCCAATGCTATAGAAAGATCATGAAAGAATGTCTTCCTAAGACTAGGTTTCTCCCAACATAATCCTCATCAGTCTCCCTAGTTACACCCTCCATAAAGTCGAGTTATTTGAAAACACAGCAACTCTGATCTTCAAACTAAGGAGAGGAAGGAACAAGCAGTAGGAGACAGTCACAAGAATGATGGGCGGGGGAATGGGGCTGGAGGAGATTACAAAGGAAGGATGGACAAGATCATGAAAGAATTTCAAGATCAATATGAAGAACTTGCTGTTACGCTAGTGGAAGCCAATGGAGCCCAGCAAGGATGGGGTAATGGCTTTGTAGAGCATGATATCACAGTGAGAATTGGGTAAGAATATGGAGGCATTTGAAAGTTGAAACAAGGATGTTAAAGTCAATCTGCTGGGAATTAGGAGGCAGTGCGGCTTGGCAAGGCTGAGAGTGATGGAAATGGAGCAATTTAAAGTTGTTTCTTATTTGGCTTTGGGAGTAACCACTCAATCCTCATCCACCGCCTCTCCTCTCACCTCAACCTTCACGGCCCTGTCCTTGACTGGTTCAGATCGTACCTTTCACACCACCTCCACTTCATCTCCACAAACGGTTTCTCCTCTAGCTCCCGCACCTTCTTGTCCACGTTCCTCAGGGCTCTGTCCTTGGTCCCCTCCTCTTCACTATCTATATGTGGTCAACTTCACATGTATGCGGATGCCACCCAACTGTACCTCTCTGCCTCCACCCTTGACTCCAGGACCACTGCTGTGCTGACAGAATGTCTGTCAGACATCAAGTCCTGGATGAGAGCTAACTTTCTTCAGTTGAATCTCAACAAGATCGAGGGCCTCCTGATTGGCTCCTATCAGCGGCTCCTCACCTCAGGCACTGACAGCATCACCAGCCATGGATGCACATTCCACTTTACCAAGCCAGTCTGGAACTTTGGCATCCTGTTTGACACTCAGCCATCCTTTGTACACTACAACCATGCCATCACCCGCTCTGCTTTCCCCCACCTCCACAGCATCACCCAGTTCTACCACTGTCTTACACCGCAGGCGCCGAAACCCTCATACACGCATTCATAACATCCAGGCTTGACTATGCAAACTCCCTGCTTGTCGGCCTCCCCAACTCCTTCCTCCATAGGCTGCAGATCATCTGTAGCCTGTGTCATCTCCCGCACCAGGGTCCGTGATCCTATCACCCCCATCCTTGCCTGACTCCAATTGCTACCCATCACACAGAGGAGACGGTTATTGATCATGGTCCTCACCTTCAAAGCCCGTCATGGCCTTGCTCCCATCTACCTCTGCAACCTCCTACCATCTTGCCTCTCCCTCCACTCAGCGGACTCCGGCCTTCTTCATGTACCCTGCCTCACCTGCCCCACAATTGGCGGGTAGGCCTTCTGTCACTCTGCCCCACCCTCTGGAACTCCATCCCGCAGTCCCTCCACCTCACCCCCTCCCTTGCCTCCTTCAAGGCCCATTTCAAGACCGTTCTCTTCGCCCATACATTTGATCGCCCTGCCCTCCACTCTCCCCGATCCTCAGCTCAGGTCTGAAACACTGACTGTCCAGCTCCTTGGGACGTCCTCCTGATGTGAAAGGCGCTATACAAATGTAATGTTGTTGTTGTTGTTTGTCTGGAAGTTGAATTATATGAGAGGGATTTTTTAATAGGTGATGGAGTAGGTTTGTGGAGTTCAGGGAAGGAGCAGGCTTGACGGGCCGACTTGCTTTTCACAGTGTGAGGGGGAGCAGAGAGAGGAGAACTTTACTCTGCAAAGAGCAGTGCACCTACTCTAAGAGCGATTGGTGACCAAGATTTCCACTTCTCAGCTCAAGCATCCCTCACTTTAATAAGCAACAGGAGAAAAATAAATTGATTTAACACAATTTAGTAATTATCTGGTAAACGAGAAGGACTCTGCAGTGAATTCTCAATCATGGCATTCTTTGCTTCCCATCTCTTCCAGATATCCATGAGTGCATTACTCTCTTCGGTCAAATTTGTAGGAATGGCCAATGCTTCAACACAATTGGCTCATTTGATTGCCTGTGTCAGGAAGGATATGAGCTTACACCAGACTCCAAGAACTGTGTCGGTGAGTGAAACTCATATTGTAAAGTTGCAAGTAATTTTTGTTCGGACTTGCTTCAAGCCTTACAAATGTAATATACTCGTGTTTTGTTTTCCTGCAAAGATATCAACGAATGTGTCCTGTTTCCTGGAACGTGCTCCCCTGGAACTTGCCAGAACCTCGACGGAGCGTACAGGTGCATCTGTCCCCCAGGATACCAGCTGCAAAATGAAAACTGTGTTGGTAAGGATTGCTCAATGCTTTGTACACTTAGATAGCTCCACCAATTAGAAACTTGAAGTTAACCATCCAATACTGAACAAATTATTGCAAATATGCAACTAGATTTATTAATTTATGTTGAGCATCAAATCTGTGGACAGTCACTAACAGAGTAACCTCAGTTGTTTGCCCTGGATTTTCTGTTCCCTCTTGTCCAGTGATAGACTAGATCCAACAAACAGCATGGGAATGAGGGCTCTTCTTAAATCTTATTCTCTCCATAGTCATTTCTCTGTCCTGAGGTCTGTCTTCTGCTCTTTTGTGAATCTTTTCAAAGTACTGAGCGCAGTCTGAAAAGCTGGTGCAATCACTCAAGTTATTCTCGTCTCTCCCATTTTGGCAGATATAAATGAGTGTGAAGATGACCCCAATATCTGCCTCTTTGGCTCGTGCGAGAATACTGCTGGCAGCTTCCAATGCGTGTGCCCAGTGGGCTTTATCCTGTCGGAGAACAGACGCAGGTGTTTTGGTAAGAACATAGTGCTGAATATTCAATATTTCAAACCCTAACTGGGAGCGTATCATTATAGTGAATTAACAGCATTGAACTATTTGTGATTAATAAATAATATATAAATATACAGTCAATTCACTTTACTATATATTCTATGAAGCTCTTTGAGACTTCTCAACGACCTGATAAGGCACCATATCAAATGCAAGGATTATTATTATTTTTAATATTGTAGTAGGTAAATCAGATGATTTAGTGGCTTTACCGCAAAGTGTTGTACTGCAAAGATTCATCGCCTTCTGTTTATTTTTGGTATGTGGAAGCGTGGCTTCCTATGAGGGTGTACTGACAGTGACAGTGTTCTCCTCGGTGTCCCCCAGATACACGGCAGAGCTTCTGCTACACCAAGTTTGTGAATGGAAAGTGCTCGGTGCCAAAAGCTTTCAATACAACCAAAGCCAAGTGCTGCTGCAGCAAGATGCCTGGAGAGGGCTGGGGCTCCCCCTGCGAGCTCTGCCCGACTGATGGAGAAGGTAATGCTCACTCAGATTGCAGCGAAACCAACTGAGCTGCTCAAATCAGATAGACTCACATCAAAACCCCAACGGATTCAAAGAAATTGAAGCCCCAGCAGTTTCCATTTCCTGCAGGATAACTGGCTCAAGTAACAGTGGTTACTGTGATCTAATGGCAATGCGGGTCAGGCCATCAATGTATTTAAGAGTAAACTTGATTCATACATGAGGGAGAAAGGAATAAGAAGATATGTATAAGTGAGGGGAGTATGGGGGTGGGGTGGCTTGTGTGGAGTGCCAAACACAGGCTGAATTTTGAGCTGAATGGCCTGTGTGAAACTAAAGGTCATGTTCATCTTGTCACTGTGTAGACTGGAGGACATCTCTTTGTGCTAAGATAATGCTTTAATTCTGAAGTTAGTGGTGTGTCAGTGGAGTTAATGTTCTCATCCAAGATTCCTGTTCTTGTGAACCTGTTCCAATTCCTAGTTGCAATAGTGATTTTGAGGAAAAGGCAGGAAATTGAGATTAGGATAAATTGCTTCGTTGAATGAGCAAGATCCAACTGGCAAGAATAGAAATGGTCAGAGGGCTTTGTACAATTCTGTGGTTTACATATTAATATATCACCAGACTGCAAAACATTTGTGACCATTTTCAATTGAATATGTGTCTTTTCTCTTACAGTTGCTTTCCAGGATCTGTGCCCATATGGCCACGGTACCATCATTAGCTACGGAGAGTCTCGTGAAGGTAATGGACAGTTTGTATGTGAACTTTGATGCATTGTTGAAGCTCAACTGCTTTCTCAATTACCTGCAAATTGTAAAACACAGATATACTGCATCAGATGCGACTACACTGTACGAGTGTGACTGCACCTCATCAGGTGTAACTGCACCCCATCAGGTGTGACTGCATCCTATCAGGTATTTGCCTACAAAATTCACAGTCACTACACTTCACAGTGTATGCTGTGAAAATCCTGAAAAGTCCTCCTGATGTGAAAGGCACTATATCAAATGTAAGGATAATTATTATTATTGCTGTTACTGCAGTATTTGGAGCATATTTAACTAGTTTGATAAGAATTACACAAAACAATGGTGGAAGGTTAGGTTGAGCAAATCTGCATAAACCAGGTCATGTTAACAGGACAACAGACATCATGAATGTTCCCCTTTTATATTCACGTGGACTGAAGTGCAAGTTCTCAGGCTTCTGACTCTTATTTTGAGTGGATGTCTTTATTTTACATTCTCTAGATGTGAACGAATGTCAGGATAACCCTGGCATCTGTTTAAATGGCCACTGCATCAACATGGATGGATCCTTCCGCTGTGAGTGCCCAATGGGATACAGCCTGGATTACAGTGGAATCAACTGTACCGGTAGGAAACCATTCTTGATCACTAGATAGAGGACACGTGTACCTAGGTCTGCTTATTACTGTAACAGTAGAGCTTTGAACTGTATAGTCATTCATTGTTACGTGAATATTAGTAATATTCCGGTATATTTGTACTATTAACTATAATTCGGCATATTGCAAATCAATGTTTCTCGTAACATTTTATATTTTTCCTAGTTCTTGTTGGAATGTTGATTCATATTATCCCAACGCTATAGTGTCACAGGGCTGTTTGAAAGCATTACAGTTGCATGGCAAGATGCATTCCCTCAGAAAATCATTGTTTGTTACTTTTCCTGTAACCCAGACACTGACGAATGTGGCATCGGGAACCCCTGTGGCAATGGGACTTGTACCAATGTGATTGGTGGATTTGAGTGCAGTTGCGACGAAGGATTTGAACCAGGTCCAATGATGACTTGTGAAGGTAAGCAGTGACTTCCACATAGTTTTGTTCCTTTGAGAAAGGATTTGCAGATCTAGAGCCATTATTTTTAAGCCTTTCCCCTCCTTTAAATATTCTGTTCCCTTATTTTATATATATAGTCCACTGCCTTCCAGCAGTATGAATTTGTTTATTGTAATAAGCCTAAACTACAAATCTGTATGCAACACCTAAATGCAATTTTAATTAAAATTCAGAACTCCTATGATAGTCCATTGGGTTAAAAGAACTACCAAATACCTGGCCTTACAGACTAGACAACACGGATTGGAATTCTGGATTGTGTTGACTTAGCTGATCTCAGTCGAGGCACCAGCTGGTGGCTACAATTGGCCTCAACATTACTGGTTTAGGGAATTAAATAATAGCCAGGGACTGACCTTTTCTTGGTTTGGGTCACATTTGTGTGCACTGAAGTCCACTTGCTGTCTATGCCAGTGGCTTCGTGATTTTATCCAGCAAGTGGGTGAGCCATTAAGACCAGGAAAAGTCTAGGTTCAATCTCTGATGTGCGTGTGCCTTAGTATCCTGGGCTAGGAAGAGGAAACCAACTACAATTCCTCAACACTGTGCAGCCTATGGACTTCTACTGGAAATTGTGTGTGTGTTGTGTGTACAGGCTAACAGACATCTGCTAACTTGAGTCCTGCAGTTGGCTAACCTGCCAACACTCACTGTCAAGAGGAATGTGAGTTTAGATGGTGTTTTAATTATTGATTGTTTGCTACAACCAGACTGTCAATGAGCAGTTTGTGATTTTTAGCACTCTTGAGACGCTACCCCATGTGAAGGGCGCTATATAAATGCAAGTTGTTGTTGATTACGATCAGCATACAACAATCTGAGCGATATTAAAAAAATCATAAACAGTAACGCTTTTGCTGTCCTACTTTCTGATGTCGTCTTTCTTTACGCTTCAGACATCAACGAGTGCTCCCAGAACCCCCTGCTGTGTGCATTCCGCTGCATTAACACCTACGGTTCTTATGAGTGCATGTGTCCCACCGGTTATGCTCTGAGAGAGGACAAGAAGATGTGCAGAGGTAAGCAGAGAGCAAAGGATTTTTCAATGGTAACACACAAGCCTCACACAGAATATGGCCGCAAGAGACAACATGTTGGGTGGCAGGGATTTCATGCATAAAACATTGGCCTACTCTCTGCCAGAGCAGAGCATCCTACATCTATTAGCTCTCACGTTCCAGATCGACATCTATAATGCAGTGCACATGCTTCCAAGTTGTATGTATGCTTAAGCATTTCCTTTTGAACAGGGATTTTTTTTTCCAACCACAAGTCTTATTAATACCAACATGCCCGCAATCAGATTGGCCCCTGCATCCTATAAATGGCAAGTACTCATGATATGTACTTCCCCGTAAACCGCTTTGCGACATTTCAGCATGAATTACACTACATCAAATACAAGGATTATTATTATAAATCTTTTTCAGTGTCTGCCTTTAGAAGCATAGAGTCCAAAAACAATGTAACTTTATCTCTTTTTAAAAAATGACAAAGGTGCGACATCTCCATCTGTTTGCAATAAAACATTTTGTGTGTATCCCGGTGAGCACATTGAAATTAAATATATACATTCTGCTCTAAACTACACCCACATTAGCTGGTGCAGGTTGCTATCTGGAGTTTTATAACCCTACCTTACATATTGTTTAATCACAGACCTCGATGAGTGTTCGCAAGGTCTCCATGACTGTGAATCCAGAGGCATGATGTGCAAGAACCTGATTGGGACTTTTATGTGTATCTGCCCACCTGGCATGGTGCGCAGGCCCGATGGAGAAGGATGCATGGGTAAGTTCTTTATAACTGATTACAAAAAAGCAAAATATACAATAAAGGTTGAGCCATGCCATACGAGGGCTTAATTTACATCAAAGCCTCGCAAAGATCGAAACTTACTTCCAAGAGAATTTATGGTACCAGCAATGATTATTGATTGTTATCGTCCTGATGACTCTAAATCTCCCTGATCTTGCTCTCTGTTCCCAAATGTGTGTATCTCTCTCTGTTCCCGAACTCTCAGAGTGCTCAATTTAATTTAAAGCATGGTTAGGCCATATGATCTGAAATATCCCAGCTTCCACAGTATATTAATTCTCAACATTGACACAGCACAGCATGTGATTCCCACCTTTGACATATTACAACCCAATAACAAGAGCAGCTTGCATTTATATAGCACCCTTCACAGGGGTAGCATCTCAGAAAGCTTAAACACAGCATGTGATTCCCACCTTTAACATATCAAAACACAGCATGTGGTTCCTACCACTGACATCACAACACAATAACAACAACAACTTGCTTTTATATAGTGTCTCAGGAAGCTTAAACACAGCATGTGATTTCCACATTGACATACCACAGCACAGCATGTGATTTAATTGAGGAATCTTTTAAATGTGATGCAACCAGCACTTTAAAAACCTGAAAGCCCATAACGATACTTAGTGAAGATCTGCATGTGCTACTTAGTTGCACACCTACACCAACACATTTACATTTATGCACACTTTCACATTGGGAGGATGTCCTGAGACAGTCCTAGACAGTCCAAGGTTTGCATCTGAGATGGGGGTGGGAGTCAAGGGGAGTGGAAGTGGGGAAGGGGGGAAGATGATGGAAAGCACGGACATAACTCTAGTCAGACCTGGGAGAGAGTGATTGGAAACAGGAAGAATACATTCTCTCTCTCTCTCTTTAAACATGGATATGATTTTGGGATTGAGTTTGGTGGATGCATATTTTGTTTTCCCCTTTCTATGATCATCACCGAATCCTCGTTCTCTCGCTCAATCCTAGATGAGAACGAATGCCGCAGCAAACCCGGCATCTGTGAAAACGGTCGTTGCCTCAACATTGTCGGCAGCTACAAATGTGACTGCAACGACGGATTCCGAGCGACTCCCACGGGGACGGAATGTATCGGTAAGCTCAGCGCATTCGGGAAGCTGTGTTCAGCTCGAGATAAATGTACTGAGACAGACAGCCCAGATCTGTTTAGGAGTAAAGAATTTGTCCACTCCTGTCACTTACACTGGAGCTCTAGTACTCTCTAACCCAAATTCAGGCACTTTTAACTCAGCTGTGCCCTACACATCTATTTCTGGAAAGGTAAGTCCTGTAGAGGAATCACTCATGGGAAAGAGATACATGCATCCCACTGTAGCTTTATTTACTTTAACTTGTGTAAGAGCCTTAGATCAATTCAATTCACTTTACAGTATATTCTGTGAAGCGCTTTGAGACGTCTAGAAGACGTGAAAAGCGCTATATCAAATGCAAGGATTATTATTATTATTGAGAGAAGCAGATGAGTGAGAGGATTCTTAACTTCCGAAAAAGCAATTCGCTAATCGGCAAACAATCAGGCTCCTACTTACTGCTAGGTACACAAAGGCATATGGAGTAAGGAAACTTGCCCAGTGTTTCACCTTGCCGAGAATTGAACCCAGTCTTCTCCCTTGTGAGGCGAGTGCTCTAATCACTAAGCTAACAGGAGTCCAATCCAGGACTCAAATCCTACTGATGACTCAGGTCTTAAACCAAGACCACCACAGAGGGTTGACTCAATTCCTATATTCAATTACCAAGCATGTTATCTTGGAGCAATATCAATGGCGAGCTATAGCTGGTTCGACTCCAGCAGTACCCCAACACACACTCTGGGATCCCAAAGCCTTGGCTCTTGCCAACCTGCTCCTAATACTTTCCAGAATTAGGTAAGCAGGATACTTTCCTCAAGGGAGAGAGTGAGCATACTATTCCAACATTCTATCTCAGGGATTTCCATGTGTAGGTGGGATGTATGGAAATCTCAGCTTCATTTAGATACTCTTAAACATAGTGATGGGTTTCCGCATGTTAGTCACCTGGCTGACTTTGTTTACCTCCCCGGCAAGGCTGTTAGTCATCTGTAAAATTTCTTTGTTGAGTCTGTGATGGGTTTTTTCTTTATAAGCTAAAGAGAATTATTGTTTCAACACAAAGGATTCCTGTAGAGAAATGTTCCTTTTCCGTTAAGAACCCAGAATCTGCTGTGCTACAGAGCAATAGGAAGAGGGTTTGAATTCATGTCCCTCCTCCTCTTTCTCATCCCTTCCCCCACCCAGCAGCACAAGCCAAAGTCTGGATTTCAGCTGTGTAACCTGGGGCAATGCTGCAGAGAGGTACAGAATTTCCCTCACACAGAGGGAGAGAGGATAAATTGGAGATTGTTGAAGGTGTCACCCAGGGACATTCTTACACAGGTCTGATGGTTTGAGCAGAAGTCTCGCTAGGATCATGAACAGAATCCCAAAAGAGGTGGAGCGGGAACAGATCAAGATGCGAGAGAGGAAATAAATAATTCCACATTTGTGTTGCAGTAAAAACAAATGTCCTAATCTGTATTCTGACAACATCACTCGACCCCCGGGTTATTTTAGGTTTTGGTTAACTCCATTCTGAGGAAATGCGATTATGTTTGCTACATGGCCGGCTGAATGGTTTTCAGATGCTTCAGGAGATAGTATAAGATCAAAGCTGTACTGCTTCAAGGGAGTGTTTTTTTTCCTCCTTTAGATCTGTTAGTTTGAAAGGACAGTGTAGGTTTACCATCAGGACATTTACTTCACTGTGTCCCTTAACTACAGAAAACTCCTGACACCCCATCCCACACGCTGTGGTCCCCTTGCCTTGGCTCTTGCCAACCTGTGCCTAATACTTTCTGGAATTAGGTAAGCAGGATGCATCCTTCCAGGGAGAGAGTGCATATTCTATTCCTACAATCTATCTCTTGGATTTCCATGTGAAGGTGGGATGCATGGAATTCTCAGTTTTGTTTGAATACTCCTAAGCATAGAGATGGGTTTCTGCATGTGTCTGACACATCAGGCTGACCAAAAAAAAACTCCTGACAACTCAACCCTGTCTTAACCTATCACTACCATTTAAGTCATACTGCTATCAATATCCCGGCCACATTTATTTATTTATTTATTTATACATATGTCTAACTCGCCACTCTGAATAACTTGAGACTGAGCCCTTTTCCCTTGGAGTGATGAGTATTCAAGAGTTTACTGAAGTTCATATTTTAGGAGTTGTTTCAAAAACCCAAGGTCTGAATTCCCCAAATTAAGGTGTTGCAAAGTTAAATAATCCTAGACTGCAAAGATTGCTTATAGTGTCTCTAAGCAGAAGTTACAGAAAGACGATTCTCTAGTCAACAAACACAGGCTACACTAGGTGACCAATGTAAGCTAATTCTGGTAGAAAGGTGTCTAATAACCCATCCTCTTGGGCAGATGTGATGTGCAGATGAAAAGTCATTAACGTTTTTTTCAATAGTCAAGGTCTGTGTTAAAGTCTCAGTAAATCCTGCCATTCTGACTTTTAATTCTGTTTTTCTACGTGCAGATAATCGCCAGGCCTTCTGCTTCGCAGAGGTCCTTCAGACTATGTGTCAGATGTCTTCCAGCAGCCGTAACCTGGTTACTAAGTCTGAGTGCTGTTGTAACGGTGGCCGTGGCTGGGGGAACCAGTGTGACATCTGCCCACTGCCTGGCACTACCCAGTACAAGAAGCTTTGTCCCCACGGCCCCGGCTACACAACAGATGGACAAGGTAAGATTGTTTGTTTGATCAGCAAAGTGCTCGTGTTCTGACAGAGAGTTAGTATTTTAGGATGGATTATTTGTATTTGTTGCCCTGCAGTAGAAGTGCATGAAATGATTCTCAATCCAGACACTGATGTATTAAGAAATCTTTATTCTCAGCTCACGATACTGCAACACTCCAACCATCAACCCACACATTTGGTCCCCTTCCAGTGTATTTTTATACATCCTGTCTTCTTCTGATTAGCTCTTTCTTAATTGCCATTTATTTCTTAAAACAGTATCCTACAGTGTAACAATCTGCTTTCTGAAAGTCATTATTAGCATTAGAAAAATACCCAGAGAATTGGATTCAAATATTCCTTACAAAACAAGTCGTTGCAGTCCGTCTCTACTAAGTACACACTTTGTTGCAATGTGGGTTCGCTTATCTTGCAGATGAGAGATTAAGCTTTGGATTCTGATATTTATTGATCCCCAAATGTAAATTGCGTGTCTCAGCTACCTTAGCGTATCAAAACACCAGCCAGCACATAGGAACCCAAACTGACCGAGTTCCAGGTCATCAAGCTGACATCAGAGGGCAACCTATTCCCATGGATTTCGGCCACTTTCTCTTCCACCAGCTGGCATTCCGCAGCACCATTGAAGCCGGCTATCTTTCTGAGCACGTGCATTTATTGTGGAAGTGCTGATCGATCAATTGTCATACCCTGATAGAGCACCTGTTGGAATTTTATGGATTCCCAACTACTACATTACAATGAGGCTCCACTTTATCTGCATCTTTTCTAATTCATAAAAGATTAACCAATTGATTGAAATGATTGACCATGTATATTATATTATATATATATGTAGTTACTAAATGGTTGTCTCCCTGCAGATATTGATGAGTGTCGGGTGATGCCTAATCTGTGTAAAAATGGCCAGTGTATCAACACGCTGGGTTCTTACCGCTGCCTCTGCGACATCGGTTACATTACGGATTTCACCAGTACAACATGTGTGGGTAAGTTATAGTACTGTGGTGCACTCAGTTTAACTCTTAAGATATGGGCCTTGACTCGCAACTGTCTAGTTATCTCTATCTGCGATTGCTGCCTTCCAGTCTTGCTACACAAAATACCAGGTAAAATCTGATTGAGATTCTGTGCAGTGTAAGGTGTTAGATCCATGGAGATCTCAGCCGGACATCCAGTGAAACTTATATGCTGAAATCCGAGTGGCGAGGGAAGGGGATGGCAGGTATTCAGCAATTAAAAACAACCTTACGTTGCATTTTCAGCCATGTGAAAATTATTACCAGCGACAGCTATTGTACCACATCCCACATCTTCACCCCATAGTTTTGTCATTTATGATTTTGGAAAAAAGTTTGGACATTTAAAATGGTTTGTACAGGAGGTTTGAACTCACAGGTTAAAAACAAGTGCAGGAACTGACCACTTTTTCAAAGCAAAACATTGTGCAGCATTTGTTGTGATGCCAGAATTATGAAAGTATTTTAACTTCTGCTACTTTGCTTATTGTCACATTACCAGACCTCGATGAATGTGCCCAGTCTCCAAAACCTTGCAATTTTATCTGCAAGAACACAGAGGGAAGTTACCACTGCTCCTGTCCAAGAGGCTACATCTTGCAAGAGGATGGAAAGACATGTAGAGGTGAGCGAAGGGAAGCTTAACTACTAATAGTAAGCACGCAGCTTCAATATCTTGCCCACCTGCTGGTTTGATCTTTGACTTCTAGGCTTCATGGCTTATCTGCACATCCGAGTCTCATTGATGGAAGTCTGGTCAACAATCAGCAGTTGCCTTAGGTTATTGCAGACCTTGCTTTGCCAACCATTCCTTCTTAGGGCCGGTGAGGACTTCACCTCCCTACTTCCTCTCTTTCCCTCCCTCCCTCCTTCCTTCTCTCCTTCCCCCTTCCCTCCACCCTTTTCCTCTCTCTGAAAATATCTTTCAACATAGAGAATGAAATAGATTCTCGATCACTCAGTTTGATAAAGAAAAAGAAACACATTCAATGATATGAAGATCATGATCAGGAACTACAGGCCAGACGGCCTAACGTCTGTAGTGGGGAAACTTCTAGAGACTATAATCTGGGACAAAATAAATCTTCACTTAGAAAAATATGGGTTAATAAAGGACAGGAAGCACGGATTTGTTAAAGGCAAATCATGTCTAACAAACCTGATAAGAGTTTTTTGATGAGGTAACGGAGAGGGTGGATGAAGGTAGTGCAGTTGATGCAGTTTATATGGATTTTCAAAAGGCACTTGATAAAGTGCCACATAAGAGACTTATAAGCAAAATAGAAGCCCAGGGTATTAAAGAGACAGTGGCAGCATAGAGACAGAACTGGCTGGGAGACAGAAAGCAGAGAGTGGTGGTGAATGGTTGTTTTTCTGACTGGAGGGAAGTGTGCAGTGGTGTCCCCCAGGGGTCAGTATTGGAACCACTGTTGTTTTTGATCTATATAAACCTGGACTTGGGTATAGGGAGTACAGTTTCCAAGTTTGCAGATGATACTAAGCTAGGAAAAGAAGTAAACAGTGAGGAAGATAATAGCAGATTGCAAATGGACATAGACAGACTGGTAAAATGGACTGACACAAAGTGATGCATTTCGGGAGGAAGAATGAGGAGAGGCAATATAAGCCGATGGTAGAATCTTAAAGGGGTGAAGGAACAGAGAGACCCGGGGGTTCATACAAGTAAATCTTTGAAGGTGGCAGGACAGGGAGATAAAGCTGTTAAAAAAGCATACGGGATACTAGGCTTTATAAATAGGGGCATAGAATACAAAAGTCTGGAAGTTATGATGAACCTTTATAAAACACTGGTTAGGCCTCAGCTAGAGACTGTGTTCAGTTCTGGGTCCCACACTTTAGGAAAGATGTCAAGGCATTAGAGAGGGTGGGAAGGATGGTACCAGGAATGAGGGACTTCAGTTATCAGGAGAGGCTGGAGACGCTAGGATTATTCTCCTTGGAGCAGAGAAGGTTAAGAGGAGACTTAATAGAAGTTTTCAAAATTATGAGGGGATTCGTTAGGGTGAACAAGGAGAAATTATTTCCACTGGGGGGTGATTCTGTAACCCGAGGACACAAATTTAAAATAGTTGTTAAAAGAAACGGGAGGTGAAGAGAAATATTTTCGCACAGCAAGTTGTTCGGATCTGGAATGCATTGCCTGAAAGGGTGGTGGAAGCTGATTCAATAACAACTTTTAAGAGAGAAGTAGATAATTATTTAGGGAGAACAAGTTTGCAGGGCTATGGGGAGAGCGCGGGGAAAGGGATTGATTTGGATAGCTCTTTTCAAAGAGATGGTACAGACATGATGGCCTCCTTATGTGCTGTATAATTCTATGATTCTATGAAAGCTGCTCGTTGAATACTTATCATATTACAGAGATGCAGAATTGTGACACAGCTTCATAGTCTGAGTGATTTAGACGGGGGTGTTACACAGTCAGATGCTCTTACATACTGCTTTCTCGCAGACCTCACACATCTATTGTAGTGAATCATACAGCCAGTCATTCCTAATGTATGGATGAATAAGCAGGTCACCTGGTTCCCATTTGGACTATCATTTTCTTCATAGAAAACAGAGTATTTGCACTGCTTAGTTTCTCATTTCTAGGTTTATATCTAAAATCCCAAACTCACTGCTGTTGTTGTATTGAATTTGCTTTCTGTTTTCTCCAGACCTTGATGAATGTTCCACAAAGCAACACAACTGTCAGTTCCTGTGCGTGAACACTATTGGAGGATTTACATGCAAGTGTCCACCTGGCTTCACACAGCATCACACCGCATGTATTGGTAAGAATAGCCACTGATGTGTGCATTAGAGCCTGAATAAATGATTCCTGCGTCAATGGCCTTCCCCCTCTTCATCCAAGCTTATCCACTCTTTCATATAATAACAAAAATAATCCTCTTTGGTGCCAAACATTTATTTTCCCCTCATTAACTAACTCCTATTAAAACCCAAGTTTACCCAAGACATATACAGCTCCCATATCTGAGCATGCTTACCAGCACCTTTCTTGCACCCTGGATTGGATATTGAAGAAGCTTTGTTATTCCTCACACCCAGCCCTCATCCTCTCTTCACTCACAACCTTTACTGCTAGTACATTTCTATCAATAAGTTCACTGCTCCTCAAACGTGTTGCTCCCAACCTTGAAATATCTCATTCCACACACTCTTTATATCCAAAGTGTTCTGAAATCAAAGTTCATGCGCAACATTTTCTAAGGACTCTTTTGACAAGACCAGTAGACTGTAGAACTTCCTACCTCTCTAACTATCTTCCTTGAGAGGTGGGGTGGGGGGAGAGATAAGCGGGGTCTCCTTGAAGCTGAACTGGCTCCAGAATTGCTGGTAAACTAGGCTGGCTGGGCTGCCTTCAGCATCTACTGCCCTGCCAGCCTAGTTTATCAGCAGGGTTTGGAAGGACAGACCAATTACTTGGGTGCAAGGATTCTTCCCACTCAGCTCCTGTTAACCCTGCAAGCCAAAGCCCTCGGGTGGTCCTAGCTGGACAAGCAGCAGGAAAGCTTACCAGACAATGCTTTCATTGGCAAGCTTCATAAAATCCATACACTTTTAAACGCCAAAGTTTGGCTTCACCTGACCATTTCCTAATGACTCAACTTTCTGCTACTCTTCAATCGTGGTCACTCAATCCACAATTGTTTGTGGGTTGCTGATGTGCGCAATTGGTTGCTACATTTCGCTGACAAAAATATACAGTCAATTGACTTTATAGTATATTCTGAAACATCTGAATGATATGATAAGGTGCTATATCAAATGCAACGATTATTATTAACACTTTAAGAACTGCGGAAAACCAACTTCCTACAATTCTGCATAAATTTTAAATTTTAAGGCTAAGCATTCTCAGGATAAGACCAGGTGGGTGGATTTTGGGGCTTTTTATGTCTTGTACATGGCACTTTGTAACCATGGAATCCTGTGAAATATGTTGCAGGAAAAAAACAAAGACAATCTGTTTAAAAGGGAGCAAATATTTTGTTTTAGGTTGAATCTTAACAGTGGGTGAGTTAATGGTTGGTGCCTGGACAAATATTTAACATGGATATTATTCTCAGCTTCCTTCACTGAGTAATCGTGGTCGTGTCAGGCCAGAAGCTAACCTCCTTATCTACTTTTCCTTCTCAGATAACAACGAGTGTGCGTCCCAGGCTTCACTGTGTGGAACAAGGGGAATGTGCCAGAACACACCAGGAAGTTTCAGCTGTGAATGTCAAAGAGGATTCTCGCTGGATGGCACTGGCCTTAACTGTGAAGGTATTAATCTGTGGCCTTTCTTTTCTACCCACTTTTACAGTGAAATTCTGTTCAATTGAAAACTTAATATGACAACAAAACTGTTCCAATAAACCAAACTATTCATATAACCAGACTAAACATAAGAGGAGACTCACCTCCCAGAGCTCGGGTTGTGTGGCCTCCAACCACTCATCCCACCAATCAGATGTGTCTTCTTTCACACGTAACCATCCGACCTCTCTGGAAATGAGGGGAGGGGAGTGCGAAGGAGGAGAGGTCACGGACGACATTCCCGCAGCACTGTGGAAGATAGTGATTTGGGACAATGAGTTTATCCACACTCAGATTAATTGTTTTTATACAAATGGTCACGAGGAAAATTATTCAATAAATTAAATTATTCATATATCCGGTATTCAATTAACCAATCTATATTCTTAGATTAGGCTTGCAAATGGTTTGGGATTTCTAAACTTTATTCAATAAATTAAACTATTCAACTATCTGATATTCAATGTACTGAATTTCACTGTACCAGTTTGCACATTAATAAGGAAAGTCAGGTGCCAATATACGGCTGCACGGATGAGAATTTGATCACGGATTTGAGAAGCACAACATTCTTCCTCACTGAGAGCTGTACCTCCAGATGTGTTTGAGAACAGTCATGCCCAAAGGAGGTTATCAAGCATGATATGCTGCAGGATGTCACTGGGTCTTAGTCAAGATCATACCTATTATCATCAACCAATAGTAGAGAACCTGTACTGCACATATTTTAGATAAAGACAAAAGGAATTAAAAGAGGAGGTGAGACAGACGGTGTCTGAAATTTATTGATTTCTTTACATAGAGGGTGGGTTGGATTATGGAACTGTAGTTGAGGCAGACTCATAAATTATTTTATAAGGGAATTAGGCAAACACTTAGGAAGGACGAGTATTGAAGGGTATTACAAGTGAGCAAGATAGTGGGGTCAGATTGGGTGATATAGAGAAAAATATCAATGTGGACTTGATGGTCTGAATGGCCTGTTTCGTTGCTGTAACATCTATGATTCCCACCCAACCACTACCACTTGACCAGGTCAAGCTAGCGACTGATACAATGGCACAGACTCAGTAGAATATCCCATCAAATCAATCACCCCAGCAAACCCAGAAACTTGGCAGTAAAACAGAACAACTGGATTAAATAGTCTATTCCCTGCTTAAGAACAATAACACTAAACTGAATCCAGCCCAGACTGAGAGGATGAGAGTCTTGTCTCTCTATTGGCTGTGATTGTGCTACAACTTGAAACGACTGAATGTGGACTCACAACACAATGTACCCTTAATTCAGCACTAATTGACGATCTCATTTGGGGAATCACAGGATAATAGGGTAAGGGAATGAAATTTGTCATCGTGGAGCAAAATCGGTGATCTTCTGAGGTTGGGCTGAGGCAACCTGTTGAAGCAGAGCAGAGGGAGATTTGCTTTATGTATAACAATCCTGTTTTTGACCTATAAAGGCTTGGTACCAATTCTTGGTGCTTTTTAACCTAAGCCATGTTACCCACTGTAGTATTCCTTTATAATAAGAATTGCTTTGAAATCCTATACAACCTGGCACTTAAAAGTCATCTTACCCATGACTGTGATGCACAATCCCATATATTGGTACCTCCTGTGTACAGCAATGCTTCAACATAACTTTTAATCACAGCAAATGTTTGTAAGATGTTGTACCAGATGAGTATCTAGTAATTCTCTTAAGATCTTCTGTCATTCCGATATAAAAACTGCACCAATAGATGTCATTCCCCATCTTGGGAAACATGTTTAGTGATGGTTTGAAGCTGCCTCAGAACTATCTACTGCACTGTTCCCTGTTACTGTATTCCTGAAGGCCAATTCACTCTTGATTTCTTTCAAATATTGTTCCTGCGTTTTGAATCTACAATGTAATCCTTTAAAGAGAGATTTGAATCCATCATTGGACTGGCAGTCAGTAAAGAATACATTTCACAAAGTGAGCAGCAATTTTACAGCTAGCATAGTAAAAGTCTCACAAGTCTTATCTATATAAATTGTATAATTAGGTCGTAAATTCACCCAAGTCCCATTCAGGTTCCTATCAAGGGCATTTAAATTTCTTTCCGCTACTCATATTAATCGCCTCCTAACTTGTAACGCCGCTCCCCTACCGTCTATTACTCCGGCACTTACCGGCTGTACTGAATCGCCGGAAGCATCTTGACCCATCGACGCAGGCTCAGAAGAACTTTATTTTCCGCGATTCAGTGCAATTCCAATGCTTGCCGGTAAGTGCGCAGGCAGAGACAGTTCAAGCGCGGAAAATGTAGTCTTGACGTGTAACTGCATGTGCCCTTACCAGCTGCATTGAAAAATTACGCATGCGCAGTGCAGTTTATTGATTGAATTAGATTTTATACAATTTATATAGTTTGCCTGCAACTCGGACTTCGCTTAAGTGAAGGCCTGAAGTGGGATAGGGCAAGGCAATGGGATTAAATCTCAGTTTGCTCTAAGAGCAGGTGTAGATAGACCTGATGGGCTGAATGGCCTCCTTCTGTACTGTAAATTTCTATCAATAGGGTTATAAAAAAGGCTTTTTCTTCATTGTTATGAGAGTTGCTATCATTCCTGGCAATGTTAGAGGGAGCTTGAATCAGTTCAATAAATTTGTAAGATTAATTTTTAAAAAAATCAGGATAGGATGTAGTTTATAGTTTGAATATAGCAGGCAGTTGATTCCACCTTTCCACATTGATTTTGTAGGAGCCAGCTATATATCAAAATTAGACATCGAATAACACAAATCTAACAGATAGCGAAGTCTTTTTCACTAATAAAACATTTGTAGCATTACAATGATAATCTACCAGTGCTTTAACATCTGCTTGCCAAAAGACATAAATATATGTTTGGAATCGGGTCGTGCACTTTTTGGAGTGTCGTAAACTAATAAAAAGGATTGCTTGCCCTTTCTACAAGGTTTAGAATAACATTTGGAAAGTTGTGTAAATCTGGAGCTGCCTGTAAGCAATTAGCATGCTTTCTTTAAATCTATATGAGGGCTTGTATTTAGACATGCTTCAGACAGCATGTATACTGGCAGTATTGGATAAGTGGGCTTAAATCACAATTCGGGAAAGCCTCGTAAGTCATAAATCACAGGGTGATAGAGACTTCTGAAAGTTTTCCTCACTCGAAGAATAAATAGGGATTCCCGCTTGCAGCACATCTGGGGTATGTTCATAGCACATAGAGAATAATTTTAGCTAATTTATTAAGGCAAATCTTTAGTTTTTAGCAAGAACCATTGCAAGTTTGCAGATCATTTCAATTCTCCCTCATTTCATCTTTTGACAGTAAATATCCCTTAAACAGTAGATATCCCATGTCATGGAATCTCATGTCTCTTCCAGACGCAGATTGACATCATCCTATATCCCACATCACAGTTCTTCTTCTGTTGCGAGAGTTTAGGAGCTAATGTAATGTTCAGCTCCACAACTCTTGTCAAAGGGCACAAAATACAAATTTGAATATGTTGACAGATTCAGCAATGTGTGCAGAGAAGGACTGTTCAGCTTTCAACATCAATATGTTGTGGCTGCCCAAAAACACCTGAATCTGAGAAGGTTCTGCAGTACAAAGCACTCCTGTTGTGATGTAGATGTATAGAGCTCCACCATTATTACACACCCAAGTTTAATGCAGGTTTCACTTATAGTGTGGATGTGCAGTGTTGACTGACCAGGTTTCTGCGTGCGTGTGTTACACAGGGAGTGCAGCTGACATCACCTGTTGTGCATGGGCACAGCATGCAGGAAGTGACTTCAACAGTGACCTCATGTCCCCAGAAGCACTGACCCACCAGCCTTATCTTTGCATGTCTCATTATAAGCCAGGGTCTACGTTTGTGGACCCAAACCACCACATTATAACCAGGCCTGCCTGTAGCTTAAACATGGTCGATGTCAGCCACATAAAAGCTTCCAATGTTTGATCCTCAATTCTTTGTTCCAGGTGTTTCAAGCATTATCCATAGAAGTTACAAAGGAGAGGAATAGACAGGTTTTACAAAATGGGAAACACAATGTTTATTGTGATGGGTTTTTTTTTTACTGAGAAGCTACACCTTTTTTCCCAGCCTGTAGGGAGGGATGAAAACTGCTGGACTACAAATCTGCAAACCTTAAATCCTGACTGACCAGCACCTTGGGACGTCCCCCAATGTAAAAAGCGTTATACAACTGTAATTTGTTGTTCTTGACGTTGTGGACTACCCGGAGACCTGCTAACATCTCCCACGTCTTCCCTTGTCACTGTTTAAAATGCGGGAGCTTTGGAATGCCTGACTGTATTTTGTTCTCGCCCTTCACAGATATGGATGAATGTGAGGGAAGTCACAGATGTCAGCATGGCTGTCAGAATATGTTGGGAGGTTACAGGTGCAGCTGCCCTCAGGGCTACATGCAGCACTACCAGTGGAACCAATGTGTTGGTGAGTAGCCAGAGTGATCCGTGCTGCATTACCTTTTCTGTATGACCAATAAAACTATTAAAGATCAATTATTATCTAGCTATTAACATCTTAACTCTGGTGCAGGGACTGGGTGCTTTAGCAGATTAAATGTTGACTTTTAATCTCTGGGATCCTGGGTTTGAGATGTTGAGATGCCTCAAAGCGCTTGACAGAATATACTGTAAAGTGAATTTACTGTATATTTTGTGGGCAAAACTCAGCAGCCAATTGCGCACAGCAGTGTCCCACAAACAGCTGTGGATTGAGTGACTTTTTTTGGAGAGATTATTACACCTGGAAAGCAATCCGCCAATCAACTTACAACCGTGTTCCTACTTACTGATAGGTAAACAAAGCGTATGGGGTAAGGAAACTTGCCTAAGTTTCCTTATGCCCAGCCCAGGAATCAAATCGGGGTCCTGTTGCTTACTAGGCAAGTGCGCTAACCAATACGCTATGGGACTCCACATGGGTAGAAAAGGAAGTGTCTTGCTGCCAGAGTGAGAGTGCTATTCAAAGACTGAGGTTTGGAGCTTGATTTCTCAGTAATGTCAAAACCAGTCAGTTTGAAAGCCCTGGGCTGTCTATTGGAGCACAAGAGAATGAGCTCAGTCTGAGTCACACCACAACATTTCCTCTGTGCGGTGAAAATCATTCCGATCCTGTAATCACCTCTTGGTGGTGTCCTGATAAACAGCCACAGTTGGTGGCGATCTGCCTGCAATAGTATGGTATAAATAGAGGCTTATATATCAACTAGTAATAAAGCTTCTCCAGTACTAAGCTACAACTTAATTAATGTAATACTAATCTTAAATTCGACCACAAAAACACACACTTTACAGTAAAATCCTGTGAAGCACTTTGAGACATCCACCCAATGTGAAAGCTTGCTATATCAAATGTAAGGATTATTATTACTAAGTGTTTTACATGTGCTTCCCCTAACATCCTTTTTAACCTTCTTATTTTCTCTTTCTACAGTTTTTTTAAAAAAAGTCTTTGCTTTTTCCTTCCTTAAGGAATCCTATTTTGTTTTCTCTAACGTTTTAGTTTTCTTTTAACACAAAAACTGATTTTCAGACTTAACCTCTGACTGTTTTATGTGTGACGGAGGGGAAGGGGAATGGTATGGCTGACAAGGTGAGTGCAGAAATCGCTAATAAACTATCTCTCGATAGTGACAATTTCCTTGCAATTGTAGCAAATCTATTTCCTTGGAGAGAAGCTCAATCAAATTAGAAACAGAAGTAATAAAGTTCTGACTAATGGTACCGGAAGAGTTAGTTTGTGTCACTTACCTTGCTGTGCCTTTTTCCACGTATGATCTGCATGTTTGAGACCTAACTAGTAAGTGATTTGTGTTTTACTGGAACGGTACCAGATGTCCAGCAGACCGTCTGAGTTTTCAGCATATTAAATCACATAATTACCTCAAATGCTTGTTTTCATTGCACGTGACTCAAATTAGCAAAATACAAGGTATTCCTGTGTCTGGGAATTGCAGATCACATGGAATTGTATTCCTCTGTGATTTGTGATAGTCTAAGAAATCCTATTTATCCCTTTTAATCCACCACCTCGGCCCTTCTTTATCTATCTTTAAATTATAATAATCCTTGCATTTGATATAGCGCTTTATCAACATCGTTGAGATGTCTCAAAAAGCGCTTCAAAGAATATACTATAAAGTCAATTGACATTATGTTGTGGGCCAATTGCATTTAGCCGTGTCCCACAAACAGTTGTGGATTGAGTTACTAAATTATTATTTTTTTCTCACTAGAAGACCAACCTCTTCAACTGCACCTATGTTCACCTCTCCCTCCTTAACTTCTTCCTTGTGAGGTGTCCAACCCCACCACTGCACAATGCTCTGAAATGCTATCCTGCATGAAAGCTGTTATTGTAGTATGAAAAAGTGGGAAGTAAAGAATCTGTGCTCTTACTATCTGGTTACTTCACTTACGTTTTTGATTACTCAGAGGCCATGCTTTGACCTGGGAGACTAAATCCTAGCTATTAACCACAAGAATTACAGCAGTAATATCTTTGGGGGAAATCATTGAATACATCATGTTACAGTTTTTAGAAATCTTAGAAGTCTATCAAACAAACTCATAGAAACAATTCCTGATCAGCCGGTCTGGCTTTATTTTACTTCATTGATAACAAATCTAACAATTTTGAAATTATAAAATATCCAAACTCCACAAAATAACATCCACAATATACCGCTTCAAGAAAAACATTGAGTATTACGAAAAAAGGCTGCACGTAAATGTCAGGTGTGTTTGCATTAGCAGCCAGGGCTCCTGCGGGAATGAATGTGACTCGATTATCAGTGCAACATACATACAGGTGAATCTTTAACACCCACCTGAACAAGTAGATGGGCTTCAGCTTAGCCTCTCATCTGAAGGACAGCACCAGCGACAATTGTTTCCATTACAAATGGTGGTTTTAAAGGAGGGGAAAGGAGACTATTTTAGAACTGTATGGTGCAAACTCTCTCGATGACCCAGACTTTATAGCTCAGTCGGAGGGCGCTGCAGGGTCAGACGGCAGGGGAAATGGTGGGGGGGGGGGGGGGGGGGGGGGGGGGGGGGGGGGGGGGGGGGGGGGGGGGGGGGGGGGGGGGGGGGGGGGGGGGGGGGGGGGGGGGAGACCTAGAGCTATGTAGGCCCATATAGACCAGAAAGTTGCAGGTTTGAATCCAGATTGCGCTGAGTTATCTAATCGCAGTTGGCTTCTACAATTGGGGGAGGAATCAGCCTGCGTTCCTGCTACCAGGGAACCTGCTGGAAAATACGTGTGTGTGTGGACATTGGGTATACTAGATTGAACTTGGCTGTGGTGCCCCCTTCAACAATTAGTAGCTTGTCAACGTTCATACGTGGCAAATAGGGATTTGAACAAGGTAGCAAAGAATGCTCGGTGCCCATCAAACCAGATCATATTAGAAGGTAAAAGCAGCCTGACCCCTGCAGGACAGGAGAACATTTTCAGAGAGAAATAAACATTGTCATCTTGAATGTTAATTGTTCTTTTTGTTCAACCTCAGAGCTGGGATGTTGAAACTGATTGGGATAGAGCACATATGTAAAGAAGTACTGCAGCTTACAACTTTTCTAAATGTTCTTTTTCTTTTCATTTAGATGAAAATGAATGTTCGAGTCAGGCTTCCTGTGGATCTGCAACTTGTTACAACACGCTTGGAAGCTACAAATGTGCCTGCCCGTCAGGCTATTATTTTGACCAGTATGGCAATAATTGCCACGATGTGAATGAATGTTCTTCCTTCAAGAACCATGCTCATATGGCTGTTCAAACACAGAGGGTGGCTACCTCTGTGGCTGTCCACCTGGATACTACAGAGTAGGCCAAGGGTAAGAGACTCCTGATCTATTCATTGTTATCACGGTGAAGCACTTGTCAAATGACCAACCAGTATCTAACCTCCTTGAGGGTAAGGTAATCAAGCTCTCCTTTGAGCTGAACTGAGTTGAAATGTGCTCTTTACTTGTTTGTGCAACTGTATAATGGTGTAGCAACTGTGTTATTTCATCGATTACACTTCATCTTGCTCTCTCTCTTTTCATTCTCACACTCTCTTCTCCACATATATGGGTATTAACGTAATAGAATCTATACAACTGTTCTGTTATTGTTCTATTCACGTTACAAATTAATGTCTGGATTTACTGAACAGCATTGGTCATTTAATACTTTTGTATCCTGAAGTCGTATAAGAAGCTGCTGAAAGCTGTACTTACCTGACCTCCCCCTGGAGTCTTTAAGACGCTGCCTCTACAATGAGTGGTGCTCAGTCTCTAGACACAAACGTCAGGGCTCTCGATTCAAATAGAAAGTGTAGTGTTGTTTGCAAATGTGCAAAACAATAGACTTAATTTTCCCTATCGTCTCTACTGAAGTAAGGTTAGCAGAATGAAGAAAAGGCCGGGAGCAAAATTGCCCGACGTTCAGGTTGCATTCCTGAATCTCTGCTGTCTTTTTTTCAGTAGCAACAGTCGTGAAAGTAAAATTCACGTTTTTTTGTATGTGAGTGATGTCTCTGACACTATCCCCCTGCTGACGATGGAATTGTGTCTACAGTGCACCTGTCCTGGCTCTCTCCTCCCCCAAACCTTCAGAAATCCTAAGGAAAACTCAGCAAAGGTAAAGGAGGCACAGGGGCAGGAAACGTGGCCCAAGACGATTAGCACTTTTGCTTTGCGTCATAGTTTGTGCCACAGGAGTCACAGTGTAAAAGCAACGTAAATGGTAAAGGGAATTGTTTATGCAGTCAGAGGCCCAAAATTCCACTCAGTCTTAGCCTGTAAAGCTTAGAAGCGTAGAAATGTACAACACAAAAGAAGGCCATTCAGCCCACCAGGTCTGTACTTTCAGTCCCATTACTTGCCTTTTCCCCATACCCCTGTAGTTTACTCCTGTTAGATATCTATCTAGTTCCCCTTTGAAAGCTAATATAACTATCTTGTCTTCAAATATAAAATGTTGACCAGAGAGGTAGAAAATTGTAAATTTGGAAGTCCCTTCTTTTGAAAAACTGAAAAAACAACTTCCTATCAGATTGAATTTAAGAAACTTGCACAATACTGTCCTGTCTTTTCAGACAAAATGGTCTTACAGGGTGAAGTGAGGTGGAATTTTAGGCCAAGCATGTCCGAGTAGGATAACGAAGCAGTCTGAAGCAGTCTTCAAACAAACCTTTATTCCCCCTCACATAATTTAAATTGGTGCCAGAATTTGCTTGCCAGAATTAAACAATAATTGATTTATACTTTATGAGAGGAAACGGGGAGCTTGCAACCACATGTGCTTTCTATATTAACGGAGGACTTCACATAAATTTTTTTACCAGCTCCAACTTTACACTACAACTGATTCACTGCATTCAGTTTCCTTCCTGCTGATTCACCCTGCTGACTAATAACAGACAAGCATTTCTAATCAGAAGACCATGCTCCTTTAATGCAAATCGGCATTTATGTTCAGCTTTTGAGTTTGGACATCAAAGCTGACTATGTTTCAGACCATGTTTCAAGGAATGTAAACTCCAGGCTACCTCTTAAAGACTAACCCCCACTGTCCACATGCAACCATTGGGTAGAAATTCCACCTGGGTCTAGATTTACTCTTATTAACAAAGCATTTCAGAGTGTGCAGAATTCGGCAAATTGTTGCATTTTGTCTTAACTTTGAAGCCAATTTTCTGTAGTTCCGCAGTTTAAATTATATCTTCCGCAGATTTTTTCTGTGCTCTTAATTGATCTTGATCTTAATCTATTGGTCTTATGATCCAATACTAATCTAGATTGAAATATCTATCCTACATTACCTTCTTTATCTGACATTTTTCTGATTTCAGATGTGAATGGGTTGTTACGAATTATTAACTGACCTTATTACAAAATGTTTAATCAAAAAAATTGAAATCTAATCTAAACAGGCTTTACTAACAGACAACTGCAGAGCAGGAATCATTGTCAAAAACGTTACTGACTTACTGTTGACCTGACAATACAATGAGGAGAAGGGAATAGAGGGTTATAGGAGCGGGGAATAGGAAGGAGTGGGGATTCGTGGGCAGTCTAAACACAGGGGCAGACTCATTGGTCGAATAGTCTTTTTCTGTGTCGTATCACTCTATGTAGCTCTATGTAATTGGAAGTTTGATTTGTGTTTTGGTAACCTGCTTTAAATCCTAATTTCCCTTTAATTCACACCATAGCCATTGTGTCTCTGGCATGGGATTCAACAAGGGCCAGCATCTGCCTTTCGGAGGAGACACTGATGATGAGAATCTGTTGTCTCATGAAACTTGCTACGAATGTAAGATCAACGGCAGGGCAAGACGAAGTGTCAATGGGAGTGAGACTGAGCAGGTAACAACCTCTCGCATTAACTCTTTCATGATTTACAGCTGTGTTTCATCTCCAATTGCAAAATGTTCATACACTTAGAAACATTCAGATTGAGATCACCTTTGGATTTGCATGATGCAGAATACAAATGGCCTGAATAAATCAGGTTCTTTTGTGAACAGAGAGGACTCCACACAGCCGTTCAAGAGAAAAGGGGGTGGGGTGGGGGTTGCATTGTCAGAAGTGCTTTCCTTTGGATGTTAAACTCATCCTTTAGTGTCTGCTAGTTTAGGTGGACATTGAAGATCCCATGGTACTGTTTGAAAAGAGAAGGGAGTTTCTCTGGGAGTCCTAGCCAACAATCTCACAAATACAATTTGATCATTCACTTTGCTGCTATTTATGGGACATTGCTGTGTGCAAATTGGCTGCTGTGTTTGCCTACAAATACAGAGTCTATACACTTTACAGTAATTTTTTGAAGTGCGTTGACACATCTCTCTGTATTTTATAGATGCAATTTTCCTACGTGGGAGAGGGGAAATCATTTAACCTTAAAGCATTTCTAAAAACAACTAATTATTGTTGTGCATCTATATGAACTTCAGTCACACTTAGATTGTTTTAAAAATAATTATTACCTTGTGAATAAAGGACTACAATTCTTTCTTTGGTGCTAGGCAAAACAGATCAGTATGGCTAGTCTGGACATCGACATTCCAGTCAAGATGAGCCTGAACATTTCAGAATTGAACAACAAAGAGCACATTTTAGAACTCATCCCAGCCATTGAGCCACTACATAACCATGTCCGCTACACCATCTCCTATGGAAATGAGGACAGCTACTTCCGCATCCACCAGAAGGAAGGTCTAAGTTACCTGCATGTGACCAAGAAGAGGCCTGTGGAAGGCACTTACACACTGGAAATCACCAGTATTCCTCTGTACAGAAACAAGCACTGCAGAAACTGGAAGATTCTAAAGACAATGACTACCCCCCTTTGGCGAGTTGGGAGAAGCTCTCAAGATGAAGCTACAGATTGAGCTTCACTGAACTGGCTGAGACTTACATGGTGTTAATTCAAAATTATTCCTTCATATATTATTCTCCTTCCCCCACCCCCCCACACACTCACACACACCTACCCTTCATCCCCCCCCACAAGCACCTCTGCTTTCAAAAAGCTTTCACGAGTCAAGAGCTTCAAGTCTCCTGTATGGATGTCTTGACTTTACATTCTGTCCAAGACTGCATGACCCTTTTTACACATTGAAGGGTTTTTAGACACTGCCATGTTTAAAGGTATTTTAATATAACCACAATCATGGTTACTGTATATTTAATATCACCTCAGTCTTCTCAGTCAGTCAGTAAGCTCATATTTTACATGAGAATGCGTGTGAGAGATGTAAATGGCTTCTAGTAATGTAGAGCAATAGCAACATATTGAGCCATTTCTCTGGATTACAGATCATATTATCTAACTGTTCATATCATATTAATTGGTATAAGCGATGCTCAGTCAGACTGTACTGTACACAATAGGGCATTCTCAGAGGAACCACTTTAATCACCACAACCTTTTTTTCCAGTGGTGCAATACAACAGATTAATAACTGGTATCAAAGCATAAGCCATAATGAATTGTGTTTCTTCAGTAATGCATTTAAGTACAGCGTTGAAGCACATACTTGTACTTTTCTCATTACGGAAGACTGGTGCTAATGATATCTATTTTATCAGGGTCAGCAAGCTACAACCAAATCAGTTTTTATCAGTATTGAATCTCTGTGTTCCAGTACATCATGATTTGTGCAGCATTTTACAGTATGTTTCATGTTCTCGATGCATTTCATGTATGAAAGGTTAATGTCTGCACATTGAATGCCTACTAGTTGCTAATGTGAAGATTGTAAAGTCTTCTCTTTTTTATATACTGTACAAATGTTTTCTATATCAGGGGTATTTCATTGGTGCTTGTCAACAATTGGTACTTGTAAAAAAATAATAAAACGAGCAAAAAAAAAACAATTTGGACTTAAAGTTAGATTCTCCCAGTTTATAACACCCAGGAAATGAGCCTCATTTTGATAAATATGTGTTTTGTCCAAAGATGTATTTTCCTTTTCTATTGAAGATTTCTGAGCACAACTATTTTGAAATATGCCATCTTTTGTTAGAAGGGAGAAAAAAAGATTTGTATAAAATTCTAAAAAAAAACTGAAGAAAGAACATTTCTTACTGGGATGCTTTATTCTGTAGATTTTTTTTGAGTGTCATTATGCAACAACGTTTCGTACAATAAAGCTTATTATTTTGGGTTATATAGATTTTGAAGTGACTGAATGTACTACTTTGAATCCATGTGTTGGAAACCACCTCAAACTATTTATACCTAGACATTTTTGGCAAATAGTAAAAGGTGGGGTGGAGAGGGTAGAGGAACCAAAAATTGCTTAGTACAAAGTCTAATCTGGACACTTACGTGATCCTCCACTACTCCGTTATAAAATTGTTTTATTCTGGGCTTTGTTTTTAGTTTTTTCCTTACTGTTGCCTCCCACACCACAAAATATTAACCGATAATCATTCAACCCTCCACTATTTGTAGAGAAACGTTTCAAAATTTCTTTCCTGCAGTCCCAGGATTTGTGTAGATGAAGTCTTTCCAAGTCTTGAAGTCTTGTGTTTGTTGTGTGATTTCAATCTGCAAAATACTCTTAACCCTGGACCAGGGCTGACAGTAGATGTCAACTTCTGCCTTTCAACCATGTCAAGGACTCTTCCCACAACACCCAGCTTATCTCCCAAAGTGTTATAGTGGGAAGCCCACTGCAGACTCAGCACAAAGTGCTCAATAATAATAATAATAATCATCTTTGCATTTGATATAGCGCTTTTCACGTCTTCTCAACCTCTCAAAGCACTTCATAGAATAGACTGTAAAGTGAATTGAGCGTATATTTGTGGGCGAAACATAGTTCAACGTAGTTGAATCAATGACTTGAAGGTAAGTCCTGGCTACAGGAATGCAGGATCTTGATTATCATCAGCACAGAGAGACCTCGGGATTAAGGTGAGCAGAGGAGCATTGTCAGGTCATTTGGAGAATGGGCCAGCAGTTTTCACATTTTGTCGGAATAATCAAATGACCTTATACACAGCTTACAAGGCCAGGAATAAGATGTGAATGACTTTCAGGACGCACATAGCTTCCTCCACCGTCGGTCACAATTAACCCCAACCTATAAATAAGGTGGGATAAAACCTGATGGCAAAATGAAACAATGGGATTAGTTTTTTGTCGAGATTATCCAAATTATACAGCACTGGGAGGAAGCTGGTGAGAACAGCTGTTTGTTTACCCTTTAAAGATATAGATAATGATTGACTTCTCACTCGGAGTGGAGGGAAGTGTTGGAATCTATTGTTTCTATGAGTGATGTTTGATCCAATTTGTGTTGGGATGACCCGTGCACTCATTTAATTCATTTCACCTTGCTGCATAAAAGTACAGCTATGTATTAGTCACTTCGTACCAAAACAAATGCAAGCTTTGCAATATTAATGGTATTTTTACCAATGATTGGAAGATTAAGGTTTTAACATTACACCATTGCGTGCAAAATGTGAGGTTTTATATGTGATCACATTGACTCTGTTAAAAGCCATCCACGTTTTCACTCTATTAATGCCAGACTGTCACCAAGAACACACAAAATAATAAGTCAACGGCACACATTCAATCAGGTGGTCAGCAGTGCCCTGTGGGACGTACTAAATAGGAACAGCTGGTATCAATACATTATTTGTGTGCTAAAACATCATTAGGCAGCAGAGACTACAGAGATAGGCAATATCGTACAGAATATCAGTTGAAAATCCTTATGCTCTTTTGTCTTTTGAAAGTCAAACTTATAATAATTATCTTTGCCTTTGATGTAGCCCCTTATCACGTCTTATCCTATCTGCTCCCTCTGTTCAGCGGATACTTGCCTGCTTCAGGTACCTCCACACTTCTCGCCCCAACATTGGTGGTCAGCATTTATGCCCCCACACTCTGGAACTCTATTCTGCAATCCCTATGCCTCACCCCTCTCTTGCCTCCTTCAATTCCCATCTTAAGACCTTCCTCTTCGACAGTGCCTTTGGCCACTCTCCCACCCCCTGCCCTCCACCCCTCCTAACCCAAACTCCTAGCTCGGGTCCAAAAAACTCTGACTGTCCAGCTCACTAGGACGCCTTTCCGATGTGAAGGGCACACGTCTATCAGCAATACAGTAGTATGTTCATTGTAAAAACTTTTGTTGCGGCTTTTGCTCACTGGGCATCAATAGATCTTGTAATGTTTTACCAGTTGGTAAAATTCATGCTCGTGGCTAATTAACAGTCAAAACTTCTAAATTCAATATTTATTTAAATTTTTTTGCAAAATAAACGTACACTCTCAAGCTGCAGAGTTACAAAAAAATCAGTAGAAAGTGCTACCATATAGCTGGCCAAATCCGCACATAAATAGGCTGCTGCTTTTCAGTCGATGAACTGAAGATTGAAACAAATATTTTTTTAACACATTTAAATGAGGAAATAATTAAATCATTCGAACCTTTTGTGCACTTTTCAGTTAATACAGTAATCTATGATACTTCATAACTGCAATTGCTTCTCCTATTGGTAGAGCAGTTATCCTTTATATCTATATCTAATTGTACTTTGTGTTTCATTCCAGATAAATGCAAAACTGTTGCCAAGTTTTAACTTTGCTGCTTGCCCAATGAATATGAAAGAGCTCTCTTGTTACATGTAAATCTGCTTTCTATCCATTCCAACCTATTGTACACAATAAGAGTCCATTGTAATCACACAGAATTCTGCCTCCTTTGTAATTGAGTATACCCCAGATTAAGGAACAGAGAGTGTATACATATGCTTTAAATCACCACTTTCACAAAAGCATGCCTTTTGAGCAGTGATCAATCAAGCGTTTATAAAATATTTTTGCACTAAGAATCTGAGGTGCAACAGAAAGTTTTCATGAAAACGACATCAGTGAAGACTGACGTTGCTGGCAAATTCACATTTTGAGGGGAATTAGCTGTGGTTTGTATCACTGGCACTTCACAAATGCATGATTTAATAATACGAAATAACATTCAATATAACCTCCAATCTTAGGAGATATTATTAGCTTCTACCTTTGAAATTTTCTTAAAATTGTTAAACCAGATCTGCATATCTTTCTAAAAATGCTAAATACTGTCTAATGGGCTTTTTTTAAAATTACAAAATAGACATGGTATTGGGAAAGTGCCAAGGTAGCTTCATCCAAATGCGCAAAAGAGTCCTCAATTTTTATTGCGTTCATAAATTTTGTTCCTTCACTTCAATCCTGGCAGCCGCAGAGTAACCGAACAGACTAAACAGTCTGCCAGTTGGGATGTGAATGTGTCGTAGTTTAGCTGAGCTCACAGTCTACTCAGCTTTTTTGTGGTAAATGGTTTGGATCAAAATTCAGGATGTAGTGGAGACTTTTGTGGGAATGAGGACCCCAAGGACCAGAAACACTTGGACTGATGCTGTGTCCTTGGTGCAGATCCAACGTAAAACAAAAGGTGCACAAACCAAACTGGAATGAGCACACCTTAGAGTGTAGTGTATTTAAAAGCTTCTTATAGGAATGTATTCGAAATGTATGCTTTCAGTCTGCTTAGCAATACTGCTTCTCTTCAACAGTTTCCTCAGATAATCCCACAATCAGACTCACTTGTCCCCTATCAACTGAACCTATATGATATATGATAAATGCAATTACCTTTCGCATTGTTAGAAAATGAAGAATTGTATTTCTGTTCAATACATGAGTTAAAATCTACTTTTGATCACAGGATGACTATTCTTTGGCAATTAATTTTATCAGTAGCTATTAAAATATAATACTGTAACCAGTATTTATTACCAGTAAAATATAATACTGTGACCACCTGAGCCAGACAGATTCTGAACACACGTGGAGACAGAACTTGGTTCATGAATCAAATGGTTTATTAATACAGGGAGAGGAATCCAGCCTCCTTTCAGGGACAGACAATGCTAACAGGCCCAGAGGTGTGCAGGTCTGGGTTTGTGATTTTACCATCTGTATTGCCTCTTACAACTCACTCTCACAGTTCACGTTCCCCTCAGATACTGACCTATATGATCTCTCTGGCAGTGCATTCAACAGCCTTCTTCCCAGCATCCGAAGCCTGCCACGTGGCTAGGCCTCAGGGTCGCATCATTTTCCCTGTTCTGTAGGACAGAGACTTCACTCCATGTGGTCCTCTGAGTCAGAGTGACCAGTAGTTGTATAAAAAAATAATCCTTGTATTTGATATAGCGCCCTATCACATTGTTGAGACGTCTCAAAGCACGTCACAGCATATACTGTAAAGTGAAGTGACAGTATTTTGTGAGTGAAATACGGCAGCCAATTACGCATAGCAGTGTTCCACAAACAGCCATGGAGTGAATGACCAATTTTATTTGGAGGATTGTTGGCCAAGACACCGATAGAAATTCCCTTCTCTTTTCAAATAGTGCCATGGGCTCTTTAGCATCCATGGTTTTGTCATCATAATTAAATATTAAATGGCCTAAGTTTCTCCCCCCAAACCCCTCACCCGGCATAATGCAACGTCATTTAGGACAATAGCAATACATTGCCAGATTGAAAGTCTGTTAAAAACTATAGAGATAACTTTAATACCTAATAGTAGCTTGCATTCAATCCCTGTGGTGAGTCTGCATTATCACTTTGCAGACTAGCTGTGCCCCAGGCAGACAATAAACTGATGTTTTACTGGGAATGCTTGTACTTCCTACACAACACCCAGTTTTTCAGAAGACGGATATTACAATGTAGACCAACAGACTGTACAGTAAATTAGATACTACATTATTTACAGCCAATTCTAACACTAGATACAATTTACAACTGTTGGAAGTATTGAGAACGTATTGTACTTGTAACGATCCCTGCAATTAATGGGGATTTTGGTAGTTTGGAAAACCATCTTGCAGAGGTTGAGCCTGGGGACTATTTAAGGTTTTGCTCATGCTCAGTACAATGTGTATGGCTGGAACTCCCCTCATTGCTTGTTAGGGCTGAGGTCAAATTAATTCTTTATAACTTTTACTTTGTGTGTGGATTAATTCCTCATACCAATAGTGTCATTAGCAAGAGCCCTTGCCTTCCTAAACAGAAACATTATATACTGTAGAAAAATAATTCTCAGAGTAACCGCAAAACTCAATGCTGAAACATAAGAGTGTTTAAAAGTTTACTTGTGCA